TCATTAGTGTTATTTTGTACAGTACACAAGATCAATAATATTTTGCATATAAATTGATCATGTGCTCATTTATTTTCTGAATACATTAATAAGCAACACCTCCTATAGTATAACTGAGTGTTAATTATGCCATTAAAGATTAGAAATGTTTGATATTTAGTAGTGAATAGATATTTTGTATAATTAAGACTTTAATAAGTTATGCTCTCTCTGAAGAACAACTAAGAGGTTATCTGTATATGTGTACATCCATAGAAACAGTGATGTGAACTTTTTAGTACATACAGCAGGTGGGGATAATAAAGTATTGATTATTCTTGTGTTATGTCTAATGTTGAAAAAGGTAGCAGTAAATTACTTAAATTATTTTACTGAAAAGTCACATGATAAGACAATAAGATCAAACAATTGTAGAACATCCTGTTAGGTGTGCCACACTGAAGAAGATGTGACTCAGCTGTAACAGTTAATATCCTTATACACAGTCAGGGGAATATAGATGCTAAAGGTAGGTCATTTTCTCTGTAGGTTATCTTAATATGTAATGTCCATAAGTGGGTATGTCATTTTATCAGAATCTCAGTAATTTTTGTGACTGGAAATCTTACATCTGTTGAGATCAATCACAACACAACTTACTGTATTATATTTTGTAGTTTGTTGACTGGTTTCGCTCTGTTTAAGATTTCTTTTACATAAAGTTTACATCAACATGATAACAGACTCTGGTAAGGGGTTAGGAGTCTGCATTTCATGATTATAAAAAAAGACTTGTTGTTATTTAGGAAAAAAAGACAGGTGTTTATTTAAACTGTAGGTTACATTTTTGTGGATTATATAGATCAGAATTACAAATAGAGAATATAAATTACACACGTTTTTTTTAAAGATCTTCTTTGCCAGTCAGTCATGACTTGAAAGGTTATATAACCTTGTCCCCACTAGAGAGGTTTTAATAACTATACAATCAGATACAGTATAGAGGTTTTAGGAGGTAAAGAAAGTTGTTCTTAATACAGAGGTTTTAACAAATTAATACAATCCAATCTAACAGAGAGGTATTGGGAGGTATAGAAACTTGTCCTTAATACAGGAGTTTTAATATCTTAATACAATATGATCCAATGAGGAGGTATCAAAACTAGTCCATAATAGAGAGGTTTTAATATCTTAATACCATCTGATGTAACGTGGTGGTTTAAGGAGGTATCAAAACTAGTCCATAATAGAGAGGTTTTAATATCTTAATACCATCTGATGTAACGTGGTGGTTTAAGGAGGTATCAAAACTAGTCCACAATAGAGAGGTTTTAATATCTTAATACCATCTGATGTAACAGGGTGGTTTAAGGAGGTATCAAAACTAGTCCATAATAGAGAGGTTTTAATATCTGAACACAATCTGATGTAACGTGGTGGTTTAAGGAGGTGTAGAGGTATAGAATGAAAGGACATGACTAGCTTTTACAGTTAGGGTAATTGTATAATAACTATGTCAAATGGCTGCCATTGGCTCTGATTGTTGGTGTTAATTAAACAAAATTGTATATCAATGTTGCCATGGTCACTACAGCTACATGTATATTTAAGACACGTTTATAATCCCTAATGGCAGGTAGATATGGAAAGCTGCTGATGATAGTGTCCTCAACAGAACCTTTCACCTATATGTCTTACATATTGTCATCAGTCTCATTAGTAAGAACAAATCTTTTTTTATTTACAGATGTCAGTTTGAGATATAATACAATGTACCATGGTTACAAAAATCTGACGATTTAACTTTCATTTATTACAATTAAAAGGAATTAGACAGAAAATGAGGCACACAGAACAGTTTAGTCCTCCATAACACCATTATATGTTAAACTTGTGAAATGTTTGGATATAATTGGGATAGTATTAGGTTTTGAACAGAGAATATACTGTATGATATCAAGGTATTGGTCATGGTTGATTGAATTGCTAACTTTGTCATGTGATTTCGCTGTACACGGAAGGTCGAAAAATGTACACGTGACATTGTGTAATGTATTTTTTAAGGCTATGTAAAAGTGCAGTATATTGTGTAATAGATTTTAGAGTTTATGTAAATCTATTTCTTTGTGTAATGAAATTTTGCTTTTCATGATTGTATCAATCTGTGGACATCAAATTTTCTCTGCTGGAAATAAAAGAGGAGTTTTATGAAAATTGCAATTTATGTATGTATAATTTATGGAGGGAATGTTAGCTTTTGATATACAACATTCACTTTAAACTTAATATAATCAGCTTATCAAAAGTGTGTGATTCATTCTGTGGTACAAAATAATGACAAAAGGATGACCTGGTTCTGCTTTGTTCCAGCACATTTAAGTGACTTTGTAATTACAAAGCTAAACAAGAATTAAATAAACATACTATGTACATAGGTGATTTGACGATTGCCCATTGAGGGGTAAGTTGCGGTATGATATTTGAAAATCTGTTTAAATTGTTGCAGTTATATTTTCTACTGTGATATGATCACCAAAAGAAATTATTTTGACTTTTCATATTATTTTTTTATTTCCATTTAATTTTGTTTGTAAATTTTCAAAATGTGAAAAAGTATACATACAAAATTTGTTATTATTAGTTTAATACAAATTAATTTGTATTAAACCTTTGCCTTTCTGTATCCACAAATGACAATTCTAAGATATGATAGATATAATAGATAATAACTTGGTAAAGTTAATCAACAGGAATTTGAATGTGCAATGATTCTTGATGCATACCATGAACTGTGGAAAAAAAGAATAATTGCTTGAAATTTTAATTCTTTAATGCTTTTCCGAGACGTCCTTAGTAAACTGGACAATCTGAAACATGGTCAGTTGATGGAAGCGAGCATGAATTGGTGCTGTAATGCGGAAACATGTTTTTGAATCCTTATGTAAAAGATGACAGAGTTGTCCATGGAACATGATTCTTAGATATAAAAGAAATAGAAGTCAATGATCTTAGGTATTTCAATATACACTGTATTTCTAAAGTACACTAATTTGACATGATTGGAATGAACTTTAAATTTAAATTGAAATCATTGGATATAAAAAGTGAATATTCATTAGAATATAAAAAAAACCAAATCGATTCTTAGTAAGGAAAACTTCACAATTTCATTGTAGGTAAATTTGTGGCAACAAATACACTCTCTGATACATGTACACATAAATCAGTGACTAGGCATGTAGAAATACTGACAATATTTGACATGTTGGCATAGTGCTCCATTGGAAATAGTAGAATCAGAATTCCATGAAGTTGATAAATTCTGAGGTAAAAAGGATTGCTATTAAATCAACTGGTGTCCCCTTGCCAGTATGGAAGTTTAAGCAAGACTGTCCTTTATTAAAACCAGCGTTTTTTTCATGGATATGAATAATATATTTATTGACAAACAATTAAGTAACCCAAGGAAACCTTGAGAGGTTTAGACTCGTTGTGATAACACACCATATGTACTTAACTACCTGGTTTATACATTCATTGTAAACTAAATGCGGAAAAAAAACCAGACAGGTTCTACCTACCGGGTACCTACCCACTCTGAACAATCCTTGGTTGGATTACGGCATACTAAGATAATTTAATGGCGGCCTTGTTCTGCAAGAGTCTGATATAATAAAAGATGTATGTATATAATCCCTGTAAAAATAACCTGTATACTATAAAGATATAGAATACAGGTTATTTTTTTATATATTCTTATCAACAGAATATCTTATTTCTGTGGTTATTAATCTTTTCTTTATAATTAGTCCAGACTGTTTTTTGTTCATCTGTCAGACCGGGCAAGTCAATTTATGAAATAATGACCTACCTACTGCTCTGATTTTACTTTCTGAAGAACTTTGACTAAGCCTTTTAAGGCCTAGATAATCAGTTGCAGGTCCATCATGATTTATACCTGAATTGATACATTAAAATGCCAACATAAATCTTTCCGTTTAAAATGGAGGCCGCGTTACACAATGCCAGGGCCATAATTTAGAACATACCTGCTAACATATGTAAGGTATACAGGTACAGGTATATTGATCATACAAGGATGTGTTGACTGATTCATCAAAAAGCTAATTGTGGTAACAGTGCTTGCCAGCTCTGGATCTATGTTTGATTTTGTTAAATAAAGCTTAAAACTTGTTCTTTATTTCACATCAATCAATATAATGCATACTTATTGATTTTAATATAATCGTGATCTGATACAATCAAATGTACCTTGTGGCCTTTTGTCATGGAATGAGTTCACAATAACCTAGCTGGCATGTGTATATAGTACAAGGGTAATAGGAAACAGTGGATAGACCCTTTGTCTTTGACATAAACTGTGCGACATTTTGATTTAGCAAAGTTATAATCTATGTCATTATTTAAGTGACTTCATGATCATGGAGGTTGACATATTTACAATATTTTTAAAACCAACCTATGAAGTTTTAAAGCAGAAGAAAGAACTGTTGGTCATATATCTGAATGGATATTTCACTAGCGAGTAAAGTGTTTATACAAGATGATTTTTTGGGTATCATTTTTTCACATTTTCCAGTATTAAGACCTATCAGGTATCAACTTGATAGTGTGCAAATATTAAAGTACCTGTATACCTTTTAACCACAAACCAACCTGGCAACATTTTTTTTTTTTTTTGTAACTCAACAAAATATAGAAGTGATAAGCACCGTTTCCTCTGACATTTCCTGAAGATTTTGATATTTACTTAAATATTTTAAACTTATGTATGTTTTTTTCTTTTTTTTTCTATTAAAAAAAGAAAATTACAAATGCATTTGTATCTGTAGTGTTTTTAATTGGTTAAAAAACCTGACAAATTGGGAAAGTGGAATAAATTTCAGGTAAGTGGTCAGATGATATGGGTGTCTTGGTAAATTTTTGTAATATAAATTCATAAGAATTTAATATGTTTGACTTACTTCCACAGACATAAAGAGTGAGCATATCAAAGCAGGATGGGGTTTGGGTCGCAGCTGCTGCTGTTGATGTGGAAGAACTATACTCTCCGCAAGAGGCAAAAAGTAAGTGTTTTAAGTTTTATACATAATATGTTTCATTTTCAGCATAAATTATATGAATAATAAATACATAGGGATGGAATCAATTTCTGATAGAGACAATCATCGAATGTAATTAGTGGATAGATAGAATTAATTTATATATTATTGATAACTTAAAGTTTAGCATGAATTATTAATGTTTGAACTCAAACATTTGAAAAGGATAGTCAGGTTCAGATTATCACAATGTTTTTATCTGTGATATAGGAAACTTTAAATGAATTTTAAAATTGAAAATATTTTTCATCAAGTAATTTAAAACAATCCTTCTTTTCCAGGTTCGACTGTTACTTGAAATAATATTTCCATTGACTTTGTTCTTCATCCTTGTAATTGTCCGACAGCGTCCTGATCTCAAAACCAATCATGGCAATTGTAAGTTGTACTACAAGACACACTTGTAAAATCTAACTTAGAAAAAAGAAAAGGTGTAAGATTTTTGGCTGCCCATGACACATCGTTAATATTGACCAATGATAAACTTACATTATGTGTATTATTGATGAAAACTATTGATATTGCACTCAAATACCTATATTACTGGTGTATGTTTATTTGATAATATATCTTGATGTTTCCTGAAATATTTTTTGAACTTGTGGATGTTGTTTTGTAAGTAGAACACTAGTAAGAATAATGCATGTCAAGACAACCATAGTAAATATTCATGAGAGATTTTATTCCACAATCTGTTCTCACACAGGGACAGTAATAACTCAGTAAGGGCAGTGTTGGCCCACACAACCTTTGATGAAGATCCAAGGTGTGTAGTTTGACATTCCTTACCAGTGATGATGTGGTTTCTCGGGAAGCTGAGAAGTGGACAGATTTGTGCTGTCATTGTTCTCCTTGGGCAAGACACTTCACCCAGATTGCTCTGGATGTCATGTAACAGTCCTCCTGATGATTGTTAATAAGGTAGCCTCCTCCTATGTAAAGGAGATCCTGCCTCAAAATGATTATGGGTGATCACTGGGCAGTAAACCATCTAAATCAATACTGTTCTCACATACATTTATATGGATAACATGGATATTTACATGGTCACTTAAATTTGTTGGATTTTATGACAGGTCACTTTGAGGGGAAGCCAATGCCTAGTTCTGGAAATTTACCTTGGCTGCAGGGACTGGTGTGTACTTACAACAACACATGTTATGACACTGTCACTGCTGATGAAATGGCAGGTCAACTGGAAACATTCAACACCTCCCTGTGAGTCTTACCATGCAAACCAAATCTCTTCATCATTTGTTGATATAACTAAAACACATACATACAAAATCTGTAAAGGTAGAAAAAAAATAAAACAAAATCTTTCAGGGTCAGGAAAAAAAAAAAAATTCTGTCAAGGTCAAAAAAAATAAAACAAAATCTGTCAAGGTCAAAAAAAATAAAACAAATTCTGTCAAGGTCAAAACAAATATATACAAAATCTGTCAAGGTCAAAAAAATAAAACAAAGTCTGTCAAGGTCAAAACAAATAAATGAAAATCTGTCAAGGTCAAAACAATAAAACAAAATTTGTCAAGGTCAAAACAAATAAATGAAAATCTGTCAAGGTCAAAACAAATAAATGAAAATCTGTCAAGGTCAAAACATATAAAACAAAATCTGTCAAGGTAAAAAAAAATAAAACAAAATTTGTCAAGGTCAAAACAAATAAAACAAAATCTGTCAAGGTCAAAACAAATAAATGAAAATCTGTCAAGGTCAAAACAAATGAAACAAAATCTATCAAGGCAAAAAAAAAAATTAAACAAAATCAGTCAAGGTCAAAACAAATAAATGAAAATCTGTCAAGGTCAAAACAAATAAATGAAAATCTGTCAAGGTCAAAACAAATAAATGAAAATCTGTCAAGGTCAAAACAAATAAATGAAAATCTGTCAAGGTCAAAACATATAAAACAAAATCTGTCAAGGTCAAAAAAAATAAAACAAAATCTGTCAAGGTAAAAAAAAATAAAACAAAATCTGTCAAGGTCAAAACAAATGCAAGCAAATTCTGTTAAGCCATCAAGCTCAGTCCCTTAAATTGAAACAGTTACAATATTCTTGTGGTTGTTGGAGTAAAAGTAAAAGAGAGAAATTATTCAAAATAATGGTAAGTGGGAGAAAATATCTTGTAAATGATATGTTGAGCTAAGTAATGCCCTCAAATCCAACTGCATTCTCAATATCATTTATATGTGTTGTTCAACTTTATGACACATTTCTGCATTTTTTTTTACTTAGAAGTTGATAACTGATTGTTAAAGTAGTCCAGTATTACTTACTCTAAGTGCCTTGTACAAAGCACTCTGTACTATAACTTCAATATCAAAAGTATAAAAGACATTTATAATATCATAATAAGTAATATGTGTGAAAAGTGAAACTTAAAGAGTTCCTTAGTAATACTGGGACAAAAGTGACAGTTTTTCACTATTCAGTTGTCAATATTGTAACTATTGTTTCCTGGTTTCAGATTAACTGAGATAGTAAGCGACTTGACTCGTATATTAGAAGATCAGAATGCGTTAAATGTGTATCAGGACATTGTATATGACTACTATATACTGAGAGAGGTGATCGGAGGTATACAGAATGGTACTACTACAGGTAGGTTATACAGAGGTAATCAGAGGGATACAGAATGGTATACTACAGGTAGGTTATACAGAGGTGATCTGAGGGATACAGAATGGTACTACTACAGGTAGGTTATACAGAGGTGATCAGAGGGATACAGAATGGTATACTACAGGTAGGTTATACAGAGGTGATCTGAGGGATACAGAATGGTACTACTACAGGTAGGTTATACAGAGGTGATCAGAGGGATACAGAATGGTATACTACAGGTAGGTTATACAGAGGTGATCAGAGGGATACAGAATGGTATACTACAGGTAGGTTATACAGAGGTGATCAGAGGGATACAGAATGGTATACTACAGGTAGGTTATACAGAGGTGATCAGAGGGATACAGAATGGTACTACTACAGGTAGGTTATACAGATGTGATCAGAGGGATACAGTATGGTACTACTACAGGTAGGTTATACAAAGGTGATAAGACTATACAGAATAATGACTAATTATATTAAATTGTAGACTTTAGACTGTAATGGGCCAAATAATGGTGATGATTCATTTATAAATTTTCCTGAAAATTTATCATGATGTTCAGTAATTTTGCTGTCATTGATATTTCTGATGTAAGCACAACTATGAGATGTAATTCATTACTGATTCAGATCAGAAGTGGTGGAAAAAGGAGTAGGCCACTTGCCTGGTGACCATTGATGATTTTTCATGTATATAATAATTTCCTGTAGGTTCGCTGAGTCTTGGGAATTTTGTGGGTAGCAGACAAAATTTGACCGATCAACTTCAACAGCAAAACATTTCCTTGTCACCAGATGTTATTGATATGGTTCTCAACTCCTCCATCAACCTCAACAGGGTAACATTTTCTCTTATAAACAATTTTATCTAGGCTTGTTCTTAATGACAATATCTAACTCCATTTTAATTGTTTCATCAAGTGTATTAGTATAGTTACCATTGTTCCTTTGATATCTTTATAATGGATCTTTAATAAAATGTTGCACATCTGGTAGTAAATTTTACAGCATTGTTGTGAATAGTTGACTAATACTGGTTCGTTAAACAATGTATAGACCATAAATTGAACTCTTCCTTCAACACATGAGAGACTTCGAAGAGGAGGCAACTTTAAAATGTACATTATATCTTTCTCATTGTTTATTGCAGTATGATCTCTCCACTGTCAATGAAATACTGACTGACTTCAGCACCTGTCAGCAGAGTCCTCTTGTGTCTTCAGCTGCTGATTTCCGTACCCTACTGTGTAATACAGGAAATCTCTCTCAGCTGTTGGACTTCCAGAACCCAGGTGATGCTGCATATGTTGCGAGCCAAATCTGTGGCCTGGATGCAAGTGATTTTACAATGGCTTTTGAAATTCTTAGGAACCAGACTGACCCAAATGGGGTGGTAAATGAGGTAAATGTTAAACCACTCCAGCCCTCTGTGTTGTATGTAGATGAGGTAAATGTTAAAACCACTCCAGCCCTCGGTGTTATATGAAGATGAGGTAAATGTTAAAACCACTCCAGCCCTCTGTGTTATATGAAGATGAGGTAAATGTTAAACCACTCCAGCCCTCTGTGTTGTATGAAGATGAGGTAAATGTTAAAACCACTCCAGTCCTCTGTGTTGTATGAAGATGAGGTAAATGTTAAAACCACTCCAGTCCTCTGTGTTGTATGAAGATGAGGTAAATGTTAAAACCACTCCAGCCCTCTGTGTTGTATGTAGATGAGGTAAATGTTAAACCACTCCAGCCCTCTGTGTTGTATGAAGATGAGGTAAATGTTAAAACCACTCCAGCCCTCGGTGTTGTATGTAGATGAGGTAAATGTTAAAACCACTCCAGTCCTCTGTGTTGTATGAAGATGAGGTAAATGTTAAAACCACTCCAGTCCTCTGTGTTGTATATAGATGAGGTAAATGTTAAAACCACTCCAGTCCTCTGTGTTGTATATAGATGAGGTAAATGTTAAACCACTCCAGTCCTCTGTGTTGTATGTAAGGAATGACATTTTATTGCCATGAAATATATCCTCACTGGCTATGTCCTATTATAACTACAAGCTTGAAAAGATTTATTTCTTTTTTTTTAATTTAGAAAATACAAGTACTATTTCTTTGAAAAATAGAAGAAAAAAGAAGATGAGGACCAAAGAAAAAAAGTTTCCTATTTTAAAAAGATTGTTTTTTACACTTGTAGCTGGTGCATTATTTAGTATTTATGGACTTAATGACATACTTCCTGTGTATTGTAGATTGACAACTTCATCACTAATACTACAGGAAGGACGCCAAGAACAAATCCGGCCCAACTAATCTCGATCTTTGAGCAGATTAGTAACACAATTTCTGATGTAAGTTTAGTATTCAGATGACAAAATGTTCTGTTGCTATATATGGGTATCAGGGAAAAGATATTTTTACAATTAAATCTTAAAATATTTACTTGAATTTTTTTCCTCTCATTAATTTTGTTTTTCTTCAAAACTTAAAATCTGAGACAAAGTCTCATGGTGAACTATTGCAATCACCTTTCCTAGTGCCATGTGTCATGCATCTGTAAACAATACAACATTTTCAAAAACCCTGCCCTAAGATAAACCAAGGTAGGGAATTATATAAGGTTCCCAACACACAGGGGCCTAAGGGGCAAGGCCAAAAGAGTCTAGTTGACTGAAATTTAAAAATCTTCTTCTCAACACCCAGATATGGTAGAATCATCAAATGTTTTTCATGGATAGAAACATCTTAAGGTGTTTTACCAAAATTGTGAATTTAAATGGCCCCAGGGTCTCACTATTCCCCTATGGGAAGGGGGTAAATGTTACTATAGTTTCTATAGGAAAAATAGATTTTTGAGCATAATTTGTTTAATTTCCATTGGAAACGTTTCAAACTTAGAATTATTAGCAATGGATGATTGCTTGATGGTATGCATACATTGATTCTGACTGACCCCAAGGGACTGATAGGCGGGGCCATTAGGATTCAAATTGACTCAGATTTCAAAAATCTTCTTCTCAATCCAGATACTGTGGAATCAAATGCTCTTCATGGATGGAAGTATCTTAAGGTGCTTTACCAAAATTGTGAATTTCATGGCTCTAGGGTCTCCTATTTCCTGGTGGGGAGGGGGTAAAATTTACTAGTTATATAGGAAAAACAGATTTTTGAGCAAAATTTGTTTAGTCCTTGTTGGAAATATTTCAAACTTGGTTAGAATTATGAGCAAAAATTAATGGGCTTATGGTATGCCCATATTGATCCTAGCTGACTTCATGGGGCTGATGGGCGGGGTCTAAAGGGGTCAAATTGACTCAGATTTCAAAAATCTTCTGCACAGCATCCAGATATGATAAAATCAAATGCTCTTCATGGATGGAAGTGTCTTATGTTGCTTTATGAAAATTGGAATCGCTTATTTTCATGGGAGGAGGTTAACTTTACTATAATTTTTCATAGAAAAAAATTGCATTTTTGAGCATCTTGTTTCTTTCCCAACGGAAATAACTTTGTAAGAATCATTAGTATAGGATGACAGTTTTGATGGTATGCATGTACTAACACTGGCTTACTATCATCAATGTCGCAATTTCTTTTTCGTGACACTTAAAAGCTACTTACCCATTAACCTTTATATTCAATATTGCTTATTTCAGGTGACTGTCAATATGGCTAGACCTCTTGTTCAAAATGTATTTTGTTTTGAATTGGTAATGCATCAAACCTCTATTAAACTGCTGAAAATTTCTTTCTTACACTTTAGAAAAGGTACAAAGAATAAAGAACTACACATTCTGTATGAAGGATTATCTTTTTCACAGGTTACAAATTTGAGGAACAATGCAGTTAGCCTTGCTCCAATCATGGACCTGTTTCGGGATATTAGCAGTGCGAATTTCTCCGTTTTATCGGTGTCCTCTCTTGGAAGTATGATATGTGGCAGGGAAGGCACATTTTTTGGTGAAGCATTAGATGATAACAGTCTGGGGAACCAAGAAAGACAGTCTAACCAGGGAGATAAGCCAGAAATAACCAGCAGGGCACCCACAGTCACTGCTAGTACTCCATCACCGAGTGATTCTGCCAGGAATACACAAAACAGGTCTTATACTTGTAAGTAGCCAGTGTAAATGCATGTGCAATGTCCACGATATAGTAAAACTTCCAGAAATTGAAGTGTCAGGATCAAGATTTATAAAAATACAAAGTCTCAGGGTGACCTATTCCGATCCCCTTCTGTCCAGTGGCGTGTGTTGTACATTATACACTGTGCATTCTAAAATTTCAGTATTTTCGACTTTTTCTGGAAAATTCCTGAACCAATTCCAAAGAAATTTTACAAAAACCTAATGGTGCACCAAAACTGTAAATGATATTGTTCCACAACCCCAAGGGGCCTGAGGCCCTTGGGCCTCTTGTTTTGTTTGCTTTTAATTTAAAGAACTGGTATGTACTGGAAATAAGAAAGAAAGCAATGTAGAGGCAATGTAAGAACAGTTCATTAGCTTTGTGCTTTATGAGTAGTATTTCTGAAAGTGTTTTGTTGAAACTTGAGGAATCATTTTCTGAGATTTTGTTGCATGTCACAAGGATTGATGGCTGTGTGCATATATATCGGTATACAGTCACTTGGAACAAGTGCCTTTAAATTGATAGAGGCTTCAATGTGTATATAAAGTGTATAGTTTATGATTTGAAGCCTAACTGATAAGAACAGTTAAGTAGTCTTTAAGTAGACAAGTTTGTATTTTGTCCCTCATTCAGATGTTACAGATATCTTGCAATGTTATATTTTCCAGCTGATTTATGTCAGAGCCTTGAGTCGAATATTCCGTCTCAGTACATCTGGAAACTGTTGAAGCCAATTTTACAGGGAGATATTTTATACTATCCTGACACGCCTGATATACAGATAATCATCAAAGAGGTTTGTTATCTCACTGGACACCTACTAACCTGTAGGCTAACATTTAGAAACTGATACACAGAAGATCTTACATAAGTTTCATAACACTTTGAAACTCGGATACATAGAAAATCTTACACAAGTTTCCATTTTACTCAGATCAATGAGGCTATGTAGAGGTAAAATGAAAAGTTCATGATGAGTCTTTTAAATCGATCTGAATTGCAAACAAATGACATATTCTGTTTATCTCTTTCTGTATCTCTTCCTGATGTCATAATTCCATTACCCCCATGAAGTAATGATATCACATGGGAAACAGTGAGAACCTTAAGCCAATCACAGCACTGTTAGGTCATATTACATGTATGTAATAGCAAGCATATATTACTGGGTGTTATTACACTGATAACAATGCACCAGGGTAGTTATGTGATAAAGATAGCTTATGATTGGTTATTGTCATTGAACTTTTAAAACCCATATTTTCATTAAGCTTTTGATATGAGAATATTTTTAGGCTGTAGAAATTTCATGTTCTCAGATGAAGAGTTTCACAATGGTTTTCGGTGAAACACAACAAGTTCAGATCTTATTCATGTGTCATCAGAGAATGAGTATTTAGACTTTGACCACATTTCTTTTCATGGTTCTGGAAAATAAACATCTTTCATTTACCATATTGACCAAAATGAAATTATTGTAATGAGTTCTTTCTGAAATATATTCATTGGAGATGATATTTTTTGTTCTTTTTAGATTGTAAAATAACCTAGTTTTGGACGCCTGATTTTCTTTTTATTTTTGGATATTGTGATTTTATGATTTTGTGTTTTTATTCACCTTTAAGCTGATTATTTCTTTTTTCACTACCTTTAGACCAACAAGACTTTTGAAGACTTGGCTAGATTCAGTGAAGCTGCGATGGTGCTTGATGCTGATACACTAATGCTGGAATCTTCCTTAGATATGCTGACTGTAAGTCACTAGCAGTTTAATATCTCTCAAATATTTTTCAGATATATTTTGTTTAACTTTGACCTTGTGAGGCAATTTCAAATTGACTTTAATGTAAAGCATTGGGTGAATTGGTGGCGCAGTGGTAATGCACTTGCTTTTCACCTAGCCGTCCAGAGTTTGATTCCCGAAACGGATGTGAAAAGGTAAGGGGTCACCTGCTCAACCATGTGGGTCTTCCCCGAGTAATCTGATTTCCTCCCACAAGAAGACCCCTCTCGTGCTTACATCGGGGTCAACAAGAGTGATCAGTATAAGTTTAAATAACTTGTTTTGCAATTGTTGTATAATAAAGAAAGTTTATATTATTGAAAATGAAAATGGAAAAGAGAACTGCTGTAATAATTTCATTTAATGATAAGTTTTAAAGCTACAACTAATGTTAGCAATGATGTATTTGTTGACATGTGCTTCATTTGGTGACAGAATTTCACAGGATCTTGCCTCTGTGAGTTACTGGAAAATGCCACTGCTGGTTTGGACTTGGCTCAACTCATCACATCCGAGCTATCCTTTGTGCCAAGCTTTCTGCGCAATTTTGGGGTACAGGAGGTGGAGAGTTATATCAACAGTAACCAATACTGGATGATGATCAAGAGTTCAAATGAGAGCTTTTGTAAATATCTAAACAATTATCTTGTCAACGGGCAATTAGAAACCAACTTTGACCTTCGAAACACTTTAGGGATGATAGAGCAAGTAGCAGGGATGATATCGGGATACACACAGGTAAGGTCTTTATTTGATGCATTATTACTTTTTTTACAAGGTTAATTGACATATTTTAATACGCCCGGTTTTGATTTTTTCACCTTATTCTGACCTTGAGGTGCCTTGTGAATGTCATTATTTTGATCTTGTTTATCTTGTTTCCACAGTGTATTAAGTTTGATAGATTTCGTGGATTCAACGACTACGAACAATTTGTACAAGCCAGTAAGGCAGGTATTGGAGCAGCCACATTTTTCGGAGGTAAGCGATCTGATGTTTCTAAGGTTTATTGACATAATGTAAAATCTGTGGAGGATCTGCATGACTATCCATTCAAATGATATTTATGAAACAAGTCTTTAAACATTTTTTTTGAAGGCCAAGTGAAATGAAAAAATTTGATACAACTTCCAAAAATCTCAGAAGAAATTCAATTGAATGCAAGATTCTGCTGATTGCATAACATTTATCGTTTTGCATTGTTTGTGAAAATAACATTTTATCAGTCAAAAGATTATGTAATGGGTGTTATAACATTGAAAATGGGGAAGGTATGCATTTACAAATGTTTGTGATAAATGTTTTTTTTTTAATTCTCAAACTTGTCATCTCTTAGTTTTCACTTTACTTAGTTATAACTTCTAACAAGAACAGTAATCAGAAGAAACTTGGCACCACAGTATTCTCCAGCTTCTATCCACTAGTATTTCCAAATAAAACATCATTATGACCATATCCAACATTGTTTTCAGCCCTACAGTTTGATGAAGTGAGGATGGACACTAACAAAAGGCCAACTTTCGTCAACTACAGGATACGTATGGACCCTGATAAAGTTGATAGCACCAAGAGAGTCCAAGACAGGTCAGCATCCGACTATCTTTCTGAGTCTTATGTTAGAAACTTGTACATGTCTCAGTGTCTGGCAGGTTCCACATATTAGAGATTTCTGGAATATTTTACTGCTGCTTGGTGTAGACAGATATATGTTTCTGTAGAAACCAAGGCTTGATGTGACCCTGTTGTGAGTGGTTATATATTAAGAATACAGATATGTTTTAGCTGTTTTCCTCAAGGTAGATAAAGGCAGATTTCTCTTGCACCAGTTAACACAGAGAAACACCTGTATAGTACTAGGGTCAATTTTTTAAAGATTTAATCTGTGTTTGTCATAATGTAATCCTTTATCACGTGAGCAGTCCATATAGGCTTGTGTGACTGTCTGAATACCAATTTCTTCTGGTTTACAGATACTGGCGTCCTGGTCCCAGACGTACACCAGGTATTGATACCAAGTACACGACGTTTGGTTTCTCTTATATCCAGGACATGGTAGACCATGCTATCATTCGTTTACAGACTGACACCAAGCAGGACACTGGCATTGAGCTTCAGATGTTTCCCTATCCATGTTACATAGAGGACAAGTTAGTATCGAATGATAATCTATGGGTCACATGAGCAGAAAATATTTGATTACAATATTTCAGGGATATACAAATGTATGCAGCTTTCATTTCAAATATATGTTTAATGCAAAGATATGCACATAAGGATAAAGTATAACAGGCCTTTTAATAGCCATATTCCTCTTTTATCACACGATATGCATGCTACAATAGAAGTTTTTTTATGATCTATAACATTATAGGTTTGTGTATGCCATCTCACGGTCGCTGCCACTGTTTCTGGTGCTAGCTTGGGTGCTAACTGTTGCCATGATTTGTAAGAATGTGGTGTATGAGAAGGAAAAGCGACTGAAGGAGGTGATGAAGATCATGGGACTGGGTAACCTGGTTCACTGGATTGCCTGGTTTATCAACGCCTTTGTTGTCATGTTTGTAACCATTCTTCTCCTAGTCATCCTTGTCAAGGTCAGTGTGAAGGTCATCACTTGGATTTTAAAAACTAGTTTGATATCAATTGCTATCACCATTAAATCTAATTTTAATTTTGACTGATAATACTGATATATCTTGTACTGGTTATGTAAAATACTGTTAAATATCTGAGATTGAAACAAATACTGCCATTTTGAATCTTGAAAAACAAAATTAAGACCAAAAACAGAGGAAAGGAGAGAAAAGAATGGACAAGATCCAACTTTTAAAGAGGAAATAAAAATCAAATGATGATGGGTGCCAATATCCCTGTTGGATCCCTTGTTAAATGTTACTGACTGGTTTTCACAAGAGGAACGATATTATCAGTAAATTTTCTGTGAGATTTCATTCAGTAATGCTTTAAATGTGATACATGTTCATTTCACAATTAAATTCAATGCAAAATGTGTCCTGATCATATCAAGTGTACTAGTATTTACTATCAGAGTATATTTTTTTCTTTAGGGAGGAAAAGTGCTGGAGTTCTCCGACCCATCTGTACTGATATTTTTCTTCACTGTGTTTGCCATTTCTACCATCATACAATGTTTCCTGATCAGTGTGTTCTTCAGCCGAGCCAATCTGGCTGCCTGTTGTGCAGGCTTCATCTATTTCTTGCTATACCTGCCCTATAACCTGTCTATTCAGTGGGAGGAACAGATGACTGGTGGTCACAAGTTCCTTGGGGTAAGTCATGAAAACAGGTATATACCGATTGTACACTAAGCTTATTGGTTATGTTCTGTTTTGCAATGCATTCACTGGGTATATTTCTCTGGGCATATCATGATTTAGCCTACTTTTACTTGCATGTCATGTTGAAATTTGTAATATTTGATGCAAACAAATGAGATTTATAGAAACGTTTCTTCATTTTTTCTGTTGCTCTGTTTATCAATTCAAGTTTGATATTTATACTACCTAAACCAATATTGACCTTTTTTATTGTAGAATAGACAGCCTGTTGTTCACACTTCGTTTTAACCCTTATTATAAATTAAATTACCAGGTATGACAAAAATGATAAAAATTAAACAAGACTTTCCCATTTTAATACAGAGTCTGTCATCAGGTGTAGCGTTTGGGTTTGGCTGTAGCTACATTGCCCGCTATGAAGAGCAGGCTATAGGCATCCAGTGGTACAATCTGGCAGAAACTCCCTCTGTAGATGATGACTTCAACATGCTTTACTGTATCATAATGATGTTGGTTGACTCTGTCCTGTATGCCATAGCTGTATGGTACATTGAAGCAGTGTTCCCGGGTAAGTTTGAGCCGAAGTTTTAGTGATTGTGTTGTGACAATAGTTGTTAGATTCCCTTTAATAACCACAGTGTCCATCCATCTCTGTGTATGTAGAAACCTATTTTTGATCTATAACTCAACTTGTCAACCAGTGCTGGCTTTTGTATTGAAACTGTCAGTCAGTTATTTCACCTCTGATGTGTTTTTGTAATTGAGATATTAGTTTGCACAGGACAGCTCTTGGTAACATTACAGATTGTGGAAAGGTTTTTAATTTTTTAAAAAACATTATTAAGTTATTAATGAAATTATAAATTGTAATTTAATATAAAGGTCATCTGTTTGAATTGAAATAAAAAAGAAATAACAGACGTGTGATTGTACTTTGGCCAGGTGACTTTGGAATTCCTCGCAAATGGTACTTCCCCTTCCAGAAGTCATACTGGTGTGGTACCCAGGGACATGTGGTTGATGGAATGGCCTACACTATTGGAGAATCTACATTGGAACTCAATGGTTCATGTAAGTAGAAAAACATGTGGACTTATTGTTGATGGGATGACTTATAAATACAGGTTAGAACTGATAGGTTGAAGTGAGTGGGACTATGTGTAGATGTGCTGTTGATGGAATGGTTGGAAACATGGTTCATGGGAAATATATTTACAAGGTGGCATACTTTGTATTTGCTCGGCTTGTTAAAATATACACTAAATCTTGTAAGACAGGTCAGATGTCTGAGAGATTCTTGTACAGAGAATAATTGATCAGTTTGATATCATATACTTCAAAAAGCCATTTGTTTAAAAAAACAAATCTGTTGGGGATGAAATTTGAACATTTAAAGTCTTACTTTACAGTAAATGCAAAGGGCTAACATAACCTTTGATTCAGATTTTTGAGTGGGCTTAGTTGATATTTGTGTCCAACTGAATTAGATATGGATGTTCTTATTGCTTGCTTATTATAAGTAAATATGGTATATGTTGTAAATTGTAATAAGTAAATCTGTTGTAGCTGTAAGAACCATGGAGAAAGAGCCTCAGCACAGACGTCTGGGCGTGGCCATAAGGAACCTCAAGAAAGTTTACAGCCGGGGAAAGAAGGTGGCAGTAGATGGACTGACATTGAATTTCTATGAGGGTCAGATTACCTCCTTCCTTGGCCATAATGGTGCAGGAAAAACCACTACCATGTAAGCCTTCATGTTGGTAGTGTGGTGGAATTGTACATTGTTGGTGCACTATACTGTATGAAGTGAGGTGTTCCTTAGTGGAATAAACATTTTTTTCTTATTTAACTCATAAGGGAAAGAATCAGCAGTGTTGAAATGTGGTAACAGTATACTCAGTTGTAAGGATGTAATGTTGTAATGAAACTTAGTTTTGTTAGAATGGAGACAAATTTTACTTGAAGTGAGAGATAAATTCTCAGTAAATATATCACAGTAAGCTGTGTATACTTGTTTTAAAACTCCTCTTTCGTTGCTCATAAATAGAAAATTTATCTCTTTATTGTTTCCACGATGTTATGACTGTACACAATTTGTTTCCTCAGGTCGATTTTGACCGGACTTTTCCCACCAACAGAAGGCACAGCCTTCATTTATGGGAAGGACATTAGAACAGAAATAGATGAAATCAGAAAGAGCATTGGCATGTGTCCCCAACACAATGTTCTGTTTGACCAGTAAGTGGTATACAATGTAGGTTAGAATATAGCTGACACCAACACGAACTTCAAGAGTCAGGTTACTGAGATACTGATATAAATAGGTTTCTGTGATTACTGTTAACTGTTTCTTGGAAGGAGATATAATTGTCAGTTAAAGTGAAAACAAAAATTATATCTCTCTACTTATGATCTGGAAATTCACTTTATTTTTCAATTTTTAAAATAGAGCATAATGTGTAAAGACTTAAAGTACTGATACAGATAAGCCTTAAAACAACTGACCTAGATTTGTAACCATAGTGGTAGGAATTTTGATACAGACCGAAGATAAACAGAAAAATATTTTCTCGTATCACTCCCAGTAGTGCAGTGCTGCATTGGAAAATGTGTCATCAGCCTAGAACATACATAGTGGCATACATCTTTAAAACTATGTCAATAAAGATAGAGGTTAAAAAGTCCGAACATTTATCTAAATCATTTCTTTAATGAATATTAATTTCCTTCAATAGTTTAACAGTTGAAGAACACTTGTGGTTCTTTGCACGAATGCGAGGATTAAGCCCTGAGAAGGTGAAGAAAGAAATGGAACAGATGATTAAAGATGTAGGCCTACCACACAAACGAAAAGAACTCTCCAACAGCTTATCAGGTGGGTATTTACTTTAATGTAAGTGTAGAATATCCCTTATAACAGAATCAATAAAATATAAAAATTCCCTAAGGTTTTGTTGACCCAGGCAAACTTAAATTGTAAGTTGGTCAGGAAAACATAACCAAAAATCCTCAAAATTCATTGTTTGTTTATGATGTAAGCGAAAAAACATCTTTTAAATTATGACGGTTTGACAATTAAAATATTGATGTTTTTATAATAGGTGGTATGAAGAGGAAGCTCTCAGTTGCCATAGCATTCTGTGGAAATGCCAAAACTGTTATCTTAGACGAACCAACAGCTGGAGTTGATCCTTATGCCAGACGGTCTATTTGGGAACTCCTCTTCAAAGTTAAGAAAAGTAAGTATGGATGCCACCCAGTGGTTATATTTCAGGACCTTTGTGAGATATCCCTCTGAAATAATTTTTATTGAACTATTTTAAGTTTTCAATGCATTAGTATTTATATAGTGGTTTACTTTAATCACTTGTCACTCTATCCTGGATATGGATGTTTATCAATTATCACATAAAAGCTACATATTAAAAGCAATAAAAGTCCTTTATACAGAAATAGGTATGACATTTCAATATGTTTTACCAGATCCTAAGTTAAAAGTCCAAGAAAAAAAGCAGGAAGTTGCATTGATGAGTATTGATACTTGAAGTTGAAATCAGGTCTTAAAAACAGTAATAACCTGCTGTTTCTAAAATCAGTAACCACGAATGAATATGTTTAATATTGACACACATGTGACCATATCTTGACCAATCACAGCTTTTGAAGTATAGCCTTTGTCTACAAAGCATACATATTTATACCACATGCTAAGTGAGATAGGGTGAAGGTGGAAACATCTATACCACATGCTAAGTGAGATAGGGTGATGGTGGAATTATGTCCTTTCTTTTTGTCACCCTTTACCTTTGTGACATGTTGGATAGTATATAACACGAATCAGTCTAATGTGGATGTATTTCAGGAGTGACTCTCAAATAAGTGCTATACCGTAGTTAATTTTGAATGATATTTCTTATGTGCCCAAACGTTCTTTGTAGACCGTACAATTCTGCTGTCCACCCATCACATGGATGAAGCTGATGTCCTTGGAGACAGAATAGCTATCATATCACAGGGCAAGCTCTGCTGCTGTGGCTCCAGTCTCTTTCTCAAGTCCGTTTATGGCAATGGCTATTATCTCACCATGGTGCAATCTAATGGAGATGATCAGGATGATGATTCTGATGATTTAGAGGACAGAAAGGATGCCATTAAACCTTCAGGGAAGTATGACAGATTAAATAGCTTCCAGATGGAAGAGAGACCAATGTCTGGTGGCAGTATCATCTCAGGCAACAGCACCAGGACTATCAAGCAAGTCGAGGTAGGGAAAAACTCTGAAAAACATATTTGATGTATAAATTTAACTTTTTGAGGTAAAGAAAGAGAGCTAACATTGAAGTCTGTACTTTGATTAATCTAGGTGTCCTTTTATCTTCACTGAATGTTTTGATATGAAAATGACTTATGTACTGGTAGCTATATATATTAAGTGTTGTGTTCTTTTAACAGCCTTCCATGTCAGAGACTGCAGATGAGGGTTATGCTGATAGTAACACAGAGAGAAGTGATAGTGACCCCCCTACACCACCTCCAGAATCAGCTACCATGATCCCAGGTCAGAACAACTAACAAAACTGTCCTTGAAATAAAATTTAAAAAAGAGAAGTTATTATTTCATAGTCTGTATCAGTTATATTTAATGCATTGTTTTTATTTGATTACAGGTTTTAGTGTAGAACGTGTGGCAGCATTTGTGAGGAAGTATGTAGCTAAGGCACGGCTTGTAGAAGATAACAATGCTGAGCTGACATTCCAGCTCCCTGAGCAGGCAGCACATGAAGGAAAGTTTCAGAAAATGTTCAAAGCTCTGGAACATTGTCACAAGGACCTTGGCATCTCAAGCTTTGGTATCTCTGACACAAGTCTTGAGGAGGTATGTTATCGAAGGAATAGAAAAAATTATGCTATTTATCACAGTTAGTTATTTGTCATCAAGTTTCCCTGGATGAAAACTAGTGAAGAGGCTTTCATTGAATTATGCAGGAAGCTTTCATGATCCAATGAATTTCAATATTTTATGGGTAAGCAATTTGTGATTTCTGAAAAATTAGGTGATATTGTAAAAATGTTTTATTTGAGGATTTTTATTTTTTGATAACCTATTGGCACTATGGGTAGACTGTAAAATCACCATGGTAACAAGTTGTCAATAAGAAAATTGCAATGTTAAACAATGAAATTAGTATTACTTAATTTTTGAAATATTTGTTCAGAAAAGTGTAATGGTATTCATTGAGAGTAGTGAATATAATATGTATATGTGGTACTTTTAAGACTTAATGAAGTCTGTGCTGGGTGATTTTGTGAAAGTCCATCTATGTAAAATTCTACTTGAAGGTTTTCCTGAAAGTCACAGAGGAACATTCAAAAGACGATGAACTGGATGATGAGTTACTGAGAAACAAACAGGAAGAGACAACAGACAGTAAGTAACAAGCAAGGACTGCCAATGTAAATGTTGATACAGAATGGAGGAAAATTTATTGAATTAATGTGCACACAATTTCCTTAACGAAATATCATAATGTGCTTGAAACTTCCTACTTATCCATCTTATTCAACAATTTTAGCAAAAAGATTTTTTTCTTCAGAGGGACGAATTGCCAAGTCTGTTACACGCCTGAGCTTTAGAAGGAAGAAGAAGAAATCCTTACTCAAGTCTTTAGCACAGGCATCAAAACGAGGAAAAGTTAAGGTGGACACTGATAATCTTTTGTCTGACACAGGTAAGCTGAGTTTTAATTCTGTGTTACTAAAATCTTAAACACAGGCATCAAAACGAGGAAAAGTTAAGGTGGACACTGATAATCTTTTGTCTGACACAGGTAAGCTGAGGTCTAATTCTGTGTTACTGAAATCTTAAACACAGGCATCAAAACGAGGAAAAGTTAAGGTGGACACTGATAATCTTTTGTCTGACACAGGTAAGCTGAGGATTAATTCTGTGTTACTAAAATTTTTAGCACAGGCATCAAAATGAAGGAAAGCTTAGGTGGACACTGATAATGTTTTGTCTGACACAGGTAAGCTGAGGTTTAATTCTGTGTTGTTTAGCTCTGATATTTGTTCATTTTAATAGGCTCTGATATCTGCCCAGTCTGATAGACTTGGGTGTCTCTTCCTTTTGATAGACTGTTATTTGATAAGGCACTGTGAGTTTAATCTTATTGTCCACACAAGATCAAAATAAACGTTCTCAGGACTTGGTTTAGATCTCTCCGTATTCTTAAATTTTTGAAATAAATAAAGACAAAAATTTTTAGATTAGATGATATTTTATCAATGTGAATCCATTTTTAAGTTGTCGGTCAAAATGGGTACGGGGAATTTTTACTGCTTAGAGAAAATTCTTTTGTGTTGTGGAAAAGGAAGTTAGAATGATGTTTGTACAATTCCTACGAATAATTTTTGAAACTAAAAAAAGGTTTTAACTTTATTGATGAACGTTTTCATAAATTTCAATAAATGATGACTTCTGAAAAAAATTCTTGTTCTAGTCACTTTTGCAGTTGGAAAATTGCGATCTGGAGGTAGTGTATAGTAAACAGTGTAAAAAATTGAGGCGATGTGGAATGCTTGTGAATGTTGCTAGTATTCATTTTTTGCAAGAATTACATAATTTGCGAATATGCTATATATTTTAGAGTGAATAGTTAAAACATTGGATTATCTCCAAAAATTATACAAGCATGATTTTGTTTTGAAAAATTTATTTTCAGGATTCTGTGTGTTTGTATAGTTTTAGCGTTAATGATATCTGTGGCTATAATTTTCCTCTGTTACTTTGCACTCCACTCATTGTTGTTGGTTTTTTGTCCATTTTGTTATTCTTTTATCCTGATCATGTGAATGAAGACGATAACACATATATAATTGTCCTGTTTTATATCACAAATCTATGATAATCCTACATTTGTTCTTTCTTCATATTACAACCTATTGTATTACTGACTTCAATGAGTTCTCTCTGTTTGGAATGATCAGGCCTCAAATTAAGTTCAGAATTACATTATTGTTTAATAGGTACATCAGTAAAATCAGACTTGCATAGACAAAATTAAACAAAAGGTTGCTGTTGTAAATATTTTGTGCTTCATAATTATATTTCTTGTATAAAAGAGTTCAACAAGGTGTGTAACAGTTGTAAAATAAAATTGATTCTCCCAACCTAATTGGGTAATAGTGTTCAAGCTATGACAAGAAGCTATAACATATAAGACATATATATATATATATATATATATCATGACAAGTTTTAAGATGATTATTCCTTTGGTCTTGAATTGATTTTATAAATAATTGATATCATCAAGAATTGTTATTGTTTATAATTAATAATATATATAATTGATGTTCTAGATAATTGATGTTATTAATAGTTGATCTTATTAATAATTAATGTTAGAGACTGCCTGGCAGTTTTGATTTGGTCCATACTGTGCTGTGTTATATAACCATAAAAGGCATGATTGCAACATAACAGAACAAACTGGTTATGTTTTAGAAATGTTAATATTTCATGTATAGATAGTAGAGTAATGTCAGTGAAATACTTGTCATACAGGTTTATATATAATTATTTGTTTATACATGTTTATATATAATTATTTGTTTATCATTACCAATAACCTCTTGTATTTGTTAGGCGTAGTGTTGTCTATAGCATATTAGATATTTGTTCAGGAAATATCTATCATTTATTTAAATCTGTATCCTTCACAGAGTCTGTAGTGTCTGAGGCAGTGTCGGAGAAAGGTGATGTTGGCTTTAACCATAAACAGATGTCAAAAATTACCGGGAAATGGCTGATAGTACGACAGTTTATAGCCCTCTTTATTAAGAGGTTCCATCGTGTGAGAAGGAGTAAGAAGGGTTTTCTGTGTGAGGTGAGTGTATATCTGGGGAATGGGTCATGTTTTACCTGGGGTTGATCATACAATGTATATCTGGGGAATGGGTAGTGATTCCCAGGGGTTACTTATACAATGTTTATCTGGGGAATGGGTAGTGATTCCCAGGGGGTTGATCATACAATGTATATCTGGGGAATGGGTAGTTTTTCTCAGGGGTTACTTATACAATGTTTATCTGGGGAATGGGTAGTGATTCCCAGGGGGTTGATTATACAATGTTTATCTAGGGAATGTACCTTATTTTCCAGGGTTGGTTACATGATGTATATCTGGGGAATGTACCTTATTTTCCAGGGTTGGTTACATGATGTCTATCTGGGGAATGTACCATATTTTCCAGGGTTGGTTACATGATGTCTATCTGGGGAATGTACCATATTTTCCAGGGTTGGTTACATGATGTATATCTTGGGAATGTACCTTATTTTCCAGGGTTGGTTACATAATGTATATCTGGGGAATGTACCTTATTTTCCAGGGTTGGTTACATGATGTCTATCTGGGGAATGTACCATATTTTCCAGGGTTGGTTACATGATGTCTATCTGGGGAATGTACCATATTTTCCAGGGTTGGTTACATAATGTATATCTGGGGAATGTACCTTATTTCCCAGGGTTGGTTACATGATGTCTATCTGGGGAATGTACCATATTTTCCAGGGTTGGTAACATGATGTATATCTGGGGAATGTACCATATTTTCCAGGGTTGGTTACATGAGGTATATCTGGGGAATGTACCTTATTTTCCAGGGTTGGTTACATGATGTCTATCTGGGGAATGTACCATATTTTCCAGGGTTGGTTACATGATGTCTATCTGGGGAATGTACCATATTTTCCAGGGTTGGTTACATGATGTATATCTGGGGAATGTACCTTATTTTCCAGGGTTGGTTACATGATGTCTATCTGGGGAATGTACCATATTTTCCAGGGTTGGTTACATAATGTATATCTGGGGAATGTACCTTATTTTCCAGGGTTGGTTACATGATGTCTATCTGGGGAATGTACCATATTTTCCAGGGTTGGTTACATGATGTCTATCTGGGGAATGTACCATATTTTCCAGGGTTGGTTACATGATGTCTATCTGGGGAATGTACCATATTTTCCAGGGTTGGTTACATGATGTCTATCTGGGGAATGTACCATATTTTCCAGGGTTGGTTACATAATGTATATCTGGGGAATGTACCTTATTTCCCAGGGTTGGTTACATGATGTCTATCTGGGGAATGTACCATATTTTCCAGGGTTGGTTACATGATGTATATCTGGGGAATGTACCATATTTTCCAGGGTTGGTTACATGATGTATATCTGGGGAATGTACCTTATTTTCCAGGGTTGGTTACATGATGTATATCTGGGGAATGTACCATATTTTCCAGGGTTGGTTACATGATGTATATCTGGGGAATGTACCTTATTTTCCAGGGTTGGTTACATGATATATATCTGGGGAATGTACCATATTTTCCAGGGTTGGTAACATGATGTATATCTGGGGAATGTACCATATTTTCCAGGGTTGGTAACATGATGTCTATCTGGGGAATGTACCATATTTTCCAGGGTTGGTTACATAATGTATATCTGGGGAATGTACCATATTTTCCAGGGTTGGTAACATGATGTATATCTGGGGAATGTGTCAAGGTTGATTGAAGTTCAATCATAACAATGAATGTTAAAAGACTTGTATCAAGGTTATAATTGTTATCATACCATATTATATAATGTATGTCTGCCTAGTAACATCATAGTATGAGGTGGTTCATGAATATTGTATAAAGTTGATGTTGATAATGTCAAAACCAGTACGTCGTCAACTTGACATAGTTTTTTACTGGTCAAGTATGTCCAGTCATGAGTAAAGTGATTTGGGGTTGAATTCAGATATCTGTGGATGATTGACTTATGGTGTTTTATGTTTCAAATGAAGAGTAATTTTGTTTGGTCACAGATTGTACTTCCTGCCATATTTGTACTGATGGCTATGGTATTTGCGGAGATAGCTCCCCCACTGACTGAGGAACCTCCCCTGGAGTTGCACCCATGGCACTATATCCCTAAACTGGGTGAAAAGAAGCTTTACATGTTTTACAGGTAGGCATTTATCTGTCTCCCTCCCCTTTTCCCCCGTCCCCCACTCTCAGTTAAACATAGGGCTAACATCATAAAACAACTAAGTAGTGTTTTTAGAACATTGTCTGCTGACAGGCTAGAAAAACTCAAAGGCAGTAATAGCGGGCCTGAAACCTCTTACGTGAAGGTTTTGGGCCTGATTTTATAAAGTGTTAAAAATTAGCATCCAAGTATTTTGTAAGTGTGAACAGTATGTAAACATGGATACCCCAATGAAAACCTCACCAGCATGATATTATGACTGACATTTGATTATTTTTTTTGTCCCAATGGTGTTTGATTACTAAGGTGTTTATTTCCTATTCTGCAGTATGGATGGCCTTGGTCCAAAAGGAGAGAGAAACCTGGAGATGCTTGTGAAGAATCCTTGTGTTGGTAATCGATGCATGAACCCCTCTATTCATACCATACCGTAAGTTTATTAAAATAATGCTTATGATGCACATCTCCCCAAACATCTATAAATTAATGATATCTAAAGCTCTTTTGTCTTTTAAAATATTATAATGTGTTACAACTGTACCAAGTGCTGATAGTGTAACAGTTTGATGATGCCTGATAAGAAGATTATGACTAGACATATATATATATATATATTGGTATGTGAGATTAATACTCTGGCACATGAATTTAGATGTTGGACCATAACATACATATTATGTTATAGAGAAATGTTAACATCGTAACATAGATCTTACCATTAATGATAGTTAAATGGTTACAGTGAGTTCCCATGTAGTGACGACTGGAGAAGCAAGGCTATTAGACAGTGGTCCTCACCTACCACGACCAAGGGTAACAACATTCAGTGTTCCTGTGACTCTGGCTGGCAGAGATGTCCTGATGGTCAGTACCTCTATCTCCCCTCAGCAAATATTACACACTCACAACCATGTATCTCCAGTATGATATCATGTCATTGTTTGTTGTAAAGTCTCTGTCATGTAAATGGTTAATTCCGGTCACATTAGTCCTATCTTTTCTTTCCCATTTGTCATTTTTCCTCATCATGATTAGTCTGAAGAGTCAAAATCGAATTTTTTTTTTATTTTTATTTTTTCATCCATGCCTAGTTTAGAGGTTATTGTATACATTTGAGCATAGGTGCTGGAGGTCCAGAACAACCTATTACAGTTATTCTGTACAACATAATAATGTGATATTGTAACTTTGTACACCTTTGACACAGGTGCTGGCGGTCCAGAACAACCTATTACAGTTATTCTGTACAATACAATAATGTGATATCATAACTTTGTACACCTTTAACACAGGTGCTGGCGGTCCAGAACAACCTATTACAGTTATTCTGTACAATACAATAATGTGATATCATAACTTTGTACACCTTTAACACAGGTGCTGGAGGTCCAGAACAACCTAGTACAGTTATTCTGTACAATACAATAATGTGATATTGTAACTTTGTACACCTTTAACACAGGTGCTGGAGGTCCAGAACAACCTAGTACAGTTATTCTGTACAATACAATAATGTGATATTGTAACTTTGTACACCTTTGACACAGGTGCTGGCGGTCCAGAACCACCCTATGTGAATCTACCAACTACAGATACTCTGTACAACATGACAGACCGTAGCATTAGTGATTGGCTCCTCAAAACTCACAAACGTTACATAAAGAGAAGGTAAAGTTTTACTCATCAGATCCAATAGCTTTAAAATGCGAAGTTGTGGAGTGAAGGTTTTCAAAGTTTTAGATGGAGAAAGAAATAATAATAAAACACCAGTAATACTGATGGCTACTCTGGCTAGACAGGTGTATATAGAATGTTAACTACTGTTAGTAGAACATGTAAATATATACAAGATGTAAATGGCAGATGGCCACCTTAGCTAGACAGGTGTAAATACAGAGTAGAAACGCCTAATCAGTCCTTATTTTTTGGTAACCAACATGAAGCAATCAACATGTTAGTACGTACATGACCATTAGAGATATATCTTATCACAGGTTCGGTGGGTTTTCCTTTGGAGATGTAGAGCCTATAGCTGTTGAGCTACAGAAAGCCCTACAGAACATGTCACAAGTTTTCAATACAACCTCAAATGACTGGAACTGGGTTCGCGACCTCTTCTCCGCGGACGTCAACAAGGTAAGTAGATCACTGTTAACAAGACTATCTTTACTCTTCAGATTTTATTAAGCGTTAGCAGATTTTTTAATGAAATTAAATTTAAAAGTTAAAAAGTTGAATAAAGGTGGAAACTCCATGCTTTCAGGATTTATTCAACAGAAAGGAAAATATGTTTTCATTATTGAAATCGTCACAAGGATAAATTAATCTTGTCTCTTGTCATATTCAAGTGAAGGCTGAGATTGAAGTTAATTCTTTTGTATTCTGTAATTAGGTATGGTACAACAACAAGGGCTGGGCAGCCATTGTAGCTTACACGAACGTAATGAACAACTTGATTCTACGGAGCATGGCCCCCAATACTTCAAATCCATCAGACTATGGCATTGTAACATTTAACCATCCTGTGGAATACACAAAGTCTCAACTCACCACCAAACTACTGTAAGTATCTGCAACAAATCCTGTAAAACACGCTCAATATCAGACTTGAATGTCAACAAGCCACCAAAAGTAGATATAACATGTTCCAAAATGTGACTCACCTGACAGCAAACTACCATAAGTCTCTATGACATATCCTCAATATGTGACTCACCTGACAGCAAACTACCATAAGTATCTACGACATCTCAATAGGTGACTCACCTGACAGCAAACTACCATAAGTATCTACGACATCTCCTCAATATGTGACTCACCAGACAGCAAACTACCATAAGTATCTACAACATCTCCTCAATAGGTGACTCACCAGACAGCAAACTACCATAAGTATCTACAACATCTCCTCAATAGGTGACTCACCTGACAGCAAACTACCATAAGTATCTACAACATCTCCTCAATATGTGACTCATGGGACAGCAAACTACCATAAGTATCTATGACATATCCTCAGTAGGTGACTCACCAGACAGCAAACTACCATAAGTATCTACAACATCTCCTCAATATGTGACTCATGGGACAGCAAACTACCATAAGTATCTATGACATATCCTCAATAGGTGACTCACCAGACAGCAAACTACCATAAGTATCTACGACATCTTAATAGGTGACTCACCTGACAGCAAACTACCATAAGTCTCTATGGCATATCCTCAATATGTGACTCACCAGACAGCAAACTACCATAAGTATCTACAACATCTCCTCAATAGGTGACTCACCAGACAGCAAACTACCATAAGTATCCTCAATATGTGACTCATGGGACAGCAAACTACCATAAGTATCTACGACATCTCAATAGGTGACTCACCAGACAGTAAAATGCTATAAGTATCTAAGACATGCTCTCTGTGTATGCCAACAGCCTGCCTTGTTGGTTACAGAAATTATTTTATCCTGACAGGCCTGACAACAGTAGTGAATACACAAACCAGTCTCTAATATTTCAATTTGATTTTACAATATTTTGATACTGTTTGTGACAGGCAAGACAATGGATTTGACATTTTTTGCAGTTTGTGACAGAAGAGTCAATGGAGTAGACATTGGGTAGTGTTGTGTGTGACAGGCAAGGCAATGCTGTAGATATTTGTATATTGTTGTGTGTGACAGGCAAGGCAATGCTGTAGATATTTGTATATTGTTGTGTGTGACAGGCAAGGCAATGCTGTAGATATTTGTATATTGTTGTTTGTGACAAGCAAGGCAGTGGTGTAGACTTTTATATATTGTTATTTATAAAAGGCAAGTCAACAGAGCAGACTTTTATATATACAGTGGTGTAGACTTTTATATATTTCTGTTATGTAACAGGCGAGCCAGTGGTGTAGACTTTTATATATTTCTGTTATATAACAGGCGAGCCAGTGGTGTAGACTTTTATATATTTCTGTTATGTAACAGGCGAGCCAGTGGTGTAGACTTTTATATATTTCTGTTATGTAACAGGCGAGCCAGTGGTGTAGACTTTTATATATTTCTGTTATGTAACAGGCGAGCCAGTGGTGTAGACTTTTATATATTTCTGTTATGTAACAGGCGAGCCAGTGGTGTAGACTTTTATATATTTCTGTTATGTGACAGGCGAGCCAGGGGTGTAGACTTTTATATATTTCTGTTATGTAACAGGCGAGCCAGTGGTGTAGACTTTTATATATTTCTGTTATATAACAGGCGAGCCAGTGGTGTAGACTTTTATATATTTCTGTTATGTAACAGGCGAGCCTGTGGTGTAGACTTTTATATATTTCTGTTATGTGACAGGCGAGCCAGGGGTGTAGACTTTTATATATTTCTGTTATGTGACAGGCGAGCCAGTGGTGTAGACATTTTTATATTTCTGTTATGTAACAGGCGAGCCAGTGGTGTAGACATTTGCATATTTCTGTTATGTGACAAGCGAGCCAGTGGTGTAGACTTTTATATATTTCTGTTATGTGACAAGCGAGCCAGTGGTGTAGACATTTGCATATTTCTGTTATGTGACAAGCGAGCCAGTGGTGTAGACTTTTATATATTTCTGTTATGTGACAAGCGAGCCAGTGGTGTAGACATTTGTATATTTCTGTTATGTGACAAGTGAGCCAGTGGTGTAGACATTTGTATATTTCTGTTAAGTAACAGGCGAGCCAGTGGTGTAGACATTTGCATATTTCTGTTATGTGACAAACGAGCCAGTGGTGTACTTTTATATATTTCTGTTATGTGACAGGTGAGCCAGTGGTGTAGACATTTGTATATTTCTGTTATGTAACAGGCGAGCCAGTGGTGTAGACATTTGCATATTTCTGTTATGTGACAGGCAAACCAGTGGTGTAGACATTTGCATATTTCTGTTATGTGACAGGCGAGCCAGTGGTGTAGATATTTGTATATTTCTGTTATGTAACAGGCGAGCCAGTGGCGTGGACCTAGTTATAGCCATCTGTATGATCTTCGCCATGTCCTTCATACCAGCAAGCTTTACTATGGTACTGATAGAGGAACGTGCATCCAACTCAAAGCACCTGCAATTTGTTAGTGGTGTGAACCCTACTGTGTATTGGATATCTAACAGTGCTTGGGACATGGTGAGTATTCCATGGTGTATGGATTTGTAGCTAAGGACACTGTAATTTGATTTTAAGTTCAAATAGAACATTATATTAAATAGAAATTATCAGGATAGTTGAGGAGTTATTTCCCTTCCTTGAATCTTGTGTAGCAGAGTTGAAATGTCTTAAATGTCTTCAAGACTGCAAGATTTAGGGGGGCAAATGACTTAGTGTTGCTGTAGAATATGTGTCAGAAAGTAGAAAAACACGGTATTTAAACTTCTAAAAACATTTTCATAAGGAAAAATGTATCTCAGTGCAGTTAGATGATGAATTATTTCCAAACTGAAGTAAATGAAACAGGTGATCAAATAGTCACTTTGTTGTTTTCCTTAACTTTTCATTAATGAGGGACAATCAGTTTAAATAAATATCTATGGAAACTTTTCTTATTATAGTTGGATACAAATGAAGACAATATGATCATATTAAGGTTGTTGAACAACATCAACCAGTAGTTTGATGATGACTTTGAGATCAGTGAAAAGCACTAACCAGCAGATTGATAACTACATCCGTGCTTGCTTGCATACAGAATTGACCCAATGATGTCTATATTTTCATTTCTGAAGAGTTCTTAATCATGTTGATGGCTACTGATGTACTTCGTTTTTTTATTAGTTTAATAATGAAGTGAAAATTTCATTAAAGTTGGAAAAAACAGCCATTCTGTTCTTATATTTTTTCTGAAATGTCATGTAGGTAAACTGAATATATAGTTGTGTGACTGAATATCACATTTCAGATGAGCTATTTTGTGTCCTGTGTGATGATGTTGTTTATTTTCCTGGCATTTGGACGAGAAGCATATGTTGGTCCAATGAATGGGCCCTGTCTGCTTGCTCTTCTTTTCTTCTATGGGTGAGTTGTTCTTTAGACAAGAATATTTTTGAATTATTAATTAATGTTTCATTATGGATGTTAACTTGTCTACCAGTGAGTGAGTTTGGTGTTCCCACTGAAGAAGGAGAGGAGAAAATCAGGAAAATAAATAATTTAATGAAAAGTATATCCTCTTCAAGATTGATTTTTGGTGATCAAAGCAAAAAAAAAAAAAAAAAAAAACAGAAAACAGAAAAAATAAACCCACACATTTGCAGTATATTGAGGAAAGTGTTCAATATGGCCATCCTGTTGTTTGTGTATAAGCATTGATTCTGACCCGAACACCTATTTTTATCGTGTATACTTTTAGGTGGGCAATGATCCCTTTGATGCATCCATTCAGTCGCCTCTTTAGTATTCCCAGTACTGCCATGGTAACGCTGCAGTCTATCAACATCTTTATTGGCACCACCACTACCATGGCAACCTTCATCCTGGAATTCCTGGAACAGTCTGATGAGGTTTGTAACGGTTGTGATGTGTTGTTGCAGACTTCTATGTATCTGACCAAATATAGACCTACAACAATATCTATTTATGGGTGTTATAATATAGTCAGGATAAACAACCACTTAATATTTCCAATGTCCTTTTACCATTTACTTGTTAAATGGAAATGAGATGGTATACTCTACTATACTTATGTCTGATTTTGCTATTGTACTTGTTAGGAGCTTAAAGACATCAACATCCTACTGAAGAAAGTGTTCCTGGTGTTCCCCCAGTATTGCCTGGGGCGTGGTCTCATGGATATGTCTACAAACCAACTGTATGCAGAGGCTAATGCAGAGTTTGGCAAGTGTCTTTTTGACAAATTTTGCTAAGTCACTTCTCAACTCTTTGAATTTGATTCTCTGATTCATGATCATGATCAAAGACATTTATCACTCTCTTCTTACTGGGAGTTCCCCCCGGGCTTATTGCAGGTGAAAATGGTTTATAACAGCAAAAGAGTAGATATAAATATGCTTCAAAATTGTATCCATTCAAAAGGAGTGTATTGTTTACAACTGACATTTCATTGTAGGTTTCTCATCTGGCGGGCCACCAAGTCCATTTGAGTTTGACCAGGTGGGCAAGAATCTTGTGGCTATGTTCATTGTTGGTGTAGTTTTCTTCACTTTTAATGTACTGCTGGAGTACAACTTCTGTATCAGTCGAGGGAAAAAGTGTTTCTGGCAGAGAAAGCCCACTCACGCCAGCTTGGAGGACGAAGATCCTGATGTAGCCAGAGAAAGGAAGCGTGTTATGGAGAAAAGAAATACTGACGATGATGTGTTGAGATTAGAAGGGCTTACAAAGGTAATTAAACATTGAAGTATCTTAATGGAAACCAATGATTAACCTGATATATAAATAAACTTCTTTATCGTTTGTCATTCTTGATGTTCTTGAAAACGAAGGTTTTGATATTCATCGATTATAGTTTTGTTGTTGTATTATCTAATGTAATACATATTTTCTATTGAAACACATGTAAAATACAGAAAATAATGGTATTCTCCAGGTGTATGGACTACGAGGTAAGAAAGGAAGAAATACTGCCGTTGATAACCTTTGTGTTGGAGTCCCAAAAGGACAGTGCTTTGGACTTTTGGGTGTCAATGGAGCTGGCAAGACCACCACATTTAAGATGCTGACTGGTGATGTCAGTGTTACCGAGGGAAACGCTTTTGTCAATGGCAAAAGGTTAGAAATACAATGAAATGAAATTTATATTTTGTCCGTTATCCTAAAGGACTCTGTAATTTCAAGGGATATCATATATATTCAGCATACTTAGGTGATGGTGGAAGCAGCAGATTCAATTTCAACATGTAGGGTTCTGCTTATTATGGGTTATTATGATGTTTCATTTATAGTTACATACCTGTTAGGTATATTTAATGTGTTAGAGTGCAAATACCAATCAATACACTGACAAGGAGTACATTTCACTCCAGACAAGTTTGGCAGTAATACACATCCATGCCCCACAAATGGAAAGGTTCAGATACTAAGAGGGACAACCCTGTGGTCTTATTTTTTTTTTGTTTTATTATAATTATTGAGTGGTTGGGTGGCAAAGTGGTACCGCACTTGCTTTTCACCTGGCCCTCCAGGGTTCGATTCCCGGAACGGACGTGAAAAGGTCACCTGCCTGATCACATAGGTTTTCCCCGGGTAATCTAGTTTCATCCCACAATAAGACCCTTTGGGCCATCCGGACTAACAGGTGTTTAGTATAAGTTGAAATAACTTGTGATTAGACAAAGAAAGTTTATATCATAACTATTGACTGGGTTTAAGTTATTAAATAATTCTTAAAGTGTATGACATAGAATTCAACTCTATTTTTGGTCAATGATACCGAAAGTGATGCTAAATTTATTTTATGTCTTCAGTATTCTTACTGACATGGTGAGTGTACACAGGAGCATCGGATACTGTCCACAATTTGATGCCTTCGACAATCTTCTCACTGGCAGAGAAATACTGTCATTCTATGCTAGACTCCGTGGTGTTCCTGAAAGGGACATCAAAGAGGTAAGGAGAATACTGAAACTTTCCACTATTGTCAGTACCAGTTGTATACTATCTGCACAGCATTTCAGATTTTCAGTGTAATCTGGATTAAAATATAGAATAGATTTTTAACCTGATAGAAGTCAAAGATTCTGTATTTAAAGAAATTTTCTGATGCTATCTTATATTTCTGATATGTTAGTTACAGAAAGAAATGATTTAATTCAATATATGTGAACTTTTCCTAATAGAATTAGGAAACAATTAATTGTGCATGTCAATGTTTGTATATTTCTGTATAACAGATTAGAGAGGAAAGCTGTAGAAAATTATTGAAAACTTTGCCATACTTCAGTTTGTATTGACTTTTGCACATCAGACTAATGGATGCCGGATAATTTATTACAGGTCGCTGAGTGGGCAGTGAGAAGACTGAACCTGTCACAGTATGCAGACAAAATATCAGAGGGTTACTCTGGAGGGAACAAGCGTAAACTGTCCACAGCTATCTCACTTATTGGGAACCCATCCATAATATTCCTTGTAAGTGTTTATGACAAGCTTTCTCATGGTCCCCCTTAATCATTTTCCTCATAAGTGTTTGTGACAAGCTTTCTCATTGGTCCCTCTCAATCATATTTCTCATAAGTGTTTGTGACAAGCTTCCTCATTGGTCCCTCTCAATCATATTTCTCATAAGTGTTTGTGACAAGCTTTCTCATTGGTCCCTCTCAATCCTATTCCTCATAAGCGTTTGTGACGAGCTTTCTCATTGGTCCCTCTCAATCATATTTCTCATAAGTGTTTATGGCAAGCTTTCTCATTGGTCCCTCTCAATCATATTCCTCATAAGTGTTTGTGACAAGCTTTCTCATTGGTCCCAGTTGTATTCCTTGTAAGCATTTATAACAGCCTTTCTCCCCCTAATCCCTAATATTCCTGTTTACGTTTTTCAACCTGATTCATATTTTATCAACTTCTCTCATTGTTAGTCTTTCCAGCATATTGCTGGTAAATGCTTCAGAAAAAACTACCTTTATATATAAAACCTTTCTGATTTGCTAAATATAACCCACTCCCTGCAACGAAGTTAAGGGAGTTGGTTGGAGGATATACTGGAATTATGTTGTCCGTCTGTCCATTCGTTTCTAGGTGCAACAATGTACTGGGTACTTTTCCTAAACAACTGAATTGATTTCAGTGATACCTGCTGGCTATAATTCTTATACATTGTAGATGTGTATAATATATTTAGGTTGAGCTACCTCCCATTTTTGGGAGGGGAGGGAGGGGGGTGGGGTATGTGTGGGTCCTGGAGGACAGTTCTTGTTTTTATCTACTACAATTAAATTTATGATGTCATGTTTATACAGGATGAACCAACGACTGGCATGGATCCTCGTGCTCGAAGGTTTTTGTGGAATTGTATCAACGCCATTGTGAAAGATGGCCGATCAGTTATACTTACTTCACACAGGTAACAAACTATTGATAATAACATGTACGCAGTCATAAGTGATCTCAGAAACAAGATTATATAATTTAGTCATGGCAATTAACAATCTGGCCATCAGGTCATTCTGTAATTTAGTGACATTGTTGCATACTTAGATAAGTTGATTCCATGCTGAGATGAAACTTTTTTCTGTTACTATGACTACAAGAATGCTCAATAAGTAAACATTCAATACATCTTTCCATAAGCCACCTTGTCTAAAGTCACTGCATTTTTTTTACATTTTGGGTGCAGGAATATTGTGTATTTCAATTTTGACATAAGCCTAAAGTGCAGAAATAAGCCCAGTTTTCATTTTGATATCTAAGGTCGGTTGGAGATAAGATCGCTTGCAGAATCCTTATCTGTGTATAATTCTTTAGCAGTTAGAAGTGATCCTTCCATTTATATCTGAGTTGATGTGGTCATGCATGTTAGTGCTGAAGTCAGATTGTTAAAATGGTCATTGAGTGGCCCAATCACCCCATGATACTGTCTTCCTAATACTTAAGCCGTTGAGAGGATGTAAACTTCACCAGTCCCAGAGGAATCATGGCACCCACCATTGTCACTATCCTTTCCCTTCTTTTTTCTTCTTTTCTTTGTTTTTGCTCTTAATTATATGAAGTTTGAAAATTCCTCTTATGAAATGGTGATATTAATCTTAAACTGCCAAATCCAAGATGATTGCCTGTTAGGTATTTTGTCTTTCTGACCCCAAATCAGAGGAACTTGCCTAAGAAATTTGAGAAAGCTCCCTCCAGTACTTTTTAAGTAGTACTATACTAAACTGTCATAGTGAATATTCAAGACAGCCAGCTGTCAGCCATTTTGTTTTTTGATCAGTGCAAAAAATAAAAAGGCACAACCATGGACAAAGGGGCACCTACATATAAAATTTGAGAAAACAAATTTCATTGTCAAAATCGAAGATTGTCGCCGTTCAGCCATTTTGTTTTTCTATTTCGTCCCAAATATACAAGAAAGATCCATTCAAGATTTTTGATGATGGTGAGCTTGAGATAACATGGAAACAGTGCTTAATAATTTGATAAGGCAGACAGATTTGTCAGGAGAAATTTCATTCAGAAAACAGTGTTACATTAAAGGTATAATGATTGAGCTGTTTATAAATGAATAGGCACAGTAGCTGTGTTATAAGATAAATATGAACCTTTGTTTTGTGTTTTACAGTATGGAGGAGTGTGAGGCCCTCTGTAGTCGCTTAGGCATTATGGTCAATGGAAGGTTTATGTGTATGGGCAGTACCCAGCATCTCAAAAACAGGTATGTCTCGTAGTATTGTAACTGTATCGGTAGATTTCATTTTGTCTTCTGTGGAAACTATCATTAGTTTTGTCATATATATATACAGCCAACTGTTTTAGATAAAAGTGTCAGATTTGAATATTTTTTCATATGAAATAGTTTAAGAATCTTTAATGGATACAATTAAGCTCTCAAAACCCTCTGTATACCTGATCTTTCATCGACGTTTCATTTTTATTGGAATTGAGTGAAGGTAAATAAGTAATAAATCATATACATGGAATTTAGACTAGACGTTTATGAGAGGGAAAACATGGTACAACACAGTGTCTCATTAACATCCCTGTTTATTCTGTAATTATAAAATGAAAAAATGTCTTTTACTTTTGGGTATTTTTTGACATAAACTTTCTGTTTGCATGCACAGGTTTGGCGAGGGATACACAGTGATATTCCGAGTAGCAGGAGAGCGTCCTAATCTTAAAGCAGTACACAGTTTCATCATGCACTCATTTGAAGGCACAGAACTTAAAGAAAAACACTACAACATGGTCCAATACCAGCTCAAGAGTGATGTCAAGCTTTCTGACTTGTTCAGACAAATTGAGGCAGTTAAGGAGGAACTCAATATAGAAGACTATTCTGTGTCCCAGACTACAATGGATCAGGTCAGTTATCCCCACCATGTCCCTTGTGTGTTATTTAACCAAAAGATATCATGTACACACCAATAAACTTATTAAATCTGTCTAGACAACATGTAATTTTACCCCGGCAACAAGGTTAGGTGGGATGATATACTGGAATCTGGTTGTCCATCCATCCATCCATTCCATCATCCACCCGTCCATCTGTTCATCTGTACATTTGTAGATGCTTCTCCTAAACTGTTGAATTGATTGCAACGATACTTGATGATTATAATTGTTATATATTGCAAATTGTGTAATCTTTATCAAGTTATCTCCCCTTTTCGGAAACTTATGCCCCTTTGGGAACTCAGTAATGTACCAGCTACTTCTAAACTACTGAATGGATTATATATATCCCACAATTATTCTCAGAATAATGTTGTTGGAGGCAGGGATATGGTATGAGTAGGCCCCCAGATGACAGTTCTAGTTTGATTTGCCACTTAATATCAATAGACAACTTGTGAGACAAGATGGTAATTAAGAGACCATAATTCTGGTGTGATGTTCAGGATCACATTGTAGTTGTGATGTCATTTTTCCTAGTGTTAAAGAGAAAGCTTAATGTTGATCATTCTTTTGGCTGTTTCTTTAATTGAAAATATGTCTTATCTTATAACCAACTTTTGGCAAAATAAGAAAAAATTGTAGTATGTATTTAACTGTGCTTCGTTCATTCTGTAACAGTGCTAGAATTCTGAACCATTTTGCATACCAATGAAGTGTGTTTATACGTGTTATTCAGTTGTCCTATATCAGGTTATAGTGTTATGCAATGAACAGGATGTGGTTAAATGCTCAAAGGACTTGTGCCATTAGGAATTAAATATTTTTCATAAGGTGCAGGTTCAGAAGATTGGGAATTAATTAAATATCTGGTGTAGATTTTGAGATAACTGCTTCAGGCAAAATTTCTCTTTTTATGATTTTACTCTTTTCACTTCAGTTGTAAACATTGTGTATTTCACTAGGTTTTCATCAACTTTGCCAAACTGCAGACAGACTTGTTGGATGATGTACCAGATCAAAACGCAATGCAAAAAGGTATGTCAAAACATAAGACACACTGGCTTGTGAAAATGTAATAAAGGTGTTTCAAAACATAAGACACAGGGGCTTGTATATGTTGAATAAAGGTGTGTCAAAACCACAGGGGCTTGCATATGTTGAATAAAGGTGTGTTAAAACATAGGACACATAAAGATGTGTTAAAACATAGGACATAGGGGCTGGTAGATATTGAATAAAGGTTTATTAAAATTTAGACATGTGTTTACAAATGACATATTTAATAGTGTTCCATCAAGTTATAAAGCATTATGTTGCTTCATTAATATGATACACATATCATTTAATTGACATTTTCTGTGATACCTGAAAACCTAATGTTAATGTCAGTTTTAAGATGTTCTGATTTCTGTGCAGATATTGAAGAAATCCCTATTGCTGGAGTATCTGGTGAGACCAACGTGGATGAGGAGAGCCTAGCGGGCAGTACTTTGGATCTAATCCCTGGCAGGAACAGAAGTGTATCAGGTGAAATATTAAAACATAAAGCCTTACCACTGGACTTTCAAGAACACTATCCCATGGCATAATTATATGCTATATTGGTGTCAACAGAATGAAAGTTTGATAGAAAATGGATGCTAAACAGTAAATTTTCGAATTGTTATTGGGTGTCAATAGCGTTTTTCTACTGGATTTAAATGTCACGAATCTTTCGAGCATGCAGTCTTAAGAATGTAGATTTATTCAACAGGGACCAAACAGTTAAAGGAAATTGACCGAGAGGAAACTTAAAATTTAAGTAAGAATTATTGAGTTAAAATTCTAGTAAACTAGGTTGTCAACTGTCAAAGTAGTTCCCAGTAACCTTGTGACCCTTTCATTTCAATACGATCTTTGTCTTTACAGATGCCGACTCGCGCCTTAACATGAAAGAGATTAACAGTCGGTTTGATTATACTGATGAGGAGAGTTTGGCTGGCAGTACTGTTGATCTCATTCGACCCGGCAGTGCTCGCAGCAGTCAACGCAGCACACACAACCCTGATTATTTCCCGAATGTGGAAATATTCTAGTTTTATCGTTGTTGATCGTGTTATGTATCCAAACAGACTGTATATTGGAGATCATGATGATATTGATTTAATGTATATTTGTATTTTAATGTATTGCTGATTTCAGAACTTTATATGTCAGATATTTTTTATCTCGGACCTCTTGTCACGGACTTTCGCTGTATTTTTAAGTGCTATAATTGTGGATCAATGATATTTTTACTGTGAACAACAAATATATAGTCTCAGTATTTACATATTTATCAAAGACATCCAGTAAATCCATCTATTACCTAGTATATGTGTTGTTGGCACAACATTCTGTAGGTCTTACTTTTCCTGATATTAAATAGAAAGATGATGCTGTGATTTAAATAATGCTCATTGTCCTGAGATTTTAACAAAGCAATTGCGATGACAACTTATGTATCTAACACAAACTACATACATCTTGTAAGCAATATTATTTTAATTTTCTTGTATCTCTATATTCATCTGTCTTGAAGAGACCCCATGAAAAGTGTTTGGTCATCTTCTTCACTTTTTCACATTTTAAAATGCTCCATAAAGTATTTTTTACCTTTTACCTCAACAGTGCATGTGCCTAGAGGCCATTGTTCTAAATATGAACAATATTCTGTGAATTACTCAAGACTTTATCTTTTTTGATATTAATATATTTATGACAGTCGAGGAGTGCACTTATTGATATTCTTATAATGTGTTTGTTGGCAAAACTAAATCAACATCTCAAGAATGCATACCTGTTGGCTATTGTTTAATGTACAGGTAAAAGGAAATAAGATAAAATCATGAAAATAAAAGAATAATTCTTGATTATGCAGAAAGAGTTTTCCGTCCTGATGATTGAATCAACTGCTGGACAGGTTATAATGATTTTTATCTACTGTTCATTAAATTGCATTATTTAAACATTCAATATGTGTTATTTGGTGGGTTGAACTAAGTAATCATGATATGAGTTATTTTAATACTTCTTTGTATGATGATTGATTAAACATGGCTCTATCGGGTGGTTATTGATTAAACATGACTCAATCGAGTGATTATTGATTAAACACGACTCAATCGAGTGATTATTGATTAAACATGACTCAATCGAGTGATTATTGATTAAACATGGCTCTATCGGGTGGTTATTGATTAAACATGGCTCTATCGGGTGGTTATTGATTAAACATGGCTCTATCGGGTGGTTATTGATTAAACATGGCTCTATCGGGTGGTTATTGATTAAACATGGCTCTATCGGGTGGTTATTGATTAAACATGGCTCTATCGGGTGGTTATTGATTAAACATGGCTCTATCGGGTGGTTATTGATTAAACATGGCTCTATCGGGTGGTTATTGATTAAACATGACTCAATCGAATGATTATTGATTAAACATGGCTCTATCGGGTGGTTATTGATTAAACATGGCTCTATCGGGTGGTTATTGATTAAACATGGCTCTATCGGGTGGTTATTGATTAAACATGACTCAATCGAGTGATTATTGATTAAACATGACTCACTCGAGTGATGATTGATTAAACATGACTCAATCGAGTGATTATTGATTAAACATGGCTGTTTCAAGTGATTATTGATTAAACATGGCTGTTTCAAGTGATTATTGATTAAACATGGCTGTTTCAAGTGATTATTGATTAAACATGGCTGTTTCAAGTGATTATTGATTAAACATGACTCAATTGAGTGATGATTGATTAAACATGACTCAATCGAGTGATTATTGATTAAACATGATTATTGATTAAACATGACTCAATCGAGTGATTATTGATTAAACATGACTCAATCGAGTGATTATTGATTAAACATGGCTTTATTGAGGCATTATTGACAAAACATGATTACATATTTCCTTGTGATTCAACTCGCCTTCATGATCTTCAGTGAGAACGAAATGTTTGTTGGAAACATGTTACGAAGGAGTATTATTATTACAATAAGTATTGTTTTCATTGTATACTCGGTAAAAAGATTTACTATGTTTGGAAGTTAATATCAATATAGGGGTGGTATATCATGTGATAAGTGATTGTGTATGATGTGACAGAATTGTATGTCAAATATTTAAGATATGATAAAAGATGGTGTCATGTGACAGGTGATGGTTTGTCATGTGATGTTGTCATGTGATTTTGTATTATGTGGCATTGGATGATGTAATTTCTGTCATCTGGTAGCGTAAGAAGTGAAGGTGTGATCTGATAGTTTTGTGTGAGATATGATGGTCAGTCATCTGACCTGTTGTATTTATTGTGGCTGGTGACATGAGGTGGTGTCAAGTGATGGCTGTCCTCATCCTATTACAGGGATGCTATATCTTGTAACATGAGGTTTGGTCATTACCGGGAGGATGTTTCTTCTGATTAAAGTTGTCTTATAATAGTTAAATGAAAATACGACTTAATGAGAAGAAACTCACAAATATATCAAAGTGAAAATTACTTCTGTTTTTCTGAAGTACAGGTATTGGTTCTGTTTGTCTATTAAAATCTTTTAAATCTATTCTGTTAAACGTTGAATTTAGAATCTATGATTAGGGGTACACATTTCAAGGATTTTTATTTTATTTTTCCTTCTAAAATAATAATGATTATTTGTGGAGCAAAAATCTTAGGAAATTTAATGACCAGTTATAACTGAATTTTGTAATTTCTACATAAATGAATGTAAAATACTCTAAAACATAATGAAAAAATATGTTTCTTTAAAATCGTCATTATTTTTGTATTTTCCTTAGTTGGATTTTCATAACATTAGTGTTGTTAACTAATATGCAACGCCATAGAATCAAACAGAATTAAGAAATCATTGTATGATTTATGTTTAAAGTTGATTCATGTATTCTGTGTCAGGTTATTGGCAGTTATTCAGCTATCTAAATTGATTTCCAAAAACAAGACATCATTTATGGTTTTTGAAATTTCTTTGTCATGCATTTTTGTTTATTGTGTTGTAGATGTTTTAATTGTGATGCGTTTCTCTATAAATTGCATAGTACATTGTCACCATGCCTGTGTGGATAGTTCACTTGCCTTGTTGTTTAAGTTTAGTTTTCATTCATGACATTCCATCATTTAATGTCTAAAATGACTTTGAGAGATTGTTTTTCTTATTTTGTCACTAGATTGAATTTTTAGATCCAATTCTTTTGTAATGCTTGTTTTTAATCATATGTTCTATCAAATATTTGATGTCTTGGACTAATTTGTAATCACCACTTGAATTTTTCAGACACTTACTGTTATTCATTGCACTGTATGTAGATATGTTTAATGTATTGATATGACATTGTATGTGTAGTGTGTGTTGATGTGTAGTACATGTACTGTGTATTGATGTGTAGTACATGTACTGTGTGTTGATGTGTAGTACATGTACTGTGTGTTGATGTGTAGTACATGTACTGTGTGTTGATGTGTAGTACATGTATGTGTGATGTGTAGTACATGTACTGTGTGTTGATGTGTAGTACATGTACTGTGTGTTGATGTGTAGTACATGTACTGTGTGTTGATGTGTAGTACATGTACTGTGTGTTGATGTGTGTACATGTACTGTGTGTTGATGTGTAGTACATGTACTGTGTATTGATGTGTAGTACATGTACTGTGTGTTGATGTGTAGTACATGTACTGTGTGTTGATGTGTAGTACATGTACTGTGTGTTGATGTGTAGTACATGTACTGTGTATTGATGTGTTGTACATGTACTGTATATTGATGTGTAGTACATGTACTGTGTGTTGATGTGTAGTACATGTACCGTGTATTGATGTGTAGTACATGTACTGTATTGATGTGTAGTACATGTACTGTGTATTGATGTGTAGTACATGTACTGTGTATTGATGTGTAGTACATGTACTGTATTGATGTGTAGTACATGTACTGTGTATTGATGTGTAGTACATGTACTGTGTGTTGATGTGTAGTACATGTACTGTGTATTGATGTGTAGTACATGTACTGTGTGTTGATGTGTAGTACATGTACTGTGTGTTGATGTGTAGTACATGTACTGTGTGTTGATGTGTAGTACATGTACTGTGTATTGATGTGTAGTACATGTACTGTGTGTTGATGTGTAGTACATGTACTGTGTATTGATGTGTAGTACATGTACTGTGTGTTGATGTGTATATGTGCATTGAAATTTACAATGTTCAATACAATATGATATTTAAATGTAAATGTAGCCTGCTATCTGCTACATACTGTTATATATGTGTTATTTAATCAGAAATCTATGTGTATAACACAATTTATGTGTCCCTGTGATGAAATGATTCATTATTATGATGCATGTCTTTCAACTTTTTAGAACAAACTGAAATATGTGTAAGAATCTCGACATTATGTGTAGTTTTAGGCCCTTCTTTAAAGTTCTCAGCAACTTTTACCAGTTATATATTATATATATACCTGAGTCTTTCACATAATTTTTGCAATTCTTGTTTGGCATATTGTCCCATTATCGTTGGCATGTCATGTTTTTCTTCATTCATTGGTATAGTTATATTTACATGTTCTTTAAAGCAAAATGTTGATTAAGCATTGGAATACAAATTTATGATAATCATTATGAGGGCAAGTAAAAATAGCATGATTATAATGATTGTGATTTTGATACTCTTATGAACCAAATAAAATGTCTGAGTTTTGAGTGTAAAAGATTCATATAAAATTTCATCTGTATTTAGGTGTCATAGTTAATTACTTAAATAATTATTTCCAAGTTTTACAGTGTGATTACTTTGTATTTACATTTTATTAAAAATAAATGTTATACGGTGTTGAACTCACGTCTTCAGTCGTTATTTATAACATGGTAAAGTCCATACTGTGTAAACCATTTTATCTTTGTTCGCTGATGTCAGACTTCATGAGTATACTAGATTGGGGGAACTGGTGAAGTTACTGCTGTCTCACAGGTCTGTTCAATGAGGGACAATCAAAATTATTCCACATGCTGCAGTTTGTTTATTTGTGGAAATTCCTGCCAAATGTATATGTACCTGCATGAAAAACACAGAAGACAAGTGGAGTGTATAGTTTTGTCCATTATGTATACATGACTTTCCCTGGACATTAACAGTACCATGAAGATAGCTTAAGTTTATAGTGATTCCTTGTCCAGTTCTAATTTTCACACAAACTTCTGTCTTCTGAAATTGAGGCTGTTTCTATAGCTTTTTACCAAGGTAATAAGCATTTGAATTTTTGAATATGTCAAGGTAACTGACACAAGTAAACTTTAGTACACCAGGTTCAAAGTAATTTGTAAATGAAATACCATTAAATTGGTTCCTGTGAGACACAAGTTTATTTCTAGATTTTCACCGCTGCTAACCTTCCTGCCTAAGCCCACTTGGCCCAGCAGGGGTCGTAGGTTAATATTTTGGTCCATGTGACATTGAAAGTCGGTCAAGGTCATGCATTTGAAGAAACTATTCCTACGACTCTTTTACAGGTATATATTAACAAATTAGCTTTGACATATGTCTCCTAGAGTAGTATTGATAAGGTATTAACATATACAACACATGCGAAAAATAAGCTCCATACAAAGTCTAATTTATTTTGAAAGAAAAATATTAAAGACTAAGAAAGGCTTGACATGACACCAGGAACTTTATATGTGGGCACTTCTTTTCTCAGGTAACACCGGCTATCGCGTAAGAATATCTTACGGCATTTAAATGGATAATTTTTTTTACATAAATGTTAAATATGGAATAAATCAAGAATTAAGTCGAAAAATATTTTTACTTCAAATCCAATGAATATATAGTGTTGTTCATTTTGCATGTATAATACGTGTCAATGCGACAAACACTAGACCAGTTTACGGTAATGAAACGGTCTGCGAGCACGTGAAGATCATCATGAACCGTTCCCGGCCGAGTTCCTTTCGTCGATATTTGTTTGCTTGAGTTATTTTGTCGCTTGAATTTAAGAATGGACAAAATGCTTAATTTGCCGATTTTCTGTTTTTTCATAAGCAAATATTTAATGTAATGTACGTGATAATTATGCAACCAAGCTGACTAAAATTATGGTTCCCTAAGTTTTGAAGGGCACTGTGAAAGTTATTCCTCTGAACTTAACTTAACAAGACCTAATACTGACGGAAAGGATGTCATCTGTTTTGAATAAGTTGTTCACGAAGTATTTGTTCGTGACAAACACTCTGGCAACAGGAGGGCTATTAGCCCTCGGAGACTGTATTACACAGAAGATGGAGACCGCATATGCCAGACAGCAGGACCAAGATCTAGTCCCTGGAAAATATACTCACAACTGGGGACGGACTGGTACGTGCGGAAATGAATAAATATAACCAGTTTACAGAAAACGCATATTGTTTGTACCAAAGATGTTGTAAAAAGGAGAGATGGTATAATAACATTGAAATTTCACAATTAATTCAAAGGCGTCTCACTTAGTATTTATTGCACAAGAAAAAAAAGAACATTTCTCTTCAAACTTGCATGTAGTCTTCATCAACCAACATCTCTATAAACCCCAAGTTGTAAAATTTCCATCTGCTGTCTACCTCTGTTACAGAAAATGTGATGTTTAGAACAAGTCAGGCTGCAGGGAATGTTACAGTTTAGAAATAGAAGATGTATGAAAGGAAAATATAAGAATCATATATGCTTATCATATATTCTGGGAAAAAGCTTCCCCTGTTGGCTGTATATTACCTGGTAGTTAGTTTAAAGGTAATTACATAAGCAACTAACATGTCTGTTGAGAGTAATTAGTGAGTACTTGAATTTAAAATCAATCTCTTTTCCTTTATTTCATGTTCTTGAGTCAGTAGAGACAACAAGTGAAAAGCATCTTGTAAATGTTTTGGAAAGATTCCAATGAGACTTTTAAAGTAATGTTAAATGATTGAAAAAAGTTGGCATGAGCACAGATTTCATGAAAAAAAAATAGCTGAAAGAAGGGCATGGGTACCTGGTCTTCTCCAAAGAGTTATAAACCGATAGTTTGTTTTAAGGTCTTATCAGCCAGGAAATTTATCAATCACAAGCTTTCAGTATTGTAATCCATATATATATGTATTTTTTATCTTTATTTGACATTTGTTTTTCACAAAATGAGAACTTCGATGAATATCATCCTTTAGCTTGGATTTAGTGGTATAGTGTGGTAATTCAAATGTTTTTGTAGTATAAAACTGACATTTTCAGGAGCAAATGTCTAACATTGGTGAAAAGCTCTGAGGAGTTCTTCAGAATCCATCTTCCACTAACGGAGTTATTCCGTATACAGACTATAAGGCTTTAACCTTGATTTGATAGTAATGAGTATGGTATAATGATGTTGAACTGAAGTACGATCATACAGCGTCTTATATCTAGTCTAATATTAAGTTTATATTAATAATACATTGTATTGATGTAATTTGACTATTATCCTATTAAATCCTATTAAAATAGTGCAGTAAGAAGTTTTACTAAAGGTTTTTAACAAGTAAATGTTAAAAGTTTTTAACAAGTAATTTGAAACATCTAACATGGCCATAATGTAAATCATTGTTTATATATATGTTTTATTTTTTTGGAATGACTATAGAATATATAGTCTGTCTCATCAATAACTGGTATTCACAAAGATTTATGACTTAAGGTTGATAAGCAGCCATACTGATTTACCAGGATTTTCTCAGTGAAACCCCTGATCCACACCCTAACTCTACAGAAAAAATGTTTGATAATGATTTTTATTGTTTTAAGAAGTATGACATATTAAGTATTGTTTACTCATGATAGTGTGATATTACAGGGAGAATGTTCACCATAGGAGTGATGCTGGGGCCTTTCAACCATTTGTGGTACACTAAGATAATTGAGAAGATTGTAAAGACAGGAGGAAAACAGGGGGCAGTAAAGCGAATTCTAGCTGATCAGGCAATAGCTGGACCATTCTTTTGTTTCTCATTCTTCTTTGGTAAGTTTTAAAATCAAATAAAATAGTGTATACTTGTATCAAAGTTATCTGGCAGTAATCCCATGCGTTGTAGTAAGTCCACATGTTCAGAAAAAATACCAACCAATGTTATATCATTGTCCTGTTATAAGTCCACCCCCTTTGAGTAAGAAATGATGTATTGTTTCCCTGGATTTATTGAAGGATGGACACATAAGGGTTCATAAACTCAGTATGTAAGGTACTTGAATCTTGTAAATAATGTAGCTGATATTTTTTTCCAAGTTTAAGTATTTGCGGACATCTAAGTTTAAGTATTTGCGGACATCTAAGTTTAAGTATTTGCGGACATCTAAATTTAAGTATATATAGACATCTAAGTTTAAGTATTTGCAGACATCTAAGTTAAAGTATTTGCAGACATCTAAGTTGAAGTATATATAGACATTTAAGTTTAAGTATTTGCAGACATCTAAGTTTAAGTATTTGTGGACATCTATGTTGAAGTATTTGCGGACATCTAAGTTGAAGTATATGTGGACATCTTTCGTCCTTACAAAGATTTCCTCTAATACCTTAATATACATGTAGGAAATTGTTGTGTGCTTTCAGGTATGGGAATGATGGAGGGTCGTGGTGTGGATGGAGCACTACAAGAGGTCAAGGACAAGTTTCTTACTGTATATGTGGTAAGTCAAGGTCTTTAAACACAGAGATCACTGAAATTTTACAGTTTCTGTTGAATTGATCTCTTAACCATCATGATGATGATGTATTTGCTTGATTTTTTTTTCAAACTCTTCTTCACAATGTTTACCTTTGTAGTTTATAGTAATGAACTATTTTGAAACAGACTATATACATATAAATAGATGTATTGTAATTGTTTATTATTCTGGTCATAATTCACAGCAATGAACTTCCTGAATTTGATCAGATCATGAAATGCACTTAAGTAAATCACATGTCATAGAAATAATTTTACAACGAGTACAATAAGCTTATTAAACTATTTAAAGTGTAAGTGTAGTATATGGACTTGTACACAAACTTTTTGACATAACGATGACAATCACATGAATTGATATACATTTATAGTACACATACTTAATTTGTTGATCATCATGGTGCGTAATATGTTAAAGTTTTTTTTTTACAACCCATGGTATAATTGTAATGAAAAGATTAACATGTCTACCATTAAAACTTCTTTCATAATTAGTAGTTGTTATCGTCCATTAAGACAAACATTCGCGATTCCATTTGAAGTCTCCTGATATGAGCTTCCCTACTCTATCTCCCAATCATATCGCTGAAAAATTAGGTAATTTTCTTATTTCAGGAATCTTGGTCACAACTAAGTTTGCTAAATGTGGAATAAAAACAGCAAACATTTTCTCCAGATATATTGAGGTTTTATTTACAACATTTCTTTGTTATTCCTTACAGATTGACTGGTTTGTGTGGCCACCAGCTCAATTCATCAACTTCTATTTCCTTCCAAAAAAATTCAGAGTGGTGTATGTGTCTTGTCTAACACTGATTTGGAACACATTCTTGTCCTGGTACAAACACAGGGTGAGTATTTGTGTTTGGTAACACTGTAAGTATGCGATTCTCCTTAAAGAAAGGATGATGATATATTTTCTGGTAGAGATTTGTTTTTTTCGTGTTGATTATCTGTCATCTATAGGAAAAAGCAATTGATCTTCTGAAAGAGGAAACCTAACAATTGGCAGAGTCAATGTGAATGTGGTAAACCAGCAACATATCAAAAATGTCTTTAAATGCTTTTGGTGACAGTGTTTCATTCATTTGAGTCCATTGACTACAGAACAGCTGTGTTTTATAGTTAGTGACTGATAATTGTCTTTATTTACAGGAGATAGCACATAAACATGAAGTATGAACCTGGGACAGAATCGGACACTTGCGGGCATTAACATGAATTATGAACCATGGATGGAATCTGACAATGAGCACATAAACATGAAGTATGAACCAGGGACAGAATCGGACACTTGCGGGCATCAACATGAAATATGAACCATGGACGGCATCGGACACAGAGGGCATCAGCATGAAATATGAACCATGGACGGCATCGGACACAGAGGGCATCAACATGAAATATGAACCATGGACGGCATCAGCATGAAATATGAACCATGGACGGCATCGGACACAGAGGGCATCAACATGAAATATGAACCATGGACGGCATCGGACACAGAGGGCATCAGCATGAAATATGAACCATGGACAGAATTTGAAAATGAGCAAATAAACAGAAAGCATGAACCTGGGACAGAATTAGACACTTGAGGGCATCAACATGAAGTATGAACCAGCGAATGAATCTGACAGTGAGCTCATCAATATGAAGCATGACCTTGATCAATGAACAAGGGACTGAATCAGACAATGAGCATTATCAATATGAAGCATGAACCACGGACTGGATCTGACACTGAGAACATCGACATGGAGTGTGAATAGGGACTGAATCAGAGACTGAACATATGAGTAGGTATCTTTCCAAGAAAGAGGAATGAAATCTAATCATTTCAGATTTCAGTGAATCAGAGAGACAAATATTTAAGGAGATTGGTGCTATCATAAAATTAGTAGTGTTCGTAATGGTGCTGAAAGACTTACCAGTAACAATTGAATGATTATTGATATAGTGCTGTCATCAAATGCAGATGGGAAGCATATTTATAATTCTTAAACATAGGGATATAAGCATCTCTGATATTATGAAACATTTTCTTCATATAAAGGTTTTATATCACAATCAACTAGAGATGTCTGTTTCAATGGCTACTCTATTGTCACCTTCAGCAGATGAATGACAACTGAAAACTTGCTAGCACTGTAGTGATGGTAATGCCTAAACAGGATATTTGGCATTATACAGTAATATTTACAGTAATACTAGGGTGGAAAATTGTGTGATGAAAGGTTGGTGAAGATGAATCAAAAACAGGTCAAATTAGTGATCGTTCATACATACATTGAAGAGTAACAGTGTACCAAGCAAAGCAAGTCAGTTTGTTTTTGCTTGTTATAGACATTTGAAAGTTTCAATTTTTTTGATGTCATTTAGATAAAGAGTTCTCCTCAGAACTGGGCACTAGCCAAAGATCCAGTAAACAGTCCCATAATTGACTAAAATGCTCATTAATGTTATTTTACCTCAGATTATCTATATATATATTTTAATTGTAGTCAGACTTTTAACTGTTGACCATCAAAGAATCTCTTGATGATAATTACAGGTATATGGATTTTATATCTAACTTATTGCTGTTATCTTTTCTTTTTTAAGTTGGTTGTTGACTTATTTTTATTTCTATATTCAAGCACAAAGAGATGTTATTTTGAGCAGTTTAATTCACAAATTATAATTTAAAGGAAAATTTTCCAACTGGTTTTCTGTTTATTTGTTCATATGGAGTGCATTGTTTACTGGGAATTGTATTTGTTAATTAGATTATTATAATCTATCTTATAAAGACTACAGTATCATTACAATGAGTCATTGTTCTGTAACATAACCTCAGAGCAACATTTCATATAAGTATCTCTCTGGACTTTCTGCTTCATTTGGAGGCTCCCTACTGAGAATATATACAGTGAAATTAAGTTATATCATCATAATCTTCAGAATCCGGAATATCTACAGTTATGGCTCCATAATCTTATAGCAAATAAATCAGCATAGTTATTAATATATAACAATTTATATATATATATATAGATATATATATTTCTCAATTAAAATAGATTATTGGATTGAAATATCAGCTTAACCAGCTAATCAAAAGCTACATAAACAACGATGTCATGTTTTATCCTATTGAACAACATCATGAAAATTCATCCAGTAGAAATGCTTGTTACAAGTGGGATTAAATTTCACACAATCGTTTCTTATTGAAGAGAACTAAAGTTACTTTTGTGTTGAATCAAATTCGTATTCAGAAAAAAATTAAGTTTTACTTATTGTCATTGACAACACATTTTTATGGTGTTTCCGAACTGATGGTTTTGTTCATATTGAACAAATAAGGAAAGGAAACAAAGGTAACCCCTTATACCTAAAATATATGTATATGTAAGGAATGTGATATCTTAATGAGACTATTTATATTAATAAATTGTTTTAATTTTTCTATGTGTTTTATTTTCATTAGGATGAATATGTTTTTTATATATTTTTGTATTGCTGTATTAAACTTTAAGGAACGATCCTGAATTGTCATAATTTAACTGAGAGTCTGTCAAATTATTGTTTAGAGAAATTTAAAAGAAATGCTGTAATTTTGTTGAGCAATCAACAATGCTCCAGGGTCTGCAACACATGTAGTGGGATGTCTCCACAAGACTGACAGTTGTACTGGTATGGGTCACTAAAGCTGACCTCATTCTGACATTAGTATATCACAGAGTATAGACCTGACCTGTGATGTGGAATATGCTGTTGGTACACCATTCATGCTCTTCTTACTCATAAAGACAAATTCATGAATAGCGAAAGAAATTCATCAATAAGCTAATATTTTATGTAAAGAAAATTCAGGTGTTGGTTAAATGATGACAGGATTGGTCAGTCTGTAACTTGATGTATAGTTTTTTGATATGTGTAAGTACATGTGTCAATACCAAATAATGCCCACAGGGCAGGGAATATTTCTGGGATGACGTCCACCACTGTGCAAGATGTACTATGTGTTTTTCTATATGAAGTGCCAAATTCTTAAACCTGGACATACGTTATAAATAGAGTTGATTGAGTCTACAGAAAAAGCTATTTAATATGAATATAGAAGTTGGTTAAAACAAGTCCAGCTGGTACAATGCAGTATAGTTTGTTTATCTTAATTGGTATTTTGATTATTTCCTGCCAGTGTGTAGTGTCAAATGAAATAGTACACATACATTATTTTATGAAACCATTAAGTTTTAAAAAGTTCGACTTTAGGTTATTAAATACCACTGTATGACTATAACTGATAATAACTGAATGACATGACATGTGATTATTTTCTAGTCTAGGGAGAAATGAAGATAAATTGTCACAAATATTACAAATTAAAAGAATTTTTGAAGAACTGCATTAATGATAGTATTTTGTCAATTAAATAGATAAGTGAAGTGCCACCAATATATCTATATTGTGAGCAGTTCAAGATTACCAGAGGCAATGTTTGTAAGTAATCTGGAGATTTAGGGGTAGATAAGGATAGCAGTGTCATAAACAAACTGTCACACCCACAGGCCTATTTACATATCACCTCAGTGTTAAAGGATGATTTCAGGAATTAGGGCTGATTCATGTCTACTAGCTCTGTGTACAAGTACAAGAAGGCAGAGGTAATACTAAAAACAATCTGTTTTCATTAACAATGTTTCACCACAAAAAAAATTTAAAAAAATAAAAACGTGAAGAAAACCAGAAATAAAGGAAAAATTCATTCTGATATTCAATTTCTTGCTGTTAAAGTGTTAAATTCCTTTAAGAATATCTTGACTTACATTGAAATGTCTGAAAATGAAATACAAAATAGTTAAATTAGGTCAAATCTATGTGATAAAGATATATTGAATTACAGGATCAAGTTATATTTTATAAAGAAGAAACATATACAATATACATGTATATATAATCACTGATTTCTGAAAAATTAGCTTATATCACCAATTAAAAGAAAAATACTATTTTAATGTATTTTAACATTTACCAAAATTACCAGTAATGTCACCTAGGTGTTTTATGATCTGTGGAATGTTTCCTTTAATGTTGTACCTAGGTTAATCACGGACCAAACTAATTTCAGGTCTTTGGATTAAACTTTGATATTCTCGTGATTATTCCTTCTTTGAAAATTGGAAAGAAACAGGTCATCCATTGTATTTACTTTCTTCAATATCACAGTAAAAAAAACCCTTTCTGGATTTGTTCCTGTGGAGATGATGTAAGAGATTGACTGCAGGGGTATATTGATGAGACAGTACTTGCCTGCCTGAGGTGTAACCTGTGATGTTACAACAAGGAAGTGGTTTGGGTGTATGTCAACAGGTACCTGTCCTACAACAGGTAAATCATCTACTGCGACCAAACATCGTAACCATCACCGGCCCATACCATACTACAGCCTGCCTCTCACCGAGGTTTTTATCATCTTCCATGGGACTTAATTTGTGAATTATAGAATTGGAGAAGCAGTTTCCTATAATTATTGTCAAACACAAATGTGTAGATGAGTGTTTAGTTAACAGCTTTTTTTCCATGGATGTTGGAAAAGATTGTGGATGCGAAGCATACTCTGTGAATCATTATGAAATTTTTTTGATAAATGTGGATGTTAGAAATATGGAAGCTATTTTCTGTTTAAAGTCATCAGCTCTTTGTCAGGGTAATGACATCAATTAATTGAAATTGAGCTGAAGCAACACTCGAAATCATCCCTGGTAGGTGAATTTTTTATTTCTTTTTCGTGAAAATGTGATATTTGATTTTCAAGTTCCAATTTTTATTTTTGTTATCGTATACAAATGTTACTTTTCCTTTTTTCAGGGCTTTTTGTTATCAGTACCAATAGAATACTAACAGAATGGGATATGGGAATCAACTGTCTCTGCTTCTGTGGAAAAACTTTACATTGAGATGGCGCCAGAAGGTAAGTTTGTCTGTATCATACTGTGATTTTATATTTTGATTTAACTGATTAAGAAAATAAAACAAGCAGATTGCCATGTGATAGCTAGTACTTTTGTAGGTCAATCTTCCAAGGTGTCCCGTCCTTGTTCTCAAACATCATTCATAAAAAGTCCAATATACCTACATATATATAGTTGCCAAAGTCAGCATAGATAAACAGACTGTTGTCCTGTTCAATCATATCATATTATCAATTTTTTAATTTTTCTTTTTATTTATACTTTACAAAGTGTCTTACTGAAAAACCACAAGTATTTATGCTAATCCAGTGGCAAACCTGCCACACCTTTCACAATTACACGAAGTTTCGGGGAACTGGACACTTAATCCTGTTATTTCTATCTCATCACTCTACTTCTTTTGATTACTATTATAAGCCATATTACAACTGAGATTACTTCTGGAAGAAAAATGGCATCTATAGACAGGTGGCCATGTTAGAGAGGTCCATTTAATATAATTGATTTAAATTGGGACCCCCGAATTCTTAGCAATTTTGAACACACAATGTCATCTACTTCTGATAATGATGCCCCTAGCCACTCTTTTCCGTCTTAATTGCAGTACCTTTAAATATGTTATTTTTATGCCACAGTGTCATCTGCTAGTGCAAATGTGTCCCCCCTCCTCCCTGCCACCCGACTCCATCTTCTCATCTCACCATTCTGATCTTAATTGCTATATCAATAGTTATAATAATTTTGCACCACAGTGTCGCCTGCTAGTGGAAGTGGTATCTCCTCTCATCTTAGTCTTTGTACTTGTGGGAGTACGCACACGACCTGACCTCAAGTGGAACCACCCGGAATGTATGTAAATCTGTTTATTTCTTCTCTCTTTAATGTTACCGAGTATTATATTATTTGATTATTTTAATACTATATTTTGAAAATTTTGATATTTCTTATTGTATAGAGTTGAACAAAAATTCAGATGAAAATAAAGTTTCTTGAACATAAGAAACTTTATATTGTATGTACCTAAAAAAAAAAAATTTGATGGAAGTCAAGTGTCTGTCTATCTGACACAATAGGATTCACCAGCATATAGTAAATGACACATACTTGATTGAACAGTCATATTTAAACACATTATTACTACTGATGTACACTTTACCTTATAAGGTCACTTTGATGGAAAGTCCTTGCCAAGTGTGGGTATTGTGCCTTTTCTCCAGTCCTTTTTCTGTACCTTCAACAACACCTGTTATGAGACAGTCACACCAAATGAAATGCCAGGAAACACTGCTGACTACAAGGATTCTTTGTAAGTGTTTTGTTCCACTTGATGCTGCATCTTTAAAACAAAACCAATTAATTTTTCGAAAATATTGTTTTTTACATCAGGACTCTTCGAAATTAAAACATTTTTTGATGTTCCAATGTACCCTAAAAAAGGAGCTCATAATATTTTGTAAATATTGTATATTTTTTAGTCAACACTTGACCAAATTGTAATACGAGTCATTGACTCAAATTTGTGATCAAGTATAAACAAAGACTATTATTATTATTATTATTATTATGATACATTGTCATCCATAATTATACTGAAAGTTTGTCATTATTTATATTTTTTCAATGCTTTGCTGATAGAATGACAAAGCTGGTTGAAGATGTCACAGACGTCCTCAACAATAACATGGACAGGAAGCTGATCATGGACCTAATTGGAACGTGGGACATCATTAGTTCTCTGTCTGCCAAGATCCTCAACGGTTCAACCAAAGGTGGTGTCAAGGTTTCTCAGCAGAACCAATATTATGCTATTTAACTGCAATATTATTATTATTATCACATTTTTAAAAAGCAGAACAAGAAAAACATAAGTCCAATTTGTTGCCAAGTTTTAATACTGTTATGCTTGAAAACAAGGCATAAATATTGGATTTTTGATCACAAGTCTTGTGATTGTTAAAAATTGTCATCCTTTATGTAAAAGTAAATGCCAGAGATGACGTACCTAAGATGTCAAAGAACCACATGTTCTTCTGTTGCTTCTTTCGTATTTGAAATTTTATCATTTGTAACGCAGCGAGTAGGAAATTCTATCCAAATTGACGTTGATGTTTTTGTGCTATTATAAGTGTAAATATGATATGTATTTCTCTTGCCTCAAAAACAGAACAGCATATCATTTGATTTGTGACAATACCTCAGTCATTGGATGAAAATGAAATTCTCCTTTGCGAACTAATCAATATTTCTCTTAAATTTTCTATTAAAGTTGATAATTCATATCTAACCAGTTTATAAATGTGTTCATTTCAGGCCATGTCAAAGTGTTGAGCCTTTTTAAAAATCCCAGAGAACTTGTTCAGGAAATTGTGAACAATAGCATTACACTGACAGAAATGTCCTTAGTCAACCTACTGAATGCTTCTATAGACTTTACTCAGGTAAGAATCACTTCATTGTCTTACGACAGGAGTCAGGAAATACAGATTACATACAATGATACGTTTTCTGAACCTGCTTGAATTTTTTCCTCCGTTGGATGTAGTTTTTCCTAAATTTTTAACTGCCTTCTCAGTACATTCATATGTGTAGTTCAGTCATGAATATCTTTGTCCACACAAATGAAATTAGTTACAAATGTGCTGTGAATGAAGTCTCAAAAAGTAAAAGGACAACATAGGAAATATAAATCCACATTAATAGAATGATTGTAAAGTTCCCTGACCTTGTTGGTGGTATTTGCTCAAATTCCCAACACTCCATGTAAGGCTTTTTCAAATTAGGTAATGACACATGCTAGTCTCTACCAAGTACTCTAAAAAGGCATTTTTCAGAGAATTTTGTGTATTGCTATTTTCAAGGATAAAAAAATATCTCAAAAGACACATTGAAAATCCTGTCTGATGCAAATATTTGGTAAAAATCCTCCAAGTTTTGCAGTAATTATTGATATTCATTTGATAACTGAAATCACACGTTTGCTCAGCTGTTTAGGTTACCTCAATTTAAATTAGCAAGTTTCCATTAGTTCTTATCAGCAAATCATTACCTTTTTCAGTTTAATCGTCCCCACCTGAGTGATGTTTTACAGGACTTTGAAGTTTGTCCCAGGATTGGTAGGACTGTTGGGGCTAAGAAGTCTGCAGCGGAAGTCCGTGACTTTGTGTGTTCTTCAGATTCCATGTTAGAGTCATTTAAGTTCAAGACCATGGCTGCACGGCGAACAGTCCAGGCTGAGCTTTGTCGCATACCTGAAGCACACCTTGTCAAGTTGTATGAACTTTTTAAAAACAAATACAGCATTCAACATTTCATCTTTCAGGTAAGTGAGTCATACTACTGTGGCAGATAGTCTTTACTTGATGAATATATGTAAATTCATTAAAAATGTTGTTAAAAATAAAGTTAAAATCAAAATGCAGACCAAGCAATTTAGAGATCACATTTCAATTTGAAGAATCTTTCATCATAAATGTGAAAAAAGATGAGTAATAATTTTTAATTGTTGTCTGTATTTTAGTAATTTTTCTGTAAAATAGTTTGGAAGCTTTAACCTCCCCAGTAATTGATAATACGTTCTAAAGATAACTTTGAAATTTACTAAGTTAATTGCCAACATTTCACCAAAGATATAATACTTTGTAGATTGAATGTGTGATAATTGGGAAAATTTATGATAGAGATTGTTATTTAGGAACCCAGCACTATCATACAGATCCGTATTTAAATTCCTATCTAAAGTGTGTCTTCTATAATCTAATTTTCAGGTTTTGAGGTTTGTCTTTTTAAATACTGGAAAAATACCAAATGTCACTAAAATCTATGGGAAGTTGAAAGAGCTGTTCAATGATGTAAGTAATTTGAAATATCTCCTTCAAAGAGCTATCAACCAAAACATGAACTCTATCAGTGTTCCTTCATCACCCCTGTGTGAGGTTATGAAACCCCTAAATGGACGAAATTCAAGACTTGTACCTGCGATTTTCAAGCACTCTCCTTTATTGATACCTTGTTAAGTATTAATGTATATTGTATTCCTAATTTCAAAATACACATGGGAACACTGCTATATATAGGCTTATATAGTATGTTAATTTGATGTCTTTAAACATATGTTCTTGTGTTTTCCTTTGATCATAGACATCCTAGTATACATAAGTTAGGTTTTTCTGTTTGACAAATGAACAAAACTGATAGTCAGACACATGAGATTGTAGTATATGTGTATTTTACTAAGTAAAAAAGTAAAAAATCAATACAAAGTATTTTACTTTGATCAATATGGAATACTTCAAACTCACTTCCTTTAGGGATACGTTCCTAATTTCTGCATCACAATAAGTTCAAAGCAAGTAATTTTCACAAAACAGACAATATTGTACTGTACAATTCATGACAATTTTTTTCAAATTAGTTTTTATTGAAAAATTTGCAGACAAAACTCTGTATGCTAAAGACAGCTTGTTTACAGAACTTGATAATGAAGACACTGAATGCTAACTAATTTCTATTTACATATTTGAAAGGTGAAATCTTGACACCTGAAAATGATATATAAAAAACACTCTAGTATGCTGTGGTACTGATGATGTTGCAGGTGAAAGATCTTGACTCTACAGATGCAGCCACATTTGAAAAGCCAATTAAAGACTTGATAGCCTTTTTTTCAAAAACAGGCAAACCTAGTCCCGAAGTTATCGTGGAACAGTTAGGGAAATTTGTTTGCGGGAGAAATTCTTTCATGCAAATGCAGTCTTCTAAGTCCTTGGATATTTTAGATCGATTTAACTCCTTCAAACGGCCGGACATCAAGGATGACAAAAACAAAGGAAAGAATGACTATGGACCTAATTGTAAGTGATTGAGTTAACACTGATATTGAGTTTTCACACTGATTTTGAAACATTAGAATTTCTCACCAATACCAAAACATGTCTACTATACACAAACAACAATGGTGATGGACAAAAATACCCTAAGAGCCGTTGTCCCATAAGTTCATGTGTATGTTGCAATTCATCTACTCAGTTTTTAGGGGTACACCTAGTGGTAGGCAGAGCCTAACTAGTGAATAAATCAAATTAAGCTATTTAACACCAAAGTATACATAATGGACACAATCTTTTTAATTGTTTCAAAACTCTATTTTTGTCTATAAAAATCCTATATTTAGCAATTGAAAGTCATGTAGGTATTTCTAACAAAAACTGTAAAATCATATATTTTTGTGGGGTCCAATTTTTGTGGTTTATCAAAAAATCACTATTTTGTGGGCATTTAATTTCATGGATTAATATAGTTCAAGAAAATGTAAGAAATTGTATACTTAATGTTGACAATAGATTGCTATTCTGACACTACATACATTGGCAGCACCTGTGTGTATGGAGTTGGTGGAGTTGATGAATGCCAATGTGAACACACAAATTCTTTGGAAAAATCTACGGCCTGTTGTCCTGGGAAAGATTCCATATGCACCGGACACTCCTGCTGTCAGAGAAATCATCAAGGGGGTAGGCGTATACCTGTACTGATTAAAAAATTGTGTGAATTCATTTATTTGAATATGTCTGTTATAGGTTGTTAGGTGTATTTTAAAATTGTGTCATTGTTTATGAAAGGAAAACTCATCATTGGTTACAGTTTTATCCTTCCATATATGAAATGAAAATTTCATACTCACACTTAAAGAAATGTGTATGGTAGGATACTCAATATTTTAGATCAATTGATAAGGGTTCTGTAGACCATTTCTACATTAGAATATTGCATAAATTGGTTTGATTTTGAGAAGACAACAGTGGACTTTGTTTAACAAAAACATACAGAGGTACTCACTCATCTGTATTGAATCTCTGGTGTTTATGTTTAAGATATCTTTGTTGATATAGAATATAGTCTTCAAAAATACAACCACTTCAAAACAGATTAAAAATATGGTATAGATGAGTACAAATTATTATTGTGTGTATTGTAGGCGAACCAGACATTTGAAGACCTGGCTAAGATGGTGAAGCTAGCAGAAGACTGGGAGGATTATGCTTTGTACCTGGAGACATATCTGAAAACCAGTCCCACCATGGATATGATCAGGGTATACTCTATCTCACAGTAAAAACATTGAAGTAATGACATACTGTATAGTGTTTTGTTGTAAAATTTATCTTGTTTTAATTAAATATAAATTAATGATAATAGGCAAACCTTTCTGATGACGGATCGCTTGGATCCAAACGTGTTAACAACTCTCGGCACGAATAAATCGTGGATTGGACCGGAACTGCTTCGTGTTATGCCTACTCCTGACATCTATCCTACTTATTTATAGTGGGTTCATGGTATCCTTTTGGATCCACGGCTGTTCCCGGAAGGAATTTCCTGATTTCAGTGTTTGCGGGACGTTGTGTCTCCATTGTGGACATTGGCCAAATTCTGACCAAAATACAGATGAAATTGAATCTATGAGAAATGCTTGGTGCAATGGTTATCTTGGCAAAAAAACAGATACTAGTTATATTCATCTCAATATCTTGTATTCTTGCTTTTCATCAGAATCCAGATTTCTGTCCCATATAGCTTATTCCTAAAGTTATCTATGTTTTGTAGGCATTTTCTACGTCTTGTTTGTGTGATCTGTTGGAGAGTAAGACAATGAATCTTATCAAGTCAAAGGCAAGTTCTGAACAAAGTACATCCAAAAGCGTCTGCCAGTTCCTACAGACCTACTTCAGCAAGGATCCCAAGGCAGACGGCAATTTTGACTGGGAGAAAACTCTCCATTACACTAAGATATTTGCGCGGGTGGTGGCTGAATATGGCAAGGTAATCTTCCAATTTAAGTTTTTATTGATTTAGGAATATTTTAATCCCAAACTACATATATTTCCAAATATCAATATAGATATTTGTATCATCAGGATTTTCACTTTTTGATTTTAATGTATGGTCCATGTTAGTGGTTTCTTACAGAGCCTGTTAACTGACATGCTCCATACTTATAACGATAAAACGAAATAATATTTCTAAAAAACGAATTATTATTTTGAAAAAACGAATTGATATTTTGTTTAAATGAAATAATATTTCTAAAAAACGAATTATTATTTCGAAAAAAACAAAATAACATTTCAAAAAAACGAAATAAAATAAGTATGGAGCATGTCAGTTAACGGGCTCAGTAGTTTCTGGCATATAAAAGTGGAACAATATGACACAAAATGCCTCCAAGCATTTAATTTCTTGTATATGTTGTGATTTCTTATATTAACCAATCTGCTTGCATCATTCTATCAGATGGTAAACTGAAGAATAAACAGACTCACATGATGTATAATCAGAATTAATATTCATGTATTCAACAGTGTTTTCAGTTCAACAAGTTTGTTGGCTACTCGTCAGAGGAAGAGCTCATTGAGAACAGCCTTGACATGATTGAGGCTGACAATTTCTGGGGAGGTCAGTGGCAGATAATTCATTGTGTTTATTGATTGTTTGATTTTATTATCGATACAATTTAAATTCTAGGTCATAATGATAATTAATTATACACTTTAAGTGATTGAGAAAAGCCTGCTTTACGCACTACTAGTACCGATTGTTTTCCTTCAAATGAGGTACATATACATACTTATACCAAGGATTTTTCTAGGACAGAAAACTGATACATGAACTCTTGATTATTTCCCTGGAAGATTTCAAAAAGTTTGAAGTACATTTTTGTTATGAAATTTGAATTAAATAGAGGTTTGTTGAAAAATTCAAAGTGGAGGAAGTATAAATTTAGTGAAATATTTGTCTTACCAAACATACTACTTTTCTCATATCTCTTTCATAGGAGGGCATTAGACATTCATTTCATTATGATCAAATATTGAAAAAAGATGAGAAATGTGTCCAAGATGTTTTGTATTACCTGATAGTACAACCATTTGATTTACAGCCCTTGTCTTTGATGTGGAGCCAGGTGCTGTCCAGCTCCCTTCTCATCTTTCTTACAAGATCAGGATGGACACCACCAAAGTGGACGACACCAAACGTGTCACTGACAAGTAAGATTTTAATCATGCCCTAATCACAGTTTATCATCTTTCCATTTAATTTCCCCCTTGGTAAAATAAGGTACAATCCTGAAGTAACTTTTTTATGATATAACAGTCTTGAGTTGTAGTGCGTCATGTGTGATGTTATAGGTATTGGCGTCCTGGCCCAAGAAGACGTGCAGGAACGGAGACAAAATATCTGACGTATGGCTTCGCCTACCTACAGGACATGGTAGACCATGCTATCATTAAGTTACAGACTGGACGTGAAGATGACACAGGCGTTATCCTCCAACAGTTCCCCTACCCCTGCTACACTGAGGACTCGTAAGTCATCTGTCAGCTTCTATACAGAGTCAGGGTCTGGAGAAAGTTTGATGATCTCACATGGAAGATTGTAAATTAGCAGTTTCCCATTGTTATCATGCCTAAAACCTTGATGTATCCTTTAACAGGACAATTAACTGCTGCCAAAAGATAATACTGAAAGCTAGTCTCATACTTAAAGAGCATGCCTGGAGATAATGGTACTATTTTTACTGAAATGTTTTAGCTCAGGAAATACGCTATTTCTACTAAACTTTTTGTTACAGGTTTATGGAAGTGATCTCCAAGACATTGCCACTTTTCCTTATCCTGGCCTGGGTTTTCCCTGTGGCGTTACTGTGTAAGAACATTGTGTATGAGAAGGAAAAGCGCCTGAAGGAAATGATGAAGATCATGGGACTTGGGAACGGCGTCCATTGGATGGCCTGGTTCATCAATGCCTTCGCCTCTATGTTCGTCACAGTCTGTTTGCTGGTTGTCATTTGTAAGGTAAGTCAGATAGAGTGATTGTCTGTCTCAGTACTGTGGAAAAGTGAAAAAATGAAAATGTATAAAGATAAATAGATAGTTTATTTCATTATCAAATTTTCATTTACAATTTACCCAAACATCACCAGTTAGTGGGTTATTTGTTTCACCTCAAAGGGTTGAGGCTTCATTTCGTTATAGAAAATATTACAACACTTGTTTATTGGCAGGTTGTCATTTGTAAGGTAAGCTAGATAGAGTGGTTATCATATTGAGTTTTATTTTCTGGGGAAGTATTCATGTCTTTCCTGATTCACAATTAGAAGATGACCTTTACTGTTTCAGTACGGAAAGATCATACAGCAGTCAGACCCTTTCATACTGTTAGTGTTCTTCACCTCCTTCTGTGTCGCTACAATCAGCATGGTGTTTATGATCAGCGTGTTTTTCTCCCAGGCCAATCTGGCTGCCTGCTCAGCTGGCTTCATCTATTTCCTCATGTATCAGCCATACAGCTTTGCCAAACGCTGGGAAGATGTCCTCAGTGGATTGCATAAGATGGGCGTGGTAAGTATTTATGATACTGAATCTTTGTAAATATAGGTAGTTTGTGTCCCAGTAGGTCCAAATTCCTCTGTTTTCCTGATATCTATTTCATTTGGTTTGTATGTCATTCTGTTTTCAGTGTTTTTCGTCAAATGTGGCATTTGGGTTTGGCTGTACCTACATTGCACGGTATGAAGAACAGAACATTGGGATACAGTGGAGTAATATTGCCCAGAGCCCCCTAGTGGATGATGAGTTCAGCATGCTTTACTGCATCCTCATGCTGTGGTTGGATTCATTGATATATGGACTTATCACTTGGTACATAGAGGCTGTCTTTCCAGGTACATAACACCAATGTCATACATCTGATATTTTCTAACAAAGTCAAGTATAAACTTAAACATTACAATGTTTGGATGTATGTTACTATAGAAATTGCACCTTAATTCATCTAAATCTTATGAACTTTTAAAACACAATGTTCTCATATCTTCGATATCTGTATCCAAATTCTAGTGAAATACTGAAATGATCACTAACTTATCTTCTTTATATATGATGAATTCAGGTATTTGATGAAAATCAAGGTATTGATGATGACACTTCATGTACTCAAGTTGAACAAACTTTTTATTCAGGGCAGTATGGGATTCCACGGCCATTTTATTTCTTTTTCCTGAAGTCTTATTGGTGTGGTACTGTAAAGAAAACGGCCAAAGGTGAAACTGAGGAAGGGGAAGTCAATCCATATGAAGCTGAAGTGGTAACTGGTAATAACTTTATATGTTCACCACCATATGATAGGATATGTAGACTTGTGATTTCCTTCATAGCAAGTCCATAAGTGTCTAATGTAACGTGTTATTAAAGATCCAACAATACATCAAAGCCTGGCAAAAAGCCCACCCATACCTATTGCTGTTCTGTAAAAACAATACCAACAAAAGCTGTTTCAAATGAGCCAAATGAATCAGAGGTACATGTAATAAGCCCACTCCTGGCTTTGAGTCAGAGGTAATGTGTTGGTACCCCCTGGGCTTATTGCAGTATAAATAATTTTGTCCTCTCTCATATATGAACTAGTGCCTTGATATTCAGTCAAGCTGTATTGATATAATTTAATCGTTTAAACTTTCATGAAAAGAAAAAATTACCTTTATGATATATTTCTTTTATGTAATGGAAATATATCAAGTAATAAAGAATCTCATTGTTGCTTTTTGAAAATTATAATCCCTGTTTGTGGTAAATGATTAATTGAGGTTTCCCACAGGAACCAACATGGAGGAGGAACCTGTAAGCCGTCCTCTTGGAGTTTCCATCAGAAATCTCAGGAAAGTATATGGCAAAAAGGTGGCTGTTGATGGACTCAACATTAACTTTTATGAAGGCCAGATTACATCTTTTCTTGGTCACAACGGTGCTGGTAAAACCACTACAATGTAAGTCTGAAACTAGAATTCAAGATTTTCCTTTATCAAGGCATTGTCAAGGTTAGAGAGAATCCACTGTAAAAACTGGTTAAATGCAAATTTATTAGGTAATCAGTGTCCAGAGTGGAATTCTCAGTTTGTATTAATGACTTTGTATCCAAAACCACTATTTAGTGATGTTCTTCATAATCATTGTCAAGGTAATGAAGATTCTACATGAGGTAGAAAGGAAATGATTATGTATGTATATGTAATTCATTGCTTCCTTCTGTTTTATCTGTGTGATTGTAGGTCGATTCTGACAGGATTGTTCCCTCCCAGTAAGGGTACAGCCTACGTCTACGGACAGGACATCACTACCCAGATGGAGGACATTCGCTCTAGTCTGGGACTCTGTCCTCAGTACAACGCCCTCTTCCCTTAGTAAGTAATCCTAATCAGTGACATTAACATTCAAAGTATTTCACTGTTCAGTATCTGCCACTGCAATGTTTCTTGTTTGTCTTCTACTCTAGAAGGTTAGAAATAATCACTGGTGTTTTTGTATGTTTCAGTTTGACCTTAAAGGAACATTTGTGGTTTTATGCACGATTGAAGGGACTAACCAACGACCAGGCCAAAGCTGAAACTAAACAGTTAATACAAGACATCAAACTAGCCCACAAGAAACATGCTGTTCCCAAAATGCTTTCAGGTTAGGTTGTCATCCATTTGATTTTTAAAAATATTGCTAAATTTTGTATCTGTTAGATAGTGATTTCTGATGTTAGTTATAATTTCAATTTGCTTGGTAAAAGCAATTTTAAAGGGAAATATGAATATCAGTCATGTTTTTGTGTTAGAAGGAAATCAGACTAATTACTTTAATCTCCGAATAATCTGTTAACTTATTGCAGTGGTTAGTTTACTGATGACAACTTATTTATATAATCTTGCCAAAATCAAAGTTACATAAACTTGTGATGCAAGCATTCATATTTTTTCATCATCTATTTATCAGGTGGTATGAAGCGAAAGCTGTCTGTTGCCATAGCATTTGTTGGAAATGCTAAAACAGTAATCCTTGACGAGCCAACAGCTGGGGTGGATCCTTATTCCAGACGGTCTATCTGGGAACTTCTCCTCAAGTTCAAAGAAAGTATGTCTGAATGAGCAGTTGTTATCTGAACGAACATTTATAGTCCAATGTCTGTAAATATGTATATTTTATGTAGGGACATTTTGTAATCTAGATAAGGGCTAAGTATTATCCCTTGTAAAATAAGACACAATTATAAATGCTATTTCCTTGTACTCTCTATGATATGATATATCTTTTAAAGAATTTGTTACTTGTATCATAATTCTGATGAAGAACTTTGAATACCATGTATCACACCTACCTACTGTAAATATCCTCTCCAAGCCCCAAACAAAATTCTGAAGAGTTATTTCTAAGGGAGGTAATCCTTATATCATCGCTTTTGTGTGTAGACCGTACAATTTTGCTGTCCACTCACCACATGGATGAAGCTGATGTCCTTGGAGACAGAATAGCTATCATATCACAGGGCAAGCTCTGCTGCTGTGGCTCCAGTCTCTTTCTCAAGTCACACTATGGCAACGGTTACTACATGACACTGGTACGAGAAGGTGCTGAAGAAGTAGACGAAGACAATGATGAGTATGAGATGATATATGAAAATGTTCTGCCGATATTGAAGCCCAAGCGGAGAGAGGTATTGAACACTTTTGATAAACAGTATGTTTAATACATTTATCGAAAAATAGTTTCCATGTTGACCCTGAATTAGCCCATACTTACCACAAACTCTTATACATTGCAGCAGTTAATGAAGTTTACCTGTTTAGACTCAAATATAATTGATATCAATATTTTACAGTTATAATGAAGAGGATATCATTCCATATATAGCCATTTGTTCAGTTTCAAGATGTGATTGGTTTTGTGAAGGATTAGTTTAGAGAAGTTGCACTGTATATATCACTGTATGTAATAATTCTCCCCTAGCACTATCTCTGGTTAGGCTTCTTGAACTTATTACAAGCAAAAAATATATATTTCTGACTGTAATTCAATGAAAACAAATATTCTATTATTGTTTTCAATTTTCTTCTTTAGGCTCGTTTAGATGTGGACGAAGGATTTGCTGAAAGGTCAAATGACAATGACATCTCTTTTCTGATGCCAACTCCTCCACCTGATGGAGACCTTAAGCCAGGTGTGGATATAATTCAATGTTTAAATCCATATAGATGCACCTAAAAATAAACAAACAAACCATTTCTCATAACAGACTTATCTGAGGGTAGTCTGCTAATTTCTTTGTTATCATGCTTTATGTGACAAAGTTAGAATTTTCAATTTTGCTGTATTGTTGCTCTCTTTATAAAGACAAACAGGAATGAATTGGCACAGGACTTATTATAATAAATGTCCTGTTTTTCAGTTCCACGGTATCATGTAGTATTTTGTTGTTTGACAATAGCTATTGTTTCCTATCACACTTAAGTTTAATCATACACACATCTGTAATCATCTTCATGTTCCTTGTATCATGTTGCTTTCAGCATTTTCTGAGAAGCGGTTGACAGCCTTTATAAAAAAGTTTGTGATCGAGGCAAAGCTTGTGGAAAGCAACAAATCTGAGCTGACGTATCAGTTACCAGACTATGGCACCCAGACAGGCGAGTTTGTATTTATGTTTGAGGAACTAGAACGCTGTCATAAGGAGATGGGGATTTCTAGCTTCGGAATCTCTGACACAAGTCTGGAAGAGGTGAGTGACTGGATGACCAAGAATGAAATGCAGCTTTGTGTTCTGAATGTTGGTTAGACTGTAAGTCTATATCATCTCGTTATCTCTTTGACTGAGCTATATCTCTTTAACTCTTTCATCAATGTAATTATCCAATTAAGTATTCAAGAAGCTCTTAGGACAGAGAAGTGTTGCATTCTAAATTCAATGCTTGTATCCCAGTTTATACGGAGTTAAGGCCCTTTGTTTCCAATTTTCATTTTCTCATATGAATATCTTATACACTGTGTACTTTGTCCTTAATATTATTTTGTTTTTTATTTAAAAGGTGTTCCTGAAAGTAGCAGAAACTGTTAATGAGAAAGACAAGGAGATAATTAAAAGTCCGACTGATGAGGTCAAAAGGAAGAGGTTAGAGGAAGTTTCTGATGGTAAGTCTCCACACACTAATGATGTGACCTTTTGCTTTTATATATTTGTTGTATTTCCATTTTCATTGGTGCATGTCTTTCAAAATCTGATAGATCAGTGTGTTACAGGTTTACTGTGTTGTGGTAATCTATTTGCATAATACTAAGGGGCAAAAATAGACCATGGATATTAGAAGTGATTTGCTATAAATGTGTTCATTCTTAGTGTATACATATTTAACCTATCTGTGATGTTGTAGGTGGTCGAGTTCCCAGACCAGTCACTCAAATGAGCTTCCGTAGAAACAAGCGCCAGTCTTTCTTGAGAGTGACCCCAAGGCAACAATTACAGGAAATACAGGAACAGCAAGCTCAGGAACAGATAGAGGACACTGGAGAAGCCAGGGAGGAGGTGGTATATCTGGGTAGGTATTAGTCTGTATATCATGGTGGATGGGAGTTAGGAGAGCTAGGGAGGAGGTGGTATATCTGGGTAGGTATTAGTCTGTGTGTCAAGGTGGATAGGAGATAGGAGAAGGTAGGGAGGAGGTGGTATATCTGGGTAGGTATTAGTGTGTATGTCATGGTGGATGGGTGTTAGGAGAAGCCAGGGAGGAGGTGGTATATCTGGGTAGGTATTAGTCTGTATATCATGGTGGATGGGAGTTAGGAGAGCTAGGGAGGAGGTGGTATATCTGGGTAGGTATTAGTCTGTGTGTCAAGGTGGATAGGAGATAGAAGGTAGGGAGGAGGTGGTATATCTGGGTAGGTATTAGTGTGTGTCATGGTGGATGAGTGGATGAGGTGGTATATCTGGGTAGGTATTAGCTGTGTGTCAAGGTGGATAGGAGATAGGAGAAGGTAGGGAGGAGGTGGTATACCTGGATAGGTAATAGTCTGTATATCATGGTGGATGGGAGTTAGGAGAGTCTGTGTGTCAAGGTGGAGGAGTGGTATATACCTGGGTAGGTATTAGTCTGTGTGTCATGGTGGATGGGAGTTAGGAGAAGGTAGGGAGGAGGTGGTATATGTGGGTAGGTATTAGTGTGTATATCATGGTGGATGGGAGTTAGGAGAAGCTAGGGAGGAGGTGGTATATCTGGGTAGGTATTAGTCTGTGTGTCAAGGTGGATAGGAGATAGGAGAAGGTAGGGAGGAGGTGGTATATCTGGGTAGGTATTAGTGTGTGTGTCATGGTGGATGGGAGTTAGGAGAAGCTAGGGAGGAGGTGGTATACCTGGGTAGGTATTAGTCTGTGTGTCATGGTGGATGGGAGTTAGGAGAAGCTAGGGAGGAGGTGGTATACCTGGGTAGATATTAGTCTGTGTTTCATGGTGGATGGGGGTTAGGAGAAGCTAGGGAGGAGGTGGTATATCTGGGTAGGTGGATAAGATTTTTGAGAAATTCACTCAAATGCAACAATGTTAAATATACCTTATAAGTATATTTTGTATCAGTCAATTTTAAAACAAGGTCTACTTGGCACTAGAAAGAACAGATAAAACAGACAACAGATACAATTGTCAGCCTTTGATTCACAAGTGTTCCTTACCATAAGACTATCACTTGATGTAAGGCTCTTGTTAGGAAAGTGTTTGTTAAATTTAAGGCTGATGTCCTTCTCTTCTTAAATTTATGTTACCATTAATAATGGTCATATATGGAAAAAATGAAGATTAGGAAAACAGTATTCATAAAATGCAGGGGCCAGTTTGTCAATCATTAGTCTGTTTCCAACACTTATAGCTGGTTAAATGTGCATTGTGTGTTTAAACATTTTGAATCATAGTAGAATATGCTTGTGTCTTGTTACAGAACCTATGACAGTCATTAAACGAGAGGTCGGATTTAACCACAAAGAGCAGGTAAAACTGGAGGGAAAACACCTACTATGGCACCAATTCCTTGCTATCTTTATCAGGAGATTCCATCATTTCAAACGCAGCAAGAAAGGATTTGTTTGTGAGGTGAGTTGCTGTATATAAATTCAGTTTTATTTTATAGACTTTTCTTGATACCCTTTTCTAATTGAACTGTTTTATCTGTCATTGTGTAAATGTTTTCACCGATGTATGCAGGGAGAAAGGTCACAAACCAAACATAGCTCACCACAGCATGTCTATTGATCTTTGCCCCTAAAGAATATAATGGTTTAAGATTTAACTGAAAATAAAATGGGTTTGATATTTAGCTCCAATCTGTTAGAAGCATAGTAGGTGTTTCCTTAAATCCATTTAAATAGATTCTGTAATTTGGTCCCTCTCCTGATCAATATTGACTGTAAATGTTGATGTTTTACATTGTTTAGCTTGTGATGCCAGCCTTCTTCGTGCTGCTAGCCATGGTGTTTGCTGAGATTGATCCCCCTCTCACTGACTCCCCGCCCTTGGAACTCCATCCATGGAAACTCCTACCTCCCAGAGGAAATTCACATCTTAATATGTTTTACAGGTAAAATTTAAAGATAGATTATGTTTAAATTTACACAAAAATTGATGATCAATAATTGCAACAAGGTGTACCCAAAGGAAAAGAATATCTGTACAGTTGAGAGGAAGTTAGACAAGGTGTGAAAATCTTTTGTTTTTATTTTGCAGTAATGATGCTAGAGGAACCAAATTTACTGAAGAGTCTGTGAATATATTGTTGTCCAAATATGGAGTGGGGAACCGATGCCTTAATCCAGATGTCTACACAATAGAGTAAGTCCTTTTTATTATGATGTAGTTTACTAATATGTATGCGGTTCATCTTCAAGTCAGTAGTAATATATGTGTCAAGTCTTTAAGTCAGTAATGATGTATTCAAAATTAGCTCATGGGATATTTGTGTTGAAGGGTTTCACCTATTGCTCGGTGAAGTCTCATCTATGTTAGGCGAGGGGTTAGTTATCCTGTCTCTTGTGATGGAGCTCATTTGCTGTGAGGTTATTGTAAAACCTGATGATACTGGATTGTTGTAGTGGTTTTCCTTGTGAAGAGTCGAATACTGAATCTAAATGGACAGAGGCAGAAAACTGGGACGAAGCAGACAACATTGACTGTTCCTGTTCTACAGGTGTCCAGCAGTGTCCAGCAGGTAAGGGTGATATGTATCCCTGCATCGGTGTCCAGCAGGTAAGGGTGATATGTATCCCTGCATTGGTGTCCAGCAGGTAAGGGTGATATGTATCCCTGCATTGGTGTCCAACAGGTAAGGGTGATATGTATCCCTGCATTGGTGTCCAGCAGGTAAGGGTGATGTGTATCCCTCCATTGGTGTCCAGCAGGTAAGGGTGATATGTATCCCCCTATTGGTGTCCAGCAGGTAAGGAAGATATGTGTCCCTGCAGGTGTCACTGATGTCCAGCAGGTAAGAGTGATGTGTGTTCCTGCAGGTATCACTGATGTCCAGCAGGTAAAGGTGATGTGTGTTCCAGCAGATAAAGCTCTGGTGTTGTTAGAAATTATATGAGTGTAGGACATATATTGCTTGTATTGCAGTGCCACAGACCAGTACATGTATATGGTATGGTTTAATTGCATCACAGGCGTCAGCAGCCAGTTTATGATATATTTTACTTGTATTGCAGGAGCTGGTGGACCAGTGCCAAGGAAACGTCTACTACCCACATCAGACTTCCTGTACGATTTGACAGACAGAAACATCACTGATTGGCTGGTGAAGACTGTGCAGAGTTACCGTAAACGCAGGTATATATTCCTTATCATTAACTATAAACACATGTAGTTGATCTTTGTTACTTTAACATGTATCTCATGCTTAACTTAGGTTTCAGTTTTGTTTTAGTGGCATCAGTAATATTTGATATTCATTCATTGAACATTTTAGTAATCTTCCTGTTGGGTATGAAATAAAAATCATCACTATAGAAATGTACTTGTTTGTAGGTATGGTGGTCTGTCATTTGGAATGAAGTCCAAGTGGGCCCAGTTTAACACCGACCATATCAAACAGATCTTCAACACATTACGAGAGGCCAGCACAGAGTCCAACAGGAGCTTTCAGAATGTCCTTGGTGGTATCAACTCTATCATGGGTCGTGTGGCAGTACACAACATATCTAAGGTAGGGAATCAAATAAACAGCATACCCGGGTACATAAGATAGGCCAGAGCAAATCACGTAAAAGAAAATCAAAGTTTATAGAATGACATGCGTCCCTCTCATTACTGCAGGGATTTAGGGGACTCAGATATTTGAGTCCTGGAATCATGTTCTTCCTATGAGACTCACTAAAGTTTTAAAAAACCCACTGTATATCTTAGTATTGGGACTCATTAAACTTCTGGAATTGGTGTTCTGGACTCGCCTGGAAAAATTCTACAAAAAATACTGATAACTGAGAGGGGTACACACAGTGATTAATGATAGTGGTACTACATAATTATGTAAAGCTCTTTATGTTTAACACCTATGCAGGTGTGGTATGTAAAGGTATTTATGTTTATCACCTATACAGGTGTGGTATGTAAAGGTATTTATGTTTATCACCTATACAGGTGTGGTATGTAAAGGTATTTATGTTTAACACCTATACAGGTGTGGTATCTAAAGCTGTTTATGTTTAACAGCTATACAGGTGTGGTATATAAAGCTGTTTATGTTTAACACCTATACAGGTGTGGTATAACAACAAGGGATGGCCAGCAGTGGTTATCTACATGAATGTGATGAACAACATTATTCTGAGAAGCAAGCTGCAGTCCCACCAGGACCCTGACAAATATGGTATCTCAACTATAAATCACCCCATGAATCTTACCATGAAACAGTCACGTGATGGAGCCTCGTAAGTACCACAGTATCACATTTACATGAAAGTAACATAACCAGATTTCCATTTCTCTTTTACTTTAAAACAAAAGTTCCATTAATACATATTGTATAATTTCAGTCTTTATAGATTGGCGTACTTTTATACTAACAATGTTTTACCTCTCCTCAGGGCTACTAGTAAGACTGACATTATCATCTCCACTTGTGTCATCTTTGCAATGTCCTTTGTACCAGCAAGCTTTGTCATGATCCTGATTGAGGAGCGAGTGTCGGACTCAAAACATCTCCAGTTTGTGAGTGGTATCCACCCCTCCATTTACTGGCTTGGAAACTTCACCTGGGACATGGTAAGTACATCAGTGTCAATTACACTGACACTGTGATTTGTTATTATACAAGCTTTGAGTTAAAATATTGTTGGAATAGAGCTGTGTTGCATACACTCATTAATGTGATAGAGTTGCATTAACAGAAGGATAAAACATTGGTTTACTGTGCTTTATAATGGTTTTATCGTGTGTTAGATTCATGCTTTAGAATAATTAGACACTAGATAATTGTTGCCAGGTCTATCCAACTCTCCTAGTTATTGATGTACAAGATTACAATGATATGTTTTGTGTTTCAGTTAAATTACCTTGTGTCAGCCTCTTTGAGTATATGTATATTTGTGGCATTTCAACGCGAGGCATATGTTGGAAAAACAAACTTCCCAGCACTTTTACTTCTTTTAGTATTGTATGGGTAAGTACAAAGCTCTCAAAGATCTTCAATACACACAAGTGAGGTGTACGTTTACAATAATGATAATTATTTTGGCTAATTCCTGTTTGAACAGATTTTGATACCATATTATGTCTAATTTTGTTAAAACAAAAATGGTAGAAATAGCATTTCCTGAGTGTTGAGAGTACTTATGTTACACATATATAAACTATCCTCAGACACTTTGATTATTTCCTTGATGCTCTGACAGTTGGGCCATGATTCCTGTGATGTATCCATTTTCCCGCCTGTTCCGAGTGTCCAGCACTGCCATGGTGACGCTCAAGTCTGTAAATATCTTCCTTGGTACCACCTCGACCCTGGCCACCTTTATCCTGGAGTTCCTGGCTGATGATGACCCCGTAAGTGTGTAGGCTGTCATTCCAGTCGAATAAACAAAACTGTGTCATTGTCATTGTGTTGTTTCCATGTCTGATTGGACATTGCCAAAATAATGAATTTTAATAACATACATTTATTTCATTTCCGAACATAAAGTTTCTAGTCAAGAGAATGGTAGGTGACTAGAATGCTTGTTATGTCAGACACTAAAATAAAGTATACTATAGGTCATTGATTATAAAATACTTTAAAAAGTAACAACAGGTGAAGTCAATTACTGATGGTGTTTTAAAAACACTGTGATGTAACATGTATTTTGTGCCGCAGTAAAAATGATGTTACTTATTTGTAGACACTTGGAGAAGTGAATGACATCCTGAAACAGGTGTTGCTTGTCCTCCCCCAGTTCTGTCTCGGCCAGGGCCTACTTGAACTCTCTCGGTCACAAGTATACACCACTGCATTCAAAAAGTTTGGTAAGTTACTTCTGGGTGAAAGGCGAATGCATTACCACAGCACTACCAGACTCGAATACTATTTATCAACAAAATAAATTGTATAAACAAAAAAGTAACTTCATGGAAAACCGTGAAATTTGAGCCACACAAAAATATATACCTGTGTGTAATTTCATATATCTTCAGTTATAGGCTGTGTAAATAGAACACTAACTTGTAGGATTATTTTGGCATATCAACTGTACACTGACACCACGTTTTACTTATGTTTCAGATCTAGATGGTATTGTAACTCCCCTAGTGTGGGGACAGGTTGGCAGAAACCTCTTCTCGATGTTTCTGTGTGGGCTTGTCTTTTTCCTGCTTAACCTTCTCATAGAACATAACTTCTTTATTCGTAAAAAGTAAGTACTGTCATGATGGTTCTAGTCCAAATACAATGTGTATAAAGTTGTCATAGTGTACTACATACATGTATATATAAAAGGTAATGCTGATTTCTGATAATTATTGTTAACAGCCATTATGAATCAATATTAGAACTACTTACAAATATACATCAGATGATAAAACAAAACTTGCTAGAAAGAAAGATTCTGTTAAATGATATGAAGGATTCTTAACGGACAATAATGTATTGTTGTTTACTGTTGGTTGAGCTTGTTCAATGTCTTACTGGCGACGTTCCCTCACACAGGGTTGGTGCCACTCCCGAGGAGGAAGTGGAAGATGAAGATGAAGATGTGGCACGAGAGAGGATGCGTGTTCTATCAGAAGATGGAGCTGATGACATTATCAGGATTGACAATCTTACCAAGGTGAATACTGGATTAACAAATTTCAAGTGTCATAAATTACAATTTTTTGTGGTGACTTTTCCAGACTGTTTCCTTACTAACATCTCTGTAATACTGTTTTATACCTTTTTATTTCAAACATATGTGAGACAATAATGAAGTCTACTTTATTACAAACGATTGTGAGGAGCTTTTCTTCAATCCTTTTTATTTCAAATGTTTGAGACATGTGTTCACCCTAAACTTTGTGAGTTTCTATCGAATGCTCAGATGCTTATTTTATATTGTTACAGGTATATAAGGTGCCAGGCGGAAAGGGACGCCATGTTGCTGTAGACAGACTTTGCCTCGGTGTGCCAAAAGGACAGTGCTTTGGACTGTTGGGCGTTAATGGAGCAGGCAAGACGACAACATTCAAAATGTTGACAGGCTACCTGAATATGACACATGGGAATGCTTACATCAATGGATTTAGGTAAATGTCCATATTGCAAGAAAAAGCATGAGTTGACCAAGGAAAACGAACATTACATTGAGTGCTTGTCGGAAGCTGCATTATAAGCATGATGAAAGTTGATTCTAGTGACATCATGAACTCTATGTGACTCAATAGAGTATTGGTAGGATCAACTTGTGAGTAGTTAAATCCCCAAGGAAGTGTTAATAAGTAACCACTGGATAACCTTATAGTGTCCTCTGGGTGACCTCTGGGTGTCCTCTACTGTCCCTGATTTAAGAGACACTAAGGACCTGTTATCCCTTCACGGACTGACATAGTTCAGTACAGCCTAGATGTAATGGAGTTCTAATTACAGGTCATTTAATTACATCGTATAACGAGCAAACCTATTTGAATGTTTATCTATTTTACTAAGAAAAGTGCTGAAACAAAATAGGTATGGCCAAATTTTATTTTGTTGATACATTGTACCTTAATGATTTGAACTGATTAGAGTTTAATAAATGTATGACATTGTTGTTTTATTAATCGCTTTCAAAATATCAGTTTCAATATTCCCACACATCATTCATGGTTATGTAAGGAAGTGTTTTGATATTTGGATGTAGTGTTATTTGTGTAATCATATGTAATAGAAAATTGAATTGTTACACTATAATCATAGAAGGTAGCAAAGTCAGCAGCCACTGACATTACACCATATTACACCACTGTAGGGCTCATATTACATCACCATAGGGCCACCACACTAAGGGTATGGAGAGACACATCAAGATGGCATTTAACATATCATTTTCTGACTAGACAGAAAACTCAAGAATCTATTTTTTGTTGAAGATATAGATATGTTTACTTTTGTCACAATGCCAGACTTCCTCTTATGTAAATACTTACATTTGTCTCAAAGCCAGACTTCCTCTTACTTATGTAAATATTTACTTTTGTCACAAAGCCAGACTTCCTCTTACTTATGTAAATACTTACTTTTGTCACAAAGCCAGACTTCCTCTTACTTATGTAAATACTTACTTTTGTCACAAAGCCAGACTTCCTCTTACTTATGTAAATACTTACGTTTGTCACAAAGCTACTTATGTAAATATTTACTTTTGTCACAAAGCTAGACTTCCTCTTACTTATGTAAATATTTACGTTTGTCACAAAGCTAGACTTCCTCTCTTATGTAAATACTTACTTTTGTCACAAAGCCAGCTACTTATGTAAATATCTAATAAAATGTTTACTTTAAATATACTAAAAGCCATACTTATGTAAATGTTTACTTTTTGTTTCAAAACTATGCTTCCTCTAAAATGAATTCTTACTTTCCTCACAAAGCCAGACTTCCTCTTACTTATGTAAATACTTACTTTTGTCTCAAAGCCAGACTTCCTCTTACTTATGTAAATACTTACGTTTGTCACAAAGCTAGACTTGCTCTTACTTATGTAAATACTTACGTTTGTCACAAAGCTAGACTTGCTCTTAGGTAGATATTTACTTTTGTTTCAAAGCTACTCTTATCTAATTAAATGTTTACTTTCATCTAAAAGCCATACTAAAATGAATTCTTACTTTCCTTTTTGTGATAGCCTCAGGGTTCTCATTTTTGATAGAAATATTTATAAAGGCATAACCTTCTTTTTGTGATAGCCTCATGATAAACTGAAACATTTATCTTAACAGTATTTTGACAGCAGTAAAGGAGGTTCGACGCAGCATTGGGTACTGCCCCCAATTTGATGCATTTGATCCACTGATGACTGCTAGGGAAGTGCTCTGTTTCTTTGCCAGGATTAAGGGTATCCCATCCTCTGATATCAAAGATGTAAGTAAGATACTCTGTGGTACACTTACTCGGCAGCTACCCTGAAAATAATTTTATATACCATAAACAACCCTACATGTTTGTCTTGTTTGAAAATCAATATTTTATCTCCGTAATATAACAAAGAAACTGAAAACATGATCTTTAATTACTGTTTTGGGGAAAAAAAATTAAAGCTGAAGATATCCTTGATTTAAAGTTTTTTTAATACACAATGCTTTAGACTGATCATCACAACTCTTGATTTGTAAAATGTTACAGGTGGTAGACTGGGCCATTACAAAGTTAGGACTGACACAGTATGCTGACAAACCTGCCGGAACTTACTCAGGAGGAAATCGTCGCAAACTCTCCACAGCCATAGCTCTTATAGGCAATCCTTCTGTGATATTTCTGGTAAGTGTGCCCAATATACATCCTTGTCTTATTAAACAAAACATCTTAACTGATGGTAGGATTTATTGGGTTGAAAAAATTTTAGAATTGAAATCAACAGAATTCAGACCTCATGATTAGGCATCTGAAATTTGGAAGATCTGTGATACTCAGGTTAATTTGCTATGTTGTTGCTTGTCTTCGACAGGATGAACCAACAGCTGGCATGGACCCAGTAGCCCGACGATTTCTGTGGAATTGTATCAACAATATTGTCAAAGATGGTCGCTCTGTCATCCTTACTTCACACAGGTAAACAGATTTTGTTTTCAACATGTTATAAAAGTTTTAAAACAAAATAAAGGTATTATTTGGGTATCCATTACTTTTTTCATTAGTATGACATTATTAATAGGGATGATGATGAAAGACATTTGAATCTCTCTTATTTTATTGTTGTAATTACATTATGGATGAGTGAGGACATTGGGGGACATTTGAAACTCTCTTAAACTGTCATATTTACATTACTGATGAGAGTAGTCCCAATTATTCTGTTTTTCTATCAATTTTTATGCAAATGTCTGGAGTTGATTCCAGACCGATGAAAAAAAAGGTTTATATAACATCAGAATGATTGAGACTATGATAGGAGATACTGGTAATAAGGGTAACATTTGAGCCTGTCTTACTTTATTGTTATATTTACAGTATGGAGGAATGTGAAGCACTGTGTAACAGACTGGCCATAATGGTGAATGGACGATTCAGGGGAATTGGTAGTATACAGCATCTTAAAACCAGGTACGGAGGAAGCGGTATTTACAAATTTTTTTATGCAATGAATTAGTGGATCAGAAAAAATTACCTTGAGTATTTGTCAAATCAAGTATAATGTTTATATAATACATTTCATTTTTGTTTTCGTGAATTGTGCTTTGGTGTACTTCTTTGAAAGAAATTTTCTTTTAAAGAGAACCCTTTAAGTGACAATATTTAGACTTTCACCCGAGCCGTTTCATCAGTTACATGTTATATATACTAGTAGCGAGTTCATAGTATTATCTTTTATGATTTAGTATTGCTTTAACTAAGTCTTATTCAAATTATTAATGTAATTGGCCTGTTAGCTTATAAGACATAAACACACATGGACAACTTCCTCGGCCAGGCAATACAGTACAATCACAGTGGACATTGGAATTTACAGCTATATTTTTGTAATTAGGTTTGGAGATGGATATATTGTGATAGTACGGATAGCAGGAGACCATCCTGACCTGGACATTGTGGACGCCTTTATCCAGGAAACTTTTCCGTCCGCCTACCTTCGGGAGAGGCATCACAACATGCTTCAGTACCAACTAGGATCTGACGTGCCGTTGTCTCACATCTTCTCGGAAATAGAGGCTGTCAGGGAGGGTTTCAATATAGAGGACTACTCAGTCTCCCAGACCACACTGGACCAGGTAAGTCTCTTAAACACATTAAAGTGGTCACTGATCTCATAATGCTGGAGATGTGTAGTAATACTCATCTTATTTACACTCCAACCTATACTTTAGAATTGGCATAAAGCTTTCTTTATCTGATTATCTTCTGCCTACCTTTCCATCCCAAACTTCATTGAGATATTTATTATGACCCGGCAGTGTGCCATAACACATATTTGGGTCTGGTCCCTGAAGGTTAAGGTCACACTTCATTCACTAGATCACAATGCACCTTGCATTATCCTGTTTTCTTCGTTCTGGAGAAAAACCCAGACAAGCAACATTTCAAATCATTGAAAAATATATAACTTAGTTGTACCTGAGTAGTGCTCATTAGGTTAAGATTTTGTTTGCTTGTCATCTTCTTATTCCGTTTGATAATTTGGTTTTCTAACATTGTTTTGGAGGGAATTTTTTACAAAAACAAAATATTAAAGACCAGTTAGTAGTTGATTGGTAATTGATGTGCTCTGTTATACATTAATTTGTTACACATGTTATATTGGCTATATAAATATTCTGTTTGTAGGTTTTCATAAACTTTGCTAAAATGCAGACTGATTCTTTGGACAATGACACAACTACTGTAGAATCGGAGAACACTACAGGTATTGTGTAAAATTTATTTTGACATCTTCATTGTAGTCATTTAAATGTTTGCTGACTTTTACAAGATTCTTTCTGATGTAATTTGATTTGAACTTTGAACTATTTACCATGATATACTGTTTGAATTATCCATCGTTTCCTCTTTTCATTACTATCCTGAACACTTTAATGTATATATCTTATGTACAGGAATTGCTTGAATGAGTCTGTAATGACCATTTGTTTGTCTGGGGTGGCAAAGTTTTCAACTATTGAACTTTTTACAAACTGTTAAAAGTGGGACAGCAGAATGTGATTGGGTCTTGTACCATATTAAATTCATTGCCATTCCAACATAGAATACATTAGCTGAATATTTTGTTGACAGATGGACAACTGCAGGACAATGCAAGTCTTGGAACAAGTATGACAACTGTGAACACAGAGCGAAGGACAAGTACATCCACACTAGGTGGTGCTGGTAGTACTGAGAGGGTGGGCGATGGTTACTCCACCATAGGAGCTGTACCACCAAGGGAGAGAACCAATAGTGAGGGCTACTCCACTATAAGGGAGATCAGTCCAGTTAAGTATGCAGCACCTGCTCCGCGTCTCAAACGTAAACCAAGGGTCCTGGAATCTCACAATGATAGCAATGGGCAAGTTGGATTTCATATATAGATTGTGTATTACCACAAGAATCTCAACAGGAAACATGTTGTGTGTTAAAGGCTAAGAACTACAGTGAGACACAACAAGTCTCTTCTACATGTGAACAATGAATGACCAGAAAATGTTCAGTGACAGCCTGATGGGTTACAGGGTTAGAAATCATTACCATTTATACAGGATTAGAACAGATCACCTTGTATACAGGATTATATCAGTTCACCTAGTGTACAGGATTAGAACAGATCACCTTGTATACAGGATTAGAACAGATCACCTTGCATAAGAATGGATTTCCTTGTGTAAAGGAAAATAATGAATTGCTTCTAGTACTCGATGAGTGTGAAGTCTGTGAAAAAATATATTGCTTTGAAAAGGTGATAGAAGTGGATGCTGAAATACAGAATGAAAATTGATTCTTTTGAAACTTAGAGATAAAAGAGATGAAAAGGACAGTATGGAGTGGTTTGTTGTCTTCGGTAAGATTACCTGTGTCCATAAGATTGGAGGTTTCCAGGTGTATAAGAATATATTACCTGGAGGTATAGGATAAAAATGGATTATTTTGAGAAGTAGATAACAACAGATGAACTGGTGAACAGGATGTAGTATTAAGAGTGCTGTTGAGAAAACAAATGGAGAACATTGTGGTTCACATGATTAACTAATTACTCAGCAATGTACAGGAAGGAATGGTGTACTGTGTAAACAGGATCATATTGGATCAAGAACTTTAGTGTTTTTTCTGGATTAGAATGAATAAGTTAGCAATGTGACTTTCTTAAGACTGGATTAGCTTGTGATGTAAATTTACAAGAATGGACAACCTTGTGATGAATTTTGTAGAACTGGATTGCCGTTAAGTTTAAATTTACAAGAATGAATAACCTTATGGTGGTTTTTGAAGACTAGATTGCCGTTAAGTTTAAATTCACAAGAATGGATAACCTTGTGGAGATTTTTGAAGACTGGATTGCCGTTCAGTTTAAATTCACAAGAATGGATAACCTTATGGTGATTTTTGAAGACTAGATTGCCGTTCAGTTTAAATTCACAAGAATGGATAACCTTATGGTGATTTTTGAAGACTGGATTGCCGTTAAGTTTAAATTCACAAGAATGGATAACCTTATGGTGATTTTTGAAGACTGGATTGCCGTTAAGTTTAAATTCACAAGAATGGATAACCTTATGGTGATTTTTGAAGACTGGATTGCCGTTAAGTTTAAATTCACAAGAATGGATAACCTTATGGTGATTTTTGAAGACTGGATTGCCGTTAAGTTTAAATTCACAAGAATGGATAACCTTATGGTGATTTTTGTAAAGCTTGATAAACATGTAATGTATGAAATGGATTAATGATTTATTTACCACTGATTTGGACTAAGAGGATTGAACATGTCATCGCATGTGGATCCTGATGACACAGGATACAGGACAGTGTTAAGTTTCTGTTTGTGATATTGTTTAAAAATACTCCTACATATACTGTTGAATCCATTGACTATTAAATTATATGGAAACATATACATGTACTTTTAAAAATGATCAAAATTCTCCAAATTGTGATATAGACACTAATTATTATGAATGTTTTATCTGTTCCTGGTGTCCAGTAATTTTCAGGTATGTACATGGTCACTTACACTGGAGACCAGTTTCATTTGTTAAGAATTATTAACATTATTACTATATGTGCTAGTAAAAAAGACAGTTTTTTATATTAATAATAATGATGGTCAGTTTCATAATACATGTACTGTGAAATCAATAGTTACTGTGAAATGGTTAATTTTTGTGGGGAGTTTGGTTTTGGTCATTTCGTAGGTAGTCTAAATCAGTGAATTCATGTCCATGAACTGTTAAAATTAGATTGAGATATATTTATCCCTTAAAAACAAGTGTTCATGAAATAGTTACTTCTCCAAGAACCACAAAAATTGAGCCCTATGAAAATATGATATTATACATGTGAATTAATTACAGTGATGGACTGTTTATGTAAATATTAGTAACAGAGACTGTTTTGTATGTAATACAGATGTTATTGTATGCTTGTATGTTTTGTATGTAAATTCAATGTAGTGCTTGTTCATGAAACATGAACCATATTTTGTAATAAACATTTAAAAAGTAAACTTTTGTTACTTACAATCTAGTTAGATTCTGTATTCTTTGGGGAGCGTATAGTTACTGATTTGTCCGTCCGTCCGTCCTTTCTGCCAACTGTTGATCAAACTAAGACGATGTACAGTGCATCAAATCCAGGGAACTTGGTTATATATTGGTCATATTTAAGACAAGATGCATTGTACCAAGCCATGATGACCAACAAGTTATTTCATTGACAACAAAGGAAAATCTTTCTTTTTTTCTGGGTAAAACATTTATTTCAACGTAAAACTATAATGCAACAAAGACATGTCATAAAATGTATAAATACAGTAACTAAAACTCCCATTCCATAGTAGATAAAGTCCTGCTCGCTAACACACTGCTTCAGCTTTCCCAGGTGTGGATACAATATCTTACAGTGTGTTGCAATACAGTCATGTAAAGGCAAAATTTTCCCGAAGTTTAATCAAGAAGAATGAGTTCACCTTCAGAGCATACAGTGTCAGTCACATGTATTTTGTAAAGGTATGTGTATGAGGTTTTTGAGTGTAGAAATATGGAGATGGAAAGAGAAGTAATGGCAAACAGAAATTTGTGATGAAATGACCATGGCTCCTTGGTAGTCATTATGTTTGGAAAACACCTCATGATGTATAAGGAATTCATGTTTTCATAAAAAATGTGGCTTACAAATCTCAATAGTCATTGCATCTCATTTATTTAATCAGTCTGTTTCATTCTGTATACAATGATATTGTAAGTCTCAGTAGATTCAAAATAGGATGAGACATTCCCTAACCATACATACATATACAACACAGTTATAGAAGGAATTGCACATCCCAACATAGTCGTTGTCAATAGTTACTACACTGATGTCATTACAATCAATGACCTTGTCAGTAATACTTTTTACAGTCAAATGAGCATTCAGCTGTCATCAAGATCTAGAAGACACACAGCTTCAAACTATAATCTAAACAAAGCTGAAAACTGACTTATAATTTACAGATTTATTTTCTTCAGTTTGAGTTACACATTATTCCTTTTCATCCAGATCTTGTCAACAATAAAAACTTTAATTTAATTTAAAATTTAATTTGTATTCTTCACTGATCATGAGAACATAAATTTCCCAGCATGTATTCTCCAGAGAGCTTCCAGTTTCTGTCATTATTCACAACTTGTATTCTCCATTGAAAGTGACAAGTTTGTGCAATTTTTCACAGCTTGTATTCTCCACTGAGAGTGTCCAGTTTCTGTCATTATTCCCAGCTTGTATTCTCCATTGAAAGCGTCCAGTTTGTGCAATTTTTCACAGCTTGTATTCTCCACTGAGAGTGTCCAGTTTCTGTCATTATTCCCAGCTTGTATTCTCCATTGAAAGCGTCCAGTTTGTGCAATTATTCACAGCTTGTATTCTCCACTGAGAGCGTCCAGTTTCTGCAGAAGAATCTGTGCTCCTTTGAAGGTCATTTTCTTTAGTGCCTTTCTGATACCGGTCAGTTGTGTGATCACTCTGTCTGTAATGTCTGGGTGGTCAAGTTCCAACAGACTAAAGAGAGAAAAAAATTATCAGACTTAATATTAAAATCAAATACTGGATGGAACAACACTCTAACTGAATTGATAATGACAGATATGGGCAAACATATTCCTGTCTGGCCACATGAAGAGTATCTTTCAGTTGAGCAAGCTTTGATGAAGGAATTGAATTAAACTTGTTGTCAAAAAAACCCCAAAAAAACAAAATATAGAAATTAAAGGAATAATTTGTGCTACAAATAGATGTCAATGCACTTGTATTTTATCCACAACTTATTCTGCAATTACAATAGATCAAAATGATATGTCACAATATTCAGATTAACACCACACAACTAAAACATGTGAAGGATCAAGATTTGACAGCCAATAGGATGAGGAAAGGTCAGATCATTTACAAGGAATTCAAATTAAAATACAGATATAAAGTTTCAAATTTTGAACAATCCTGCATCCAAATATCATTTGCATCCTATCAAAATTTACAACTCGATGTCAATAAGGAGTGATCTTCAAAGAGTAAAGCCCAATGATAAACTAACTTAATACAATACTTACAATATGAGCATGAAGCATCCCCTGTTACACGCAGCCCAGGACTTGAGAGAACCTTCTGCCAGGGTATCCAGGAGCACTTGGGAGAATAGCACTGTAAAGCAGACCACATTTCGTATGTCATTTTCTTCTGTCTTCTACTCTGGAGATAATGTCTTGTGAATAGATATCAGTATCTAATATCTTCATTTGTTACAAACATATTTTCTTCTCGACTCACAAAATATCAGATCTTGTTGGGATTCTACCTTTGATGCTTTTAACATCATCAAGGTTAAAAGATTCTACACAAAGTGCCACTGGCAACCTTAGTCAAAACTCAACCTGTGGATATGAAAAGTTTTAATCCTCTGTTTCCTATATAACTCTTAATTATGAATCCAGTAAACATTACCTTTCTTTTCACAAAGCAACTGGGATAAAACTAATTCCATTACGATTTCTAAAGATCTGTGTGCCATGTCTTTACCATCCATTACAATCACTCATAATGAGTATAAGTAGTCATACTTTTTCATCAACATAACACTACACCTTATTTTTCTCTTGCATCAAAAGGACTGCTAATCCCTTGTTACTACCAAGACCATTCACAGCTCATGTGTATGACTGAAAGCCTCACAACTGTAAATTCACTCTAAATCTTTTGGAAAGATTTTTGTTAGTAGACTAGCTGTTAATCTGTAACCATAAGGTGATACTTGTAACCTCACAAATTATATGTGACCTCACAAGTAATCTGTGACCTCAAGGTGGTGCTAGTGAGCCTTTGGTTAATTTGTGACCTCGAGGCCAGAATTGTGACCTGGTTTTCAATCTGTGACCACAAGGTAAGACTGTAACCTTGAGGTAAGTCTTGCGATCAATCTGTAACCTCAAGGTGAGACTGTGACCTTGTGGTAAAAGGTGACCCTTAGGTAAGTCTTGTGGTAATCTGTGACCTTGAGGTAAGTCTTGCAGTCAATCTATAACCTCAAGGTGAGACTGTGACCTTTGAGTTAATCTGTAACCTTGTGGTAAGTTTTAATTGACTTGTGAGCAAGTCCTGTGAACAAAAGGGCAGACATACTATCATACAGAAAAGAAGTCTTATGTCCCAATCAAAATCATATGACTTAAGCTGGCGTTCAAGACTCATTACCATACTGTCTGTCATCATTTTGGTTCTGTGACCTCACAGATAAGTAGTTGGGACCTGAATCATAGAGCCACAGTGCTGACAACAGCTACAGGAGGTACAAAACTGACCTGTGTGCCCTGCCTGAATACGGTCACGATCATTCTGTATTAGCCTTTTTAGTGTCATGTGACCTGCGGAATGCTCCACTATGTGCATGTTGTCCAAACTTCCAGCTACAAATGGTTCAGCTGCTATCTTGGCCATAGCCTTCATGGCTGCTGAGGGATCACCTGAAAAGAAAGATAATAAAATCTGATATTGTTAAACTTCACAGCAAGTTAAAGGATTCAATGTGTAATTCATTTTAATTTTTCACAACTGCACCACAGGACTTTGTAATCATATTATTTTCTGAAACAAAACTTTAATTCCAGCTTGTTATAAAACATTTTCAATAAAAAATATATATCTAAAAAAGTATAAGCTTTTGATAGTATTTTCACATTCAAACATTTCCATTTAAGCCTGAAATTAAATGATGTGAAAAAATGTTTAATTCACACTGGATTGAATAAACCCTTAACTGTTAAACAGCTGAAATAAAAGAAATGATATGCCTGTATTTCTAATCTGTGTTACTGAAGCGCATTAGGTGCTACTTACCGATAGCATGGGTGAGAATGGCCAAGAGGAGAAGCATTGAGGCATTGTCCAGGACCATATCACGTGTGTTGTCCACAATGTACTGGAGCAGTTCAGACGACACAAACTCTAATAACTCCTTGTGTCGTAATGACTTGTCCTTCTTGCTGTAACAGAGCAGAAAAATACATTACTACCGAGAAATATCAGCTGATTTACAAATTTTTCAATCTACATATACATACATACCTTTTGCTTAAAAAAAGAAAAAAAAAATCCACACAACCCAGAATCATGAAAAAGGCAGCTTCTTAAATTCTTTGTTATTTACACATCTTTAACATAATTATGAAATGTTCTATATAAGTCTATCAGGCTACCTACCTGTGTGGGTTCTTGTCTCCCTCCAGAAGTACACGTACAATGTCTGGGTGAAAGTGATGGGGGTCCCTAGGGCTGAGTAAGTAGAGTAATACCTTCCTGCCTTGTTGGTCTGTGGCCACTTCATTTAAAGATTTCAACATTTCCTGTTGGATGACAAGGAAGTTACACAATATATAAACATCCTGTTTGATTACAATTTAATACAAAGTATATATAATCAATGTATTACTATAACAGTTCACACAGAACCCTATCAGCTATTCCATACATATTGGCGGTATGGTATCACCATCTTTTTCATTTTTGTGTTTGATTTATCAAATTATGTAAAAAGTTTGATTTTTGTACACATGAAGAAAATTTTCTTTACCTCAAGGATTGCTTTCTGTACAATCTTGGTGTCATCTACCACATCAAACATGGCTAATAGTACCATGTGACTGTGCTCCTCCTTACAAATCTTTACCACGTGTGTCTTAAATGTCTTGATTATCACCTTTCTGTCCTGTAATATACAAAGTTAATCATGTGACAGTATTATTTACATGTAGATTAATATCAGGAGAAAACAGAGCAATTTCCACAATGCAAAGAATTAAGTATTTAACCTCACAATTAATCAGATGTAATCTTTCACAAACAATTTTGATTTTAATTTTCAGGAAAATTCTTCTTCAGAAAAATGCAAAGATAAATCAAGTATACAATTGTCATGTGAAACTGCTACACCATCATACACCCAGGGAAAGCTCCAAGAAACCACTTTAGTTTTGATGATCAATTATTATCTATCATGATGCACTATGGCTTCCTGAATATACATGTTTAACAGCAGCTGCATTAAGACAGAGTTGAGTTTGTATCAATGAACTTCAATGCATATTAGGGATGTCAACAAATATTTCAATATTTGTTCAGTAGGGTGGGAAGTGATATTCAAATATTTGTTTGCACAATTTTTAGATATTAAACATCTGTACAATTCATCATCACACTAATTAGCCTATGGTTAGAGGGCTTGAAGTCACCCTTATCCAGGCCAATTTCGCATTGTGCTTGCATTCTTAAAACAGAGTTAATAAGCTAGACAAATAGGCCTTGAAATTGAAAAGCATGGAGTCACTGTAGATACTGTTCTGTTCCATACTGATAAATGATTTACCGGTAGAGTAGTGTGTAATGACTGCAATCTTAAAGTTGCGTACCATTTGGAATTGACATGAATGCAAATATTTGAATACTGAATCAGACAAATATCTTAACAGGATTTCTATTGAGTTGACATTCTATCATATAAATGTGTAATTTTAATATTTCTGTGGTAGTAAAAGATGTGTACCTACCTTTGCTGTACCATACCAGAGACAGTACATAGCCACCCTGGACCCATCTCGTGTGTGCATCATGTGGATCACACAGTCTCTCAGAGATTCCACCATGTCCTGTAACAAACCATGTTATATATATAAACAGTGATCGGAGAACTCTGATTTTATCTTTTATATTGTCAAACAAGTACATATCTCACTCACCTATCTATACAAAATAATACCAGTATATATCTGCCCAGGTATCTACTAGACAAATTTTTTTCTTTAACTCTCCTATAATTTACTCACTGAATTTACTGAAATCTTTATTTTCTAATCCTATAAAAATTTATAAATGCCTTTGATTATACAAAAATTGCAACGAATTTTTCAAATCCGATATATTTTTAAAAACACCTCCACCCATAAAACACTACTTTGAGATAGCTAATATTAGTATCATTATTTCTATGCATGTCATTACCATCAAATATGACAAATCATATATGTCATTTTTCAATCAATTAACATATCACTATTATACTTTTCCACATCACTTAGCATATCATTGATGACAGATGTATAAGTACAATAACAAACTCTATAATAGTTGCAATCTTATCCAGGTATACAAGTTTCTGTGTGTGGAGTGTGTATGCTTATGTGTTGTTAACTATACTTGTAAAAAAGGCTTAAAAATAAAAAATTACAAAAAAAAAAAAAATTCTATAATAGGTCACTTACAGTCCTCATCTTGTCTGATGCGTAGACAAAGAACTCAAAGAACACCCTATGGACCATTGTGTGTTTCAGCACTTCCCTATTAAAACAAAAACAATTAAATACATTAAAATAATTCATGATGTTGAATACAATGAAGAATTAGTCTGCAAATCATTAAAATATCCCAGAATCATTTAATGATAACAACAGGTTACTATAACTACCCTGTAAGGAATCCAAGGACATTTCTTCAGACATTCGGAGTTAAGGGTGGGCTTATTACAAGACAATTAAATAGCATTTACAGTTAATTCTATGGAACAACACACAGATATGGGTAAGTATATTATCAAACATAGTCTTACTGAAACACAAATAGGTGAAATACAGAACACAATACAAAGAACTAGAAGAAGCTTACTTGTTTAAGAGATGGAGAAGGGCCTCAATTAAACTGTTCTGATACATTTTTATGTATACAGTATATAGGCCTCATAGAGAGTGACTTACTTGTCTATGAGAGGAAGAAGGGCCTCTTTCATATTACTTAGAATCATGTCTCTCTTGTCTGGCTGTACTAGTAACATCTGGTCCAGGGACTTTACGTCTGGGGTCTAAAAGCAAAAATATTGGATGATGGCTTCAACATGTCAAAAATTGAATCAAAATGTAAATAAATGATACATCAAACAAGTGAATTAATTTACAGTGAATCAGCAACACAAACTGTGTTATATCAAAAAATAATTTCTATAACATGATCTAATTTTGTAATGGACAAAATGATATAACAAAATAGAATATCATAAAATGAAAAAATAGATTTACTAAAATTCATGTAATGTGTACATCTATGTTAACCGAATTCTTACCTTGAAAAGCATAAAACTTGGACCATAAAACTCTTCTAGTAATGATAATCTCTGTGATGCGATGGCATATTCATTGTAGGCAAACTCCACGACATCAGATGCTTCCTGGAGAGTATAAAACACTGATATATACAACTTGGTATCGCGAAGAAACAGAAACATTTAACACAGACGCCAATATATTCAAGAGTATTCGTTATCAGTGGCCATTTAAATTTTGAAAACGTGCCAAAAACAAATGTTTAAATGAGAGATCATCAATAAATTAGAATGTTCGATGTCGATAAAAATTAATCTGTGTCTATTTTCCATATTTTGAGGATATATATAGATGGATCTTTGATAACGGTATAATGTTTATGTCATACAGGTGAGACTATTCAGTGACATTTTTGGGTAGATGATACCAAATGTCGTTACCTCCTGAAAATTTGATACGGCACTCTCGTAATTTACAAATGTACTTACTTTGTGACGAACCAGTTTCCTAACACTGCCTTTGAAACCTTTTATGACTGCGTTTCGATGTACTTTTGTCCTGGAAAATAATAAGTATTCCGTTATGTAACATGAATTAAAGTACAAGAAAGAGCTGATATTAAAATTGAAATATAAATATGTCATATTCCTAATTTCTATACTAAATATGAGAATCATACTTTGTAACCATCCAATAAGAAGTTAAAATATTTTCTCCATCGAAGCTTATTTTTCCTACAGTTCAACATCCTACAGTTCAACATCCTTACAGTTCAACATCCTACAGTTCAACATCCTACAGTTCAACATCCTACAGTTCAACAGCAGTGGATATGTTGCTTGCACAGTAAGATATCACTTTTCTTTCACAGGCAACACAAACAGTAAGATTAAAATCTAAAATACTACCTATAAGTATATATACAATTGTCCTATGTTTTCAAGAGACAAAAGTGAAAAAAACAAACATTTATGGCACTTAATTTGATCATAAAACATGTGTTTGCATTTCATTTACTTACCCATACACTAAAAACTTCTTCACAATAAATTTGGCGTACTTGGACTTTGCCATCATGCACATCTGATCTGTAAAACAGAATGTTTACATAATTGTACATTTTTATATATTCATGACATTATGTAGTTCAAACAGGAGAGGTCAACATCTTGATGTTTTTGTAATGGATTAGTCCTCATCCATCTTATTTATTTCTGACATGACACCTAATTTATGTTAGGAATTTACCCACTTTAGTGTATCTATCAACAGAATTGTTGCTGATGTTGGTACTGACTTGTTTTCATTACTTTCATATACACATTTTATTCATAAAAAAATTGTTCAAGATTTTCATTTGAAATGACACAACATCATTGAAAATGAGGAGACTCTGTGCCAGTCTCTATTTGCTGAAAATGCAATAGCAGTAATTTGGAAATTGCTACATACAGACCAAAAATATTCATCAAAAAGATTGAAAGACTCCATAACCAGGAATTCCATAGAAGTGGAACCTACAGTCATCAGTGGAATTATAAAAACAAAAATGGATCTTAATAAATCCTTATATATTAACATTTCACCTTTTGACTGGAGAACAAGTATCCTGTGAGTAAGCACTGTCCGAGACTAATCTGTATATGGCACATAAACAATGTGCTGAAACTAATTTTCTAGCTAGAGTAAGTGATATTGGTTTCCACAAATCATATACACACGAAAGCAAGAGTTTCAATAGAGAAGCATTGCATGATGTTTAAATATCATCGGTCAACAGCAGCTCATTAATTCAGACAATGTTGCCATGACAACTTGCAGACAAAAGAAGCTTTTGTATTGCCTTACAATCAACCATTACATGCACCTACCTTTCAGTTCACTGAAGACTTCTTCCCTTTTATCTGGTGTACCATACTGGACTAAACACTGCAGCACTCGTGCTGTGTCGTGGGCAAAGGCAAGCTGTCACAAAGAATTGTTATTGTTTAACATTGTAAATGACAAATTCATACACGACAGATTTTGAAATATATTGTGCCACAAAAATTTTAATAAAAAGATTACTTTTTTATTTACACTGCATATAACTGTAAAAAGTACAACTTAAAAATGTATGTGTATCCATCCCATCTGATATAATAACTTAGATTGGTTTGTACTTTATAGATGATCATGTCACTCAATTTTACAATGGAAAGAAGATAATCATATGAATCTAAATGAATGAAGCAAAGATTTTGTTGTATTTCTTTCGGCTTAAAATAAAAAGAAGAGAAATAAAACTTTTAACTTTGTTTTAGTCATTAGTTGATTTATTAACACTAAACTCACCTCCTTCATGTTGCCCTTGACCATGGTCATTAGTTCTGAGCATAACTCTGACCTCCTCTTCTCTTTCACATCATGTCTTCATTAAAAAAGAAAACCCAATCATTAACGAATCATGCTTCATTATGGAAATTCAAAAGATGTAAAAAAAGAGGTTGAAGTCAAGGTGGTTACATTAAATCAATCGAAGCCAACATTGAGATGTAGATATATTGGCAATCTAATTAAGTTTCAATCTGTCCTTTATTTCCACTTGAAATATTTTAGTAGCACTAGTAGCAGTAATGTAACCAGATACTAATTCTGATAATCTATAGACTTGTTTTTCTGACACAACACGGTAAGATTATCATCAGATCAAATATTGGTGTTGATATAGGAATCTAACCTTCTCAATTCATCCCAGATTTGTTTGGACCGCTGTATCATGCTGAAGTTATTCTTCAACATTTTCCTCACTTTCCTCCTGTCCTTGAAAGGAAGCTCCTTCAGTTTGGTTTTCTTGGATTCTGTTAATAAGCAGTGAGGAAAAGTCAATGCCTGTCTAAACTTTAAAACATTCAATCAATTCCTGAACATTTTAATCAAATAATTTGTCTTAAAGCCATATCGTAAAACACAAAGCTGAATATTTTCATAAAATCTATTTTTTACAATTTTTTCAACTTTACTAGACATGTACCATGATGTTGTTTAGAACAAACTTTTTGAAAGCTATTCAGCTGAAGCACCATTTACACATACCATCTGTTTCTACTGCCTGCGACTCTTCCAGTCTCCTCTTCCCAGCATTAAGCCCCGTCCGACTGTCATTCAGGTTTTTCTTTGCCTTCAGTCCTTTCAGTTTGCCCGCTGCATTGTTTGCAACTTTGGAAATCTTCACCTATGGAAAAAATTACATCTCGAGTGAAATATTTCTGAGTGAAAGGAATTTTCATGTCAATTAGTGTGATAATGTACAAAACAATACTAATTATTATTTATTAACTTGTACCAATAGATTTACTTACTCGTATGGATTTCCTGCGTTCCATTGGCTGTGGGGCAGCTGGAGGTGGCATCAGATTACCCGAGTCTCCCTCACTGCGGTTGGAACTTGTGTCTGTTACACCCTCAGCGGACTCTCTCACCTCCTCTATTGTGGGGTACCTTTGTACGCCTTTGCTGGCCATCCTATGGAAAGATTTTTCTGCTCCGTCAGGCTGTCCACGTGCACGCTGTACAGCTCTTTCCATTGTCACATCAGCTCGTCCTATTGGCTTTTGCATGCGTGAGAATGTTGTCTGCATGGACATATCTGACACTGGGTTGATGGCACTAATCATACTAAGTGAATCGGGTGTATCTGTCTGGTCCAGTGTAGACAGATCTGTGTCACTGTACATTGTGTCTTTCTTAGAGTGATATTTCTGTGTGGCTTTTGCTAGTTGTTTCTGGTTTCTAAACACCTTTCGTTTCTTTGGAGGACTAGACATTGTCCCAAATGAAGAATTCAGAGAGTCATTGTCACTGTTAGGGGGTGCTGTTAGCTTAGGTTGGTCCTCCTGTAAAATGCTATTTCCCTCTGGATTGCCACGAGTTGAATAATTGTATGTAGTCATCTTTCTTCGTTTAGTTTTCGGAGCATGTGCCTCTTCAAATGAAGAATCTTCAATTCCAAGGCGCATCTGCAAGTAGAATGTATAACTTCAAATTGTGCTGATTCTAATTCATAACTCAAACATACACTATAGATCATCTCGATCGTAAGAAATACATAACCAATGGTATTAAATTTACCACTTAAACATTCAAAAAGGTCTTTGTACACATTAAAACTGATTTACATTACACATATACTAAATAAATATAATAATCACAACACATTTTCAATAGACATTCTAAAATTTAAAAACTTAAAAAATCTAATATTGATTGGCCTAGGATTAATTTCTTCCTTTTTCACTTAAATGATCACATAACATTCATTCATACAAGACATTTACAACAAAATTATTTCAGACATATCCTAACATTACAATAATAAAATTTCAATACTATAGTTTAATTTCTTAATATTTGTAAATCAGTTTAGAGCCTTATTTAGTTATCATCAAAACACAGTAGAATTTCTAAATAAATTTTCCAATCATTCACTTTAACAAGAATCATTAGGACATTTCTTACCCATCCAAAATACTTTGAGAAATTGTTTGATGTTGTCACTTTACTTAGACAAGATGAAATGAATATTTTGGTGAGATACTCCTTGGGTGTTTAAGTATAGCAAGTGACTGGACAACTGAATAGATTTCAGAATGTCATTTGTCAGGGCTGATGTTCTGACAAGCCAATAATTACATATACAACATAGAAGAAAACTCAACCAGTTCTATTGTGATAGTGTTAAACAATAAAATTGGCTACAACAACAGGCCCATCCTACCTGTGACACTTACCAGCCTCAGGGAGAGACATGATGTAATAAAAACATTACTAATTGGTCACGTATTGTTGTAGCAATCAATATAAATGTATCAGTACTCAAGTTCAATGAAGCATGACTGAATGCTTTCATGATTATGTCACTTGTGTGACAAGCAAAAAAATAATAATGGACAATGGTATTGGCCATGGAGAGTATAACATGATGGAAAACTATAGCTACCGGACATTGTTGTAATCATGTATGGTCAGCTAGCTGTAAGTGTTGAATGTATGCATACATCTATCTATCACAAAAAGAGCCATAATAACCGATATCAAAATGTAAGTTTACTGTTGTTGTATAAGATTTTCTAACTAAGAATATTTCAATATGCTTCTATATGTTTAACAAATATTTTTTTAATGTATTATAATTATCAGTTTAAAGATTCTCAGTTCAAGGGGCACTTTTTTAGCATCAATACTGCAAATACTGTTTGTTTCTGAAATTTCATAATTGAAATAGAGGTTACTTATAAACTTACAAACAAAACAGTACATGCCTCAATAATGATGGAAAACACACACACAATTATTCATAAAAACTAGAAAAAATGTTGGAATCTTTCATATTAAGACTGATCCATGACCTGACCACTAATCATATTTCATCACCTTAAGGAAAATTTTTCTCATGAGTTAATGAAATTTGAAATCACTTTGTTTCAAGTTTGGGCTGAATTAATTGGATAGCGAGTTTCTCCTTTCAAATTGAAAAAAACTTCGGAGCCAATGACACATTTCCTTTTCATTAGATAAAGCAGCTGTAGAGTACTATCTTGCAAATGGTGGATGCTATGAAAATCCCAGAAATTTAGTTTGAAGCACTATCTTCAACATTCAAGCTAGCTATTAAAAAACGTTGGGTTTCCCATAAAAGCCGGTTGCCAGCCAATTTGACCGGCTACTTAAATCATTTTGCCGCCTACACCAATGATATAGGAATGGAAATCAAGTCCTAGGGGAGGCTTTAATTCTTTGACGTTTGCTTTTGTGTTAGCTAACTGAGTGTTGAAGTAATTGAAATCCCTCTCCTCAGTTATTCAATGATGCCCCATTTACTTCTATGCAGTAGTTTGTAGTGATTGGCCTAACAAGAGCCATTTTGTTAGCATGTGATAAGTGAATGTTATTCTACTGGCGTTGCAAAATATATGTATACTTATATATCAAAGTGATATATCATGAAAATTGCATGGGTGTAAAGGAAAACAGCTCTGCTAATTTTGAAATGGTTATTTTGAAAAGATTAGTTATGTACTTTTAGTTAAGACCCAGCAAGGTTAGTTAAGAAGGTAACCTGAATTTATTTTGAAAAGAAATTGAGACAGCCCTATCTCTCATTTGTGTGCCCCTGTATAAAATGCTGGTGAGTGTATTGTTGCATTTTTCATATACAATGTAAATGTTAGATATTTTATTAGTTTCACATGTTCTTGTGGGCTCAATTTAGATAACACTTGAAACTGCGAAATCACACAATAGCCTTATAGAAACTCATTTTTATAGGACTATTGTGTGGTTTATTTTTTTTCTAATGAAACCGAGTCCACAATTACCGATCTATCAGTCTAGATCTAGTAGAAGTCTAAAACTTAATTTTGATTTTTGAAAATATGTAATTATACTGATGACTCTTCCAAAGAATATACATTATACAATAAAAGCTTTCTGTCCGAAACTTGCTAAGGTATACAGACAACGTAGACTATATATTGTTAGTTATCGCCTGATTGTACGCTTTTCTTTACTCGTGGAAACATTAACAAAGGACCGAATACTTTCGAACTCATTTAACATAGGTTAGATATGAGATTTTCTGTAAAGTTAACGATCATAGATTGTAAACATTGTCAGTCTTACATTTGTGACGTTCTTCAGCGTACAGCTTGTAATGTAGCCCTTTTCATTCACATGTGTTTTGAAATAGACTCGTGCGTTAACGTACCGTAAATGGGAAAGTGTGGTTTACGACATGTGTAAAGACAACTAAAGTTAATATTATTAAATCAATTTAGGTGTATGAAATAAATTTAGTTTTGCTTTTAGTAGTCAGAAATATTTCTAAATATTCGACTGGGAAAAGTTTATATATATTTTACGACTTCTCGACATTCAGCTAGCACCTGTCATTTCCGGTCCAGGTGTCAAGAATTAATCAACGCAAATTATAAATTAAGACGTTCCCTTTTAATCATTTATGTTAATGACAGTTCTCACCAATTAGTTGTTTGAAATTAATGAATGTTTTTGTTTACGCATGCGTGATAACATTTTTAATATCATTGCTTAGTATCGAGTTAACTATGATCTCAAAAGTGCTAAGAGCAATTATTATGGGACCACCAGGGTCTGGCAAAGGTACAATCTCGACTCGCATAATAAAGGATTTCAACATGAAACATCTATCCAGTGGAGACTTACTGAGGGCCCAGGTTATAAACCAAACTAGTAAGATCATTGAGCTAACTGTACAGAGTTCAACTACTTAAACAGTACAATACTTGTGTCTGAATGGTTCTGACAATCTGCGATTTATTTATTTTTTCCTTTTGTCTTTCAGCGACTTAGTTAGGGATACTTTTGCATGCTTTGCGGTGCGGGAAGCGCTAGCTCGCTGCTCATGGTACAGGGACAAAGCCTCGACCCCGGGGGAGGGATAGTATACAGTCCCCCTCTCAGACTACCATTTTATGTGCGGAAATAATCAAGCCCAAGTTAATATGTATTCATGCTGTTTGAAGTGAATTACAAGTTAAACCAGCGAGGAAGGAAGTATTGTAAACATCTAAACTTATGGTGAACGTTATAATAATTGACCATCAAAAAACCATGTGGATATTTGAGCATGCACGAAAGCTATGCAATTGTCTTTGAATTAGAAAGTGCTGTAGTGGTTTGATATCTACCATTAAAATATGCTGATAGATAGCTACCAAACCTTTCAAACTTATGTGGAATATTTATGTTGAGAATTCCATATGGTGTCTGGACAGCCATGTTAACTATTATGAAGCATATTTTGACATTTGCAATCAAGCATGATCTTCAAGCCACTTTCCTCTAGAACATGGGTTTAAGATTGACTGTCTGCTTTTGATGGTGTCCGCTGGGTTGATATTTTAAAGTAATATGTGATGCCCGTAGTATGCTACTTCATGAAAAACCATGGTGGAGTGTCATTTAGACTGAATATTGACCCCTCCCCCACCAATATGTAAAATTGTTACAAATGCATCTAGATAGGTCCAAATACACTTGTGACAAAATCTAAGGCACTGATTTTCTTGGTTTTGTTCCATTCTTGTGAAAAGTTAAGACTACTGGTTGATAGAATTTCTCTTTAACCTTGTGGTAAATTGTTTGGTTTGAGAACGAAAAGTTCCTACTTTGAGCCCAAGCATGTGATGATGTATTTTTTATTACTACCTTATATTGTGAGAAGCCATGGAAAAAAAATGTTTGATGTTTTGTTACTCATGGAGAGAAAAAGTTTCTGAATCAGGAGCACATATCTGCATGTAACACTGATTTATTCACAAGAAGTGACATTATATTTTATAGGTGCTGGTATGACTGCAAAACAGTTCATTGACAAAGGTCAACTTGTACCAGATGATGTGATGGTTAAATTGATTTTAAATGAATTGAACAAATTGGAAGAAGATAGCTGGATGTTGGATGGTAAGGAAAGCATCGAGATAGATATTTTGACATTTAAAAAGATAGGAGATGTAAGGATTTCAAAATGTTCATGTAATTCAGTTCATAACATGAAATTACACATTGGTTTTTGATACATTACAACTGAAGGACATCAGATAAACCTCAAAAGTTTTCATTTCCAGTGTTTCTAAAACAAGTCATAAGTGACTCTTTGGCTTGACTTTACAGCGAACCACCTATTGCTGTATTTCATGAAAAAGTATTAGATAAATGTACCAGCATTAGTTTAGGTAATATACCCTGATATCAGTGTGAGACAGATCTATGTCAGCACATCTGCTGCTTCTAGTAACAAAATGTAACATCACAACTGTGCATTCATAGATGATAGATATATTCTGTATCGCTGTCACACATTGAATACCCATACCCTGAACCCAATGACATGGAAGATCAGTTTATTTATTTGAGCCAGACTCATTTACCATCTTTGTGGCTAGGTTTTCCTCGGACAGTACCACAAGCTAAAGCCCTGTACAGAGAGAAGCCAGTGGATCTTGTACTGAATCTCAACGTTCCATTTGAAGTAATCATTGATAGAATCAAAGGTCGATGGACACATGCACCAAGTGGAAGAATCTACCACACAGAATTCAATCCTCCAAAAGTTGTGGTGAGTGTAATCATCAGCAGTCAGCTTTATATAAGTCATGGTGGTTGTGGTGGGTGTGATTATTTCTCATGTAGTCCGTGTGAGTGAGTTCAGTCATCCCAGGATCGTTGTGAATGATGAGTACAGTCCACTAAAACCAGTAGTGTTATGAATGTATACTAGACTGTTGATTGTAAATTCATTTTCTTTTGTATGAAAAAAAACCCCAGTCATCTGTGACTGTAACCTTCAAATTATAATGAAGAATAAAACTAAATTATAGACATTAATTTCTATCAATCATTGTATTATCTAGCATGGATGCTTTCTTTGAATACTTTGATAATTTACTTAATCTATGATTGTATGAGAGAACAATACATTTTGATACCTGTATGCAGAATTAAGGCAATACAAACTGATTATATTGGTATGTATTGTGAAATTAGAATAAGGTGTTGGTAAACCTGCATTTCTCCAATGGTTAACTCCAAGAGACAGAGGATTGAATGTTGTGTTGAGTTTGTATATACCTGTAATGATTATTAAGTCACTTTTGAGGCTGTTTGTAGACTCCTGGGAGATGAATGAACTGAATTCTATATTTCAGGGAAAAGATGATGTTACAGGTGAGACATTGATACAGCGAGATGATGACAAAGAGGAAACTGTGCGGAAAAGGCTGCAGATATATCAAAATCAAACTGAGCCAGTTCTCAAATTTTATAGGTATGTAGGTGTGGTGGACAAGTCTTCCTTCTATCATTCAGATATTACTCAATATTAATTGCTTGTACTTCTTCACATGAATTTTTCTGTGTTAAGTATATTATGAAGGATAGCAAAATCTGAAGTGAACATTTCTTGGTAATGCTGTTCATTTACCTCCTACTTTACTACATCATCTTTCACAATGTCTTCTCTTCTTACCATTTCTTTATTAAACCTCCTTCAGCATCATCAATGGTTCTATAATACATCACAAGACATACATATTTACATGTTTACAGCTGAATTTTTGTGTTGTTTGCTCAAAAATATGATTGGTAACAAAGTAAATTTTTATGTATACTCCACTAAGTATGAATTAATATTATACATAATGGTGTTTTACTATATTTATATGACTAGAAATTGTTTTGTGAGGGGTTATCATATATAAGGGAAATTCAGAGACAGAACGGCTGATGAAGTAAATGCAGGCAGTGTATTATTTGGTCGTTAAAAATTTTTGAAAATCAGGGTACGGAGCTACCAAATTGCCAAGCAGAGATTAAATGAAATAATCTACTGGTATCCCAGTATCAGTTTGTTGAAAATTGGTCATTCATTTTATTTATATTTGTATGGCTGTTCACCTGTTTCAAATTTTCTGAAAGTAAGAGAATGAAGACATTCCTTCAGTTTTGGAATGAAGTATAGCAATATACAGAATGGAAAAATGAAACGTTCTTACAAACAAAATACTGATGTTGTCACTAACAATTCCTATTTTTCATGTCTTGATGTTCAGGTTATGTCATCGTCCAATCTTTTAAAAATTCCATAAATTCTGCTAAAGAGATAACATAATGGCACTGTGAAATAGCATAGCTTTAAACACTTTTGTGAATTTGTGTTTCTTGGGTTTGGATTACATACAAAAAAAAAGGGGGAAATGTTAACTCGATGAGTCAGGCCTTGTTGAAAATCTGAGAGTTATTTCAGGAAATGCTTTGTTTCAGCTGTACAAAAGTCATTAGTTTGCTGTTGTCACAACCTGTCACACTGACCTATTTTTTTGTCTCTTTGTAGGAAACATGGTATCCTAACAGAATTCACAGGGAAATATTCCAATGAAATCTGGCCAAAGGTGTACGAGTTCTTGTCTACCAAAAGTGAACCGATACAGTACACACAATATAGCTAATAGATCATTTGACGACAATTTGCGATAATCAAAGGTTGATGTGTTTGTTATGATTATACCTGTATGTAATTGTTATTGATTAAATATGTTAATTTGTTATTTTTTTAATTGATTTTTTAGATCCATCAATCAAAAATGTCTTCAGGTGCTTCATATTATTTTGTTACAACCAAGTAATAATTCCAGGTTGTTCCTAACGCCATATTTTACGGAAGTTGTAGTTGACTAAAAATTGTAGTTATTAACATGCATATTTTTGTAGTCATCAATACATTTATAAACTGAATGACTAGTTGTGGAGTGAGAAACCTGTAGTTAATTGCAGGTTATTGAAGTCAATAAAAGGAATCTTAGTTAACAACAGTTTATAGAAATAAATGAGAGAAATCTGTATTTAATGAAAGGTTATGGAATTGTATGAGAGAGATACATATTAAATGACAGGTTGTGAAAGTTAATGAGAGAATTTTGATGACAAGTTGTGGAAGTTAATGTGAGGAATTTGTACTAAATGAGAGGTTGTGGAAGATAATGTGAGGAATTTGTACTAAATGAGAGGTTGTGGAAGATAATGTGAGGAATTTGTACTAAATGAGAGGTTGTGGAAGATAATGCGAGGAATTTGTACTAAATGAGAGGTTGTGGAAGATAATGTGAGGAATTTGTACTAAATGAGAGGTTGTGGAAGATAATGTGAGGAATTTGTACTAAATGAGAGGTTGTGGAAGATAATGTGAGGAATTTGTACTAAATGAGAGGTTGTGGAAGATAATGAGAGGAAAATGTATTTTATGACTGGCTGTGGAAAATAACTATGTTGTTGCAGTGAGTTTGGCTTTGCCTATTGATCCGTCCCCTACGACCTGTTAAGGAAAATGTTGCTCAGCTGTCCACGTCTGGGAAACTGTAAGCAAAGTGCTACATACATAATACTTGCATTTGTGATACAACTGCAGATGCTGAACTATATTTGCATTAATGGTTCATTGAAGTTCAAAATCTGATTAAGAAGAATTGTGCAGTTTTGATTTGGAAAACTTAAATATCACCATATCCATTCTTGCTTAAGTGATAAAACTACAGATGTTCTACAGAGTACATGTTACAGATGCTGGATTTCACCTACTTGTCATGCTTCAGTGACAGATCACTCTCTGCTTAAACAGATGTGGTCAGCTCATTATGGTAAAATGTGGTCAGCATTTGTTCAGAGATAAACTAAACAATGATTTATTAAATAACAAAGGAATCTCTATCTTTTAATAACAATATAATGGGACCTTACATTCTCACCCAAAGTCAGAGGGAACTGACTGCGGTATGACTTGTTATTATAAACAATATGTTGTCCTTTGTGAAGCAATGGTAAACAAAAACAGACGTTGTAATAGGAAATCAGTAATGGAAAGATTTCAAACAATAAAACAGTTGGCATAGAAATGAGGTAATGCTTATAGCACAGATAATTCAAAGTGAACAAGTAAGTGTAAAGATGGCTCCAAAGGGGGAAACTGTGATGGTGAAATGATAAATATGTCAATACATATATAATGAATAAAGATTAAGCTGCTGTAAACAATCTGCAACATTTGTTAGAAAATCACACTTTGAAAAGAGTTTTATAATACCTCAAATGAAATGAAAACATTTAGATAGCTTCTTCTCTGTGATTTAGAAAAGTTACATTTTGATTGGTTCAAATTCAAAATGTGGAGTACAAAATCAAATGGAGGCATTGTATGCCATTTTCAATTCACGTTGATTTCTGACTGGTGCAGCAAATAATGAATGCTGCGAGGTATATAAGACTTAGAATATATACTCTAGTGTAACCATGGAAATCCTTTTTTTTGGGGGGGGGTAATTTCGGAATTTCTTTGGGTAAACTGTATACATAGGGGTTATTTTTGCGGTAAATTTTCATTTTATTTTGTTTATGAAATTAAAGCACATCACAAAATATTATGTGCAAGGGAAATTTTTCACGATCTAATGACCTTTGCGTACTTAATGTAAATTTCACCTTATATTTTGACTTTCTGTTTGTAACTTAAAGCTGATGTTTAAGCAGCTTTGGGAACAGGATTTTATCCAACTCTTCTTTCCTATCTGTCCAGTTAAAAATCTCTAACATATGATCTATGTACATATTTATTACATATATATATAGATCTTCAACTGAAAATCATAGATATAATTACTTATGGAGAATAAATGTGAAAAGAAGGAACATTGGCAACTGTCACAAATCTTATTTTTAAAGTTGTTAACAGGTTTTTATGTTGCACAGAAAGAATATTCCTGTATAGCTATTGATTTATCAATGTTTTAATTGATAATAATCGTATTTGATAATTTCTAATAAATGAAGATTGAACATACATATTTGTTCAGTATTTTTATAGTATGGTCTTATAAAACAAGAAGCCTAACCTAATGGTTCTAAGATGTTGTGTGCTTGAGGGTTTTAACATATCAAGGTAATTTTTTTGCAAGTATTAAAAAGATTCATCCCAGGAAACTTTAAGCCAGATATGATTAAAGGCCTTTTGATTAATCACAACACAAGGACTTAAAAACACTTCTTACTACAACGTACGGGTCACGTATTACCTATCCAACATGTTTTACACCAGTTGAGACGATCTGTGTGAGGGACTTTGTCAGTATTCAGTAAAATTACACCTCTATAGTGTGTATTATAGGGTTTTAACGAATGTGATGTTGAATAGGGTCAGGGTTATTTCTTTTCACAACTAATAACTTATCAATTTAATATGATTCCATGTATTTTGTTTAACCAGAAGTCACTATACCTCAACAAAGTTAGTGGGTATGCTGGAACCATGTCCTTAGAAAAAAATGTCCAGCTGCTCCCAAAATTTTGAACCAATGCCAAAGCATGTTAGGGACCATTTATAGATGTGCTTGCAGGTTCTTCCAGCAGAAAATTTTGGTAGCAAGTAACTATACATAGAATATTACTTGTATTATTACCAAATGCTCATTAGTTCTTCAGGCAATTTTAAAGAATTTTGGTCAATTATTGTAATTTATCAAAGCCTATAAGTTAAAACACCAAAGTGTTTCCACAACCATTACTATGGAAACAAAATGGCAGCTTCTGATGGGTCAAAATTGGGATTGGTCGAAATTTGAATGTTGTCCTATTATGCTGAAAATTAATATGCAAAGGTTTTGTAGAATTGTTATTAATCACAATGGTACTATTTTCCAAAGCATCTGATGTCATTTGGTTGCTGTAGACACAAAAGAAGAGGGACCCTGTCCAAATGTTTAGATATACATGTATATAATTTTATCTGCAAAACATTGAGCTTAAACCTGCACCAGGTAGCTCCATGCTTTAGCACACCTTAGAATTCATGACTAGTTAGGATTTGAGACCTTTTTAAAGCGAATCCGTAACAAAGACATCTTGACCAATAGCGTACTCGGCATCAATTAAAATTTCCATGGGGAAGTAAAGTAACTGGCTGCTAGTTCTGATCAGTTTCAAAACATAGAGTGCAAATGTATTTTTGTCTGATAAAGATCCATTCAGTTGAAATTAAACTTGAACAATGTTCTCAATTCTGATTTAGCTCAAAATATGGAATGAAGAATGGGTTCCATGAGGATTCCGCGCGAGAAATGAAATGTACAGAACAGACGATCTAGGACCAACACAAATCCGAGAAATAGCAATGAAGAACCGTTTATGTAAAAAAATTCAAATGGTAGTTATGTGGTCATTTGTAACATTCGATGCAGCTCAAGATGTAACATTTATATCTGGAGCAAATCAAGACCATCTTAACAAGATGATCATTTGCTTTGCAGTCTGACCGCTATTTATCGTGAGTATTCCGAAGGATGGGTTTCAAAATTCTGACAAAGGGGGAAAAACTATAATCAACACCCGACCGCCATAGAAAGTGCGCTCTGTTCATAGAAGTCTTGGTACGCAACAAGCTGATAGCTTTCTTATTCTAAGATCTTCCTTAAGAATGGAATGTACTCTTTCCTGTGAAATCCCAACTGCACTGGCTGTATACCTCTCTGTAACTCGCCTGTAACCCATAATATCATTGACTTGATTGGTCATTTCTGGGGTTGCAACAGTGGCAGGCCTTCCAGGATAGGCGTCATCCCCAAGACTCTCTCGCTTAAATTCTGTCACCCACGTTTTCATTGTGGGATATGAAGATGCATCGTTCCCTAGTGTTGCTACCATATCAATATGGATATCCTTAGGTGATATACCTTTCTTATGTAAATACTGAATCACTGCTCTTTCAACAATTTTCGACATAAATGGCAAAAACACCAGTGTTCAGGTACAAGGCCTTAAATCGTCAGGGAAAAAGGACCTATCTGCTTAACTTCTTCAATACAAGGCTCACAACTTATCAATCAGCCCTCGTACATTAGTAGATAAGACACCGTGGTTCACTTTTATTCTCTTGTACACATACTTATTACAAACAAATGATAGCCGCATTGACAGTAATTAGATCAATTGGAATAAATACTTTTCCTAGTCCGGTATATAGAATACTGGATTTCAGTGCAGTCGGGATGCACAACTTACTAGTTTATAAATATACAAGTAAGGAAATCCCGCGAACGGGTTTCGTCGGCCTCGCTCTGACTCGCGTTAATGACTAAAACTTCAAGGATATAAAAACCAGAGAAACAAATCTGATTAAATAAAAATCCTGTCAAAGATATTAAATAATGTTTTTTTGAAGGCGTTTAAATCAGTTAGTTAATACTGGGACATAATTCAATGACTTTCTGATAATTCTCAAACCACTCAAAAAATCCCTCGCCTCAAAAATGAATCGGCATCTCAACTGAAGTCCAGATTTTAATTGTACAACCCATGGTATGATTGAATGGAACATGCTCGAACAGTAAATGTTTCCTTACTGACGAATTTGGAACCGTATGGGATCAATGCACCCCAATCTGAAGAGCGTTAACATACGCAACGGTGAAGGTCGGGTGACATGTGATGGACTCCACGCGTCTGAAAAAGACCCAAGCTGCTAATATTAGCACACATTCAACCTGCGTTAGACAACAAAGAGTATACATCATATATCATAAGTTGAGTAACAAATAAGCAAATTACAGTCAAACGTTCAATATCACACAATTATCAACTGACTAGTATATAATAAATCTTGCTATCGTAGACCTTTGCGAGAAAAGAGCAAAGGTCGTCTGTACTTTTCAAAAGCACATTGTTTGTATAAGGTGTGTATAAAACTGCCCCCTCTATGGAGCAAAGGAAAGGGATCTAAATCTTCATTGCTCTCTTGATTTTGGTTGTGAAACAGCTATATGTATCGGTTTAGGCCGAAACATTTTTTTTCTGTGAGAAATTCTAGTAAATTTCAGGAGATTGGCGGAAATTTCTCCGGGAAGTTGCGATAACTACCGGAAACAGCCGAGTTGAAATGAATTTAAGAAACCCCCTATGGAAATATGAACTCGTCCAACAGCATTTAATAAAGATCAATTTTTCATTGGATGAAAATATACCATTCTAAAACAATATATGAAATTAATGTCATGTATTTTTTAGAAATAGTAAAAAAACAAGCAAAATGAAACAAATTTGATTTAAAGTTACTTGTTTAGCGTTAGCTCTACTAATTTCATTTTGGCAAGAACAGAATGGAAAAGTCCGTGACTGTCTTTGAGCTCGAAAAAGTGTTGAAGGTGGTAAATTCAACCAGGATACAATGATGAACTCGAGTGGATCGCAAAGAAAATGGTATTTATTTGCTTACGGTCTCACTGTGTGATGAAATTGACATTGGTGTAGTTAGGCCTCACATAATAAATTTAGTGCTAGTATTTATATTTTGAAGAATTTTATCGAAATCAAAGCAGGTACATATTTACACACCCTACCAGTTACATTTACATGTTATGTATTTGTTACAACTATTACATGTATAGTTGCCATTAATATAACGTAATTAGGTTAATGTTCTGCTTGCTTTTAAGAAAAAAGTACATGTAGGCCGATACAGTTCACATTTTTCTAAAGCAAGGTACAATAGGCCTTAGCTTACTCCGTAAGGGTAAGGGAATGCTTGAATCATGGATTATTAAGCCCCCACTCTGACCGTCATTTTCCTTCATAATCAAAGAAAAAGTTTTCTGACTTCATTTCCTACACAACTTGTCATTGGAACTTCATGCTTGGGGCATGTGTTCACCATGGCGAGGCTTGTGTCCAGTAAGAAGATTACCGACCTACATACTGGCCTTAGACGGTTACATCTTAAAATCGTTTTCTAGCTTATTCTTCTACTGGCACTGCTAGTCACTGGAACTTACTACATAGGTTTACCTTGGTGAGGCTGTGTCCTGTATTGGAAGTTGGTCACTGACCCACACACTGTCTGATCTACATAAAACAAGTTTGTACTCGATCTCCTGCACTTCTTGTCGCTGGTACTTTGGGGCATGGGTTCACTTGCAGTGCATTCCTAGCATATATTTTCACATACAGTTTGGGAACTGTAATTTGCCAAAAGTGTCTTACTGACTATGAGATGAATATTAATTAAGTTGATTTTTGGTTTTAGTCAAGATGAAGAGAAGGATATGGCACAATTTCACAGACCTGAACTGCTGAATTTCACACACAGTGAGGCAATGAATGAAATAGATCGTATGAACAGAGACCTTAACAATCTGAGAGATGTCATGATAAAACATAGTGGTGAGTAAATATCAAGTACTAACTTCAGCTTGTGGATTTCCCACCTCCCACCCCCACCCAAATATTCCATGAACTTAACTTATAAACATAAAACATATATTTTAAAGCCTTTAAGCTTTTCGAAATTATGAAAATTATGACCGATTTCAAAACTGCTGTACAACCTAGTTTGTTTATAATAATTGTGTTGTAAATCTATTGATCAAATAAAAGAATATCATTAATATTTTGACAAACCTGGTTACCATAAACTTGAATGTATGAATGAGGGATGAGCAGATTAGTTCTCAATACTGCATAAATGCAATTCCTTGAAAAAAAAAAAACAAAAATCCAACAAGAGCCCCTCGAGTGATCTAAGCAGCCACCATCACTTTATCTTTATTTGTTCTTTAAAAGTTAGATATTTTCCTTTCTCTCCTCTGTTCTTGCTCTTAATAATATGAAATTTAAGATAAAATTTGAATTAAGATTTAAAACATGGCCTTACCATCATTGAGAAAAACTGATAACAGAAGATTCTAATCTAGAGTCTTTAATTCTACAACCCAGATAGTATAGTTATATCAATTGTAAACCACTAACTCTATAAGAGTTTGGTGACTTCCGCCTAATCTAATAGATCATTACGTCACATTTCTACCATTATCTACGACGTAACCAACTAATGTTGTTGTTATCAATATATGATGATGTAACAATCTGGGACTGTTGTTCTGAAGACGGGTCGCTTGGACATGTAAGCAACTGTTGCACGAATAAATCGTGAATTGGAAAGGAGCTGCTCGTGTTGTCATCACTCTTGACACGCATTGTTCTTTAAAAGTTAGATATTTTCCTTTCTCTCCTCTGTTCTTGCTCTTAATAATATGAAATTTAAGATAAAATTTAGATTAAAATTTATAAGATAGCAATAAATACCTTTTAACTGCCAAACCTAGATAGTTTCTAGCCACTTTTGTTTTTTAAATTAGTTCAAAATTCAAAAGGGCACAACATTAAAAATGAGGAATCTATGAATGATCCATCTGATGCTTCTGAAGAAATTGTGATCAGAAACATTCTTTCTCAAAATCCATGATGACCACTTATCCGCCATTTTGTTTTTCTGATCAAATGATTGTGCATAACTAGGGACCAAGTTAAGAAAGAAAGTACTTCTCAAAAAAATTGTTTACGGGTGAACAGATGACTGACCATGGATGTAAACAAAACATCTGACTTTCCATAAGGACAGCTCACACATGATTTTATCGTTCATAATTGTTAATAGTTTGTGTCATCATTTTATGGAATGTAAGCTCATCGTAAATTGAATTGATGGCATCAACTTAGATGGATTTTGTGGACTAGCTGTTTGTCTGTGTGGTGTATTCAGTTCACCATAGTGACTGGCAGTATTCAACAATAGATAAGGGCGGAAGAAAATAATTGATCACCTCTGTGAGATATAAACAGAAATATAGTTCCTTTGAAGAATTTTTAAATCAGAGGGGTAAAAGATTCTTGACTTCAGACCAGCAATATGTAAAAATTTATTTGCTTGTCTTTTTTCAGTGCGCTGTCATATGTTGGAAGTTGACTTGGCTACACAGTTCAGCCCTGACCTTCAAGTGGCTCTTAGATCAACAGAGGAGGACTGCAGTCGATGTAAAGAAGCTCTACTAAGACATGAAAATCAAAAGTCCATGATATTAAATGACAGTGAGGACCAAATACATTTGACAGATCAGTGAATTAGTGAATATTTTCAAAATTTTTTTTTCTGTAATGATGAACTTTCTTTAAAAAATGTTATCGCAAGTGAAATATGTCGATATCTTATAAAAACAGTTGGTAATGTTATATTTTAAATAAATATGAAAGAATTGTTAAACAAATGTTGTTCTTAGTGTCATATACAACCAGTAACCAGTTAAGGTAATCCGGACAATCTATTGTGACATCCATTCTTTTGTTTATTGCAACAACAATCCTCTTTTTACTTTTATACACAAACTGTTAGATTTTAAAGAAACTTTAGCCAATTTTAGGAACCAGAAACTACTCAAAACTACATTCCTGATGACTGAAGGTATTATGTGTATACCTTGTTTGTCTTAATTAAACCATCTGTCAGATTTTAATCGATCATTTTAGTAATTATTGGTTTGGCGAAGAAAGAATGATTGTAGCCATCAATCAAGAAAAACAATGACCAATACAGTATCACTCTTTATTTCTTTAGTAATTTGTCCAACTTATTACAAAGAGAATACCTCATATGATTTCATGTTTCAGGGATTTCAGGCCACTGTTACTATCTATAGAAATTGTAGACCAATTTAGAAACATTCCAGTGTATTCATTATGTAAGGGAACCTGATCAACCTGAAACATCACAATAAGCTGAGATGAGCTGTAGTTTCATGGTTCTAAGGTCATGATTCCCCTCCCAAATTAAAGTCAGTGTTCTAGACACTCATTTCTTAAAAAAACTTCGATCAAACTGTCCATAGTTTAAAGTAGGATATAGATATCCCTTTAGCTCTTATGTCAAGGTCAACATTACTTAACAATAATTAATATAAAGGACTGAATACTTTTAAAAAATGATGTTTTCTCATTTCATGTAAAAACCCATGCCTGTTGAATAGTAGAGAAAAAGCAAACCTTCTCAGAATTGTTTTCCTCACTAAATTGTCCACATTTGAATGCTAGAATATCCATCAAACTCTTTGGAATAGGCAAAGTTTCTATTTTTGGCACAATATTCCCAGAAATAAGATTTCGAATTCTGACACAGGCTATGTGCTGAAGTGATCTAGGGTTGCTGCCAGTCTCTATCAATAATTCACAAAGAGCTGGTAGTTTTTGGACTACAAATGGAAATTGTTTTTCCCGAATCCATTTTTCCTTGCTAAAATCATAACCTGACTCAAGGAGAAGATAGACCAACTTCACATTCATACGTGCTGCTGCCAGGTACAAAGGTGACTGACCATTACAGTCAAAGGTCTGGATGTCTACTCCATGTTTAATTAGCAATTTACAAGCATTAATCTTACTGTGATAAAACGCAAGATGGAATGGTGTAAAACCCTGCATGTTTCTCCTGTTTAAGTCCAGATCTTGTGTTAAGAGGATTTCCATCACACTCAGGTATCCACTACTTGCTGCTACATGTAAAGTTGTATTCTGATCCAAAGTTACAGCTTTGACAGAAGAGTGTTTTTCTAGAAGTAGTTCCACAACATGTGGCTGGCCATAGCACACAGCAGTGTGAAGAGCAGTCCAACCCTCTGCATCAACCCTATTCACATCTGCACCATTATCAATTAGTATCTCACACACATTAAGATGACCAAGGCAAGTGGCTGCATGCAGAGGTGTGAAACCATCAGTTTGTGTCACATTCACCACCGCTCCCTTTTGGAGCAGAAGTTGTGTTGTGTCAGTACGCCCGTAAGTTGCTGCCCAGTGAAGAGGTGTTCGGTGGTCTGAGTCCTTGCTGTTGATGTCCACTCCACACTCAATGAGACGGCCTACAATGTTTGAGTAGCCCTTAGACGCAGCCAGGTGTATAGGGTGTCGTAACCACATCGTGTCCTTCTGACACGACATGGTCAGGGAACTGTGGTTTGATATGAGAAGCTCTAACATATCTTCTTGTCCAAGGCAGACGACCCTACAAATTGGACTTGTTCCCCTGCGTTCAAAATTTGGCGAGACACCTTTGATTTGAAGGAGATTCTGTGCGGTGGCCAGATCATGTTGCTCGATAGCTTGCAGTAAAGAATCCTCATCAGTCATATCAGCTTGTGACTCCGAATCTGCTTGATTAAACCAAAAAATATCCATATCGGCAGAAGATTCAGCCATGGTTAGTCCAGTTGAATGTCACCATGCAGTTGTAGGATGGAAAAGACTTGATCTTTCGCTGTACCAAACATAAACCTGTGCAATGCAATCACATAGATCCAGTTAGCACCAGTGCAATTTGATTATGTAACACTTAATTTGAAATTTGTTATGTGTATCATTAAAGACCTAATATTTTACAGTTCTAACTAAATAAAATATTGACACAACTATATAGTTAGATCTTCTTAAATTCGTTGTTGAAATGGTTGCCCCAATTTCACATATTGTGGGAATTTTTACAATGTTAATTTAATGCATATGTACACTGTACAGTACTGTTTTTCTTATTTTTTTTAATTTCACACAAGAATTCAGCAAAAATATTGAAACATGTATCAATTTGAGTTTGCACTAGCTAATATTTATCTGACATAAGAATTCATATTCAACAAAAACAACTGAAGACAAGTTAGGTATTAGTACCTTATGACCAGGCCAAGATTAGCCCAATGTCACATATGACCTGGAGTTATACTCTAAAAGATACTCGTTTGAAATTATAAATACTCACAGAGTCACACGTAATTAACAAAGGACAAAAACTCCATCTTGCAAAAATCTAGACATTCTCGTCTTCAGGCTAAGCGAGAACTTACAGTTACGAGCCCTGTTACTAAGTGAATTTACCAACAGGATTCCCTGTTGAAATGTCTTGCTTCCAAAAAGCACACTTAACCACATTAAATCTGATAGATGCCATCACGAAAAATACGTACCTTCACCTTTTAATTCGATATCGTTACGAGTGACAGGACTGAGACGTTTTTACACTCTTTCTGCATAACAGCTGTCAAGTTTACTAGTACGTCATTCTTTTTCCGGTGTTGGAGAGGTTCACAAACAAGAGTTATCTTTCTTGTGTCACATAACAGATTTATTGCTTCTCTCTTGGATTACTCATGGGTATAACACCAGTGAGAAACCAAGAGAGTGTAGTGAGGTGTCTCATTAATTAATGGTTTTCAGCAATGCGGGTATATTTGCTGTTATTGTCTTACTCTTGTCGATGTTGTTATGATAATAAAATTTCACGGGGAAGTCTCTCAAGTGAGTATTTAAAGAGTTTTTAAAAAAGTTTAGTTACAACTTCCGTTTTCTGTGGTGATTTCTTGTTGGTACATGAGTGGATTCTGTGAATAATTTATCCCTCGTTTTCACTCTTTTGTATTCAATTGTTTGAGACAGTAATCACTGAAAAAATGAAACAGGAACTTCTCTATCATCACAAATCAACAATTAAATATTAGACATCAATGCACATGCATGTCGGATAGAATGATATGAAAAATGTATTCATTTATTTATTAATTTCGAGTCTGGTATAGAGGACTTAGATAGACCGGAACCGACAGAGACAAACGTACATGCACCACGCCCAAATCGTCTAAAACATTAAGATAAGCTTATTTTTGCCGGTTCAGGACTATCAGAATCTTAAATAGCTTCAAACGTGAGCAATTTAGTGAGGAAAACAATTCTGAGAAGGATGCATTTTTCTCTACTATTCAACAAGCATTGGTTTATACATGAAATGAGAAAACATCAGTTTTAAATATACTCAATCCAATATATTAATTATTGTTTGATATTATCATATACAAAGTAATGTTAACCTTGACTTAGCTCAAATTAACTACTCTACCATGAACTAAATTTACTTTACAATGATACAGACTGAATTGAAAACCACCAATTAAAGATTAACATATATATGTCTGAGTTAATGGTCTTGTCTCCTGTTACTTACAGAAAAACTCTGTGTGCTATTTCTTCAACAGTAATTAAAGCTATTTGTCTTATAAATTATTATTGTAAACAGATAAAGTTTAGTTTGCACTCATTGGTGAAATAATTATTTTATTTTTGAATATCAATACTTTATGATATGGACATGATAAAACACGTTAATAGGTTTTTACTATGTATACTATCCTATAATTCAATGCAGCTATAGAATTTGCTCACCATGTGTTATATAACGATGATTTAATCTGTGCTCCGTCACGTTCCCGATTTGAAATGCTTTGTAATGAGAGCCCTTATTGGAGAGTGTGAATAGTATTATGTTTCATGGCGTAGTACAGTTTACTGGGTAACAGTAAATTCCACTTTATTATATAAAAACTGCTCATGATCTGTATTACAGTAGAATTGTATTCTTCTCTAACCACGCTGCCCTAAACACATAGTCTGTACTTTGTAGATAACATCTATTAATAACATAAAGGGGTAATTTTTTATCATTGCACACCTGAAAACATTGCTACGGTATCTAAGGGAACGGCAGGAAAACGTCTCATTAATGATTCACAACTATTGTTTCAGTAATAATCCGTACAGGTATCGATGACCCAGGTACGGTTTAGTAAGCCTGAACAGTGAACTACCCGTCCACTCCACGTAACCCTCCCGTTATAAATAGCTCTGATTATCGATTGAGGTGCCACAACGCTAACGAAAACAAGGAAGTGGTCGGACGGATTAACTATACCTACATACACCTAGAAACTCTGTTCACAGTCTTAACGGGTGAGTGATAATTAATTTATTTCATGCAACGATTGTACAGTCTTAGATAAAAAAAACGAGCATACAAGTACTTAGTATAATCATTCAAGCGGGTAGTGAGAAGGAAGGAAACTAGTATCTGTCGAACATTTACACGCAAGTAAATCGCGTCGGTGGGCCGCGTGGAAGGCGTTTGTGATAGAGCTTCTTAAAAACACTTATCAATGGTATGGTACATATGATGTCCAAGATCAGTGGTGTAGACTTGTTTGTAAATATACAAAACATTTTCTGTGTGTCAACAACACGATTGTGATAGACCTGCTATCTGATGTAAACAACGATATCCAGTTCACCGTACGTAGTCACCCTCTTTATATTCTAGGTTTTTATGCGGTATAGAAGTGGCATATTTTCACTAAAACTGGTGGCGTTGTGATATCTAACCATATAGTATTACTTTTAATTATGTCATTGTTGTAAGGCTTGAATTGAAAGCAGTATCAGAATTAGCATAATTATCAGGATATTGTTTCAAATTCTTAAAAAAATGTACGTTTTACTATAACAATTAGAATGAAAGAATCTAGCCATTGATATCGACAATTGTTATCGGTGATATGTGATGGAACTGTCATGTCTTGAACTATTAAAACGACTCTCAAATAACAAGTGCTCTTTGACTGAATTACCTGTCTAAAATCAGTCCAACATGTGTCTTTACTGTTTCATGGATCCTATATGTTTATATAAAATACACAGAGATAGTTTGTTGCAGCTAGCGCTGCTATTCGTGTTTATTGATACATTTTACAGTTCAGTGAACAAAATATTAATTTCACACTTCATTGATGTTCCGATCCGTCACTGACATCGTTACCTTGACCAGTAAAATAGATAACACTGGGTATACCAGTAAGTGTATACACTATGGATACGGAGAGACAGTGACATATATCAACCCCATCCTGTTACTAGGGCAGAATTTTATAGCTGGCTACAAAAACAGCCTATTGTAAAGCTTAGAATATTCAGTGACATATACACCAAGGATACCGAAACTCACTTAAGAAACGTATAAAGCCACGAGGTTGAAAGACACTTACATACCAAGGTAGGCTGAAAGTCTTTTAAGAAACGTATATAAACACGAGGCTGAAAACCAACCAGAAACTTATATACAAGTGAGACTAAAAGTCACCTAGAAACCTATATATCAAGGAAGACTGAAAGTCACCTAGAAACCTATATACCAAGGAAGACAGAAAGTCACCTACGAAACGTACATACCCACGAGACTGAAAGTCACTTACGAAACGTACATACCCACGAGACTGAAAGTCACTTGAGAAACTTCTTAAGGAGGCTAAAGTCACTTAAGAAGAACTGGCGTATGAATCCAAAAGATAATTAAAATTTTTAAATGTCATGAGAAAACTGAGTGACAAAACCATTAATGTTGATAATGGTCATCTGTAGATATAGATACTGGAATGTCTGACGAAATCTTTAGTTGTAGAAATGTCAGATTTTCTGAAACAATAACAAACGTGGCGGTGTTGGCTTACACATTTTCGTAATCTTTAAAAAAAATATTGATGAATTCTTTTCTGTATAGAGACAAATTTATCGGGCTGAAAAAAAAACCCATTTAGCGATTTTTAAACCGTAAACTATTCTCAAACTCTGCTAAACATCTGGCTGTTGGTTTACTGCTTTCCCGAGATGTGTCATGTTTGATGTTTATTTTATAATCAACCACTTGGAACACACTAAAATGCGTCTTTACGAAATAAAAATCTTGACATTGTGCCTTTATTGAACGAATACTGTCGTAAAAACAAGTGTGTATTATTTATTGTTATACTATTTATAGGCCTGATCAAAACCAGCTACACTAGAATTGCTTATATTATACGTGTAAGTCTTGCACGAACCTGCATTTTCTCGGTAATGATTAGGAAGTTGGTAATAATGTTATCTGTATTTTTTGTAGTTTATATCTGTAAACAAGTGATATATTTCAGTTTATGTTGATATCATTGTTTATACATAGACTACCTGTTTGATTTTTTCCCTATTAAGAGATCTTTATTACAAAGTACCTATTCCATGTTGAATATTTGATAAGTTAGCTGTCGTTGCTAATGTAAGCAGCTCTCGTACATATCAAAATATATCAGATACTGCGTGTGAATTAATCTCCGAAAGTGGAGATTCTTGTACTCTGTTTTAACAGATAAAGTAGTCGTATTTTCATGTAAAAGGAGAAGAAGCTGTAACGCCCGTTTCTATGATAATACATTACAAGTTGTTGGTAAAATTATTCATTTAGGTATCCTTTTGAACAATAAACAGAAAGAACGAAATTAGCTTGTAGCGAAAGAAAAAGTGGTACTATGACCATTTTACGCTACAGTGCACACCAATGTGCTTCGAACTCATAAAACAATTTCCATGATTTTAAAAATTAAAGTTTTCCCTTCTGAATTGTACGGATAGAAACTTTGGATGGTTCCGAATACTGAACAATTAATGCTGGAGAAGATCCATCATTTTATTGTTGAATATATCCAGGATCTAGGTAAGGGAACAAGAACTTATATGTACACCTCTTTACTTGGATGGAAGACTTTGGAAGCTTATATAGATATCGAAAAAACCTGTTGTTTCAACGCAGGTTATGTAATATGAATGAAATTCTTTAACATGCAGGATTTTTATTCTAAGATTTTTTTTTACAGTTTATGAATGTACCAAAAAGTTCATATCGTCAGGATTTTTAAAAAGTATACTTTATTTGAACATATCTAACTATTTCTAAATGATGGTACTTTCCCAGATATAGCGTATTGGAAGTCATTAGTGTGTAAATCTGTAAGTGATTACGAGACAGACGCTTGGTAACAAAGAACATCTAACGACGCTGACTTCTCACGATTTTTGTTGTTATACAAAGGTTTGAATCCACAGTATCCATGAGGCTTAGCTCTGTGTCATCCAACTTATCTGGACAATGTTTGGTATATAATCATAATAATGGTATCTGTACGGGTCTCGAATACACAGTTTTTGTGTCACAATTGTGTTTGCTTCTATACAGATATAGTAAGTCAAGTTATTTTACATTGTTTTGAAACAGAAAACATCCGTGATGATCTGTGGTGTGTAATCACCTTTGTTCAAATATTGAATCTAGTTTATACATTTATTTACATTCTTTTCCAGAATTTACAATAACTTGCATTTTATTGGAAGGTCATCTTACCTACCAATTAAACAAATTTGAT